TGAACTTGAGTATCCCTACTTGAACTCAAGAACTTCCTTTAGCTTGCTTTTTCATGTTTTGTGTTATGTTGTTTTGTTTTGTTTTTTGAGACAGGGTTTCCTTCTGTAGCCCTTGCTGGCCTTGACCTCACAGAGACCCACCTGCTTGTGCTCCAGGGTGTGAAATTTAAAGGTGTGTGCCACCATGCCCTGCTGTATTTGTTTAAGACAGAGTCGTCTCACTCTGTAGCTCAGGCTGGCCTTTCCTGAGACCTACTGAGTTGCTGGGATTGCAAGCAAGCATCAACAAAGCAGGAAACACTTGTACATCAGGTATAGTAATGAGATCCCTCAGCTTTTGTCTTGGAAAGTCTTCATCCCTCCTCTGTATTTTGAAGGACACTTTCGACAGATGTAGTATTTTGTTTGGCTGTTATTTTTTTCTTTTTCCTGACAGCATTTAAGTATGCCATTGCATTGTCTTCTTGCCAGTCTGATTTCTGCTGAGAAATTCCTTCATATTTTGGGAGGATCCCTTGTGTGTAACAATTTGCATTTCTTGATGTCTGGACTGTAATATTTTTTAGCATGGGTGTCTTTGGTTCACCTCAGTCACAATTCTCTGAACCTCTTGGGCATGGTTATTCATGTCTATCCTCAGATTTGGAAATTTTTCAGTGATTCTTTCTTTCTTCCTTCCTTCTTTTCTTTCTTTCTTTTTAAGATTTATGTATTTATTATGTATACAGAGTTCTGACTGCATGTATGCCTAAAGGCCAGAAGAGGGCACCAGGTCTCATTACAGATGGCTGTGAGCCACCATGTGGTTGCTGGGAATTGAACTCAGGACCTCTGGAAGAACAGCCACTGCTCTTAACCTCTGAGCCATCTCTTCAGCCCCTTCAGAGATTATTTCTTGAAATATGCTCTCTGTCCCTCCCACCTCCATTTTCCTCTTCATAAAACTCCCAGAATGCATCAGTCTACCTGATGGTGTCCAAAAGTACCTTAGGATTCTATCACTTTTTTCATTTTTATGTTTCTCCAGACAAGGTTTCCCTAGGTAGCCAAGGCTGGCCTGTAACTTCTGGTAACAACTTGTTTCTAGCCTCCCTAGTGCTGGGATTACGGATGCATGCCACCATGCCCTGCTCTTAAGTTTTGTTTCTATGATCTGGCAATTTCAAATTACCCACTTGACTCTTGAGTTTGCATATTCTTTTTCTTTTAATATCATTTGGGCTGGCAAGATGTTCAGTGGGTAAAGGCACTTGCCTCGAAAGCCTGGCAACATGAGTCCAACCCCATCTCCTCAGGTCTGTATAAAGGAGGGAGAACTGATTCTGCAGTTTTCTTCTAGCTTTCACGAGAGTACTGTGGCAATGCACCCCACCTCCCACATGCACATCATGCATAAACATAATAATAAAACATAATTTTTTCAAAAAAAAAGAACATTTTAAAATCTCATTTTAAAAAATAGGGGATGTAGCACACTGATGGGAGATGCCATTCTGTAAGTATGTTTCTCTTATTGGTTAATGAATAAAGCACTGTTGGCCAATAGGAAAGCAAGATAGGAGGGACTAGGAGACAAGGCAAGGAAGTAGTAAGGAGAAGTCAGCATGTAGAGACTGGAGAGAGCAGAACGCCAGCCACTCTCTCCAGTAAGATAAGACCACGTGGAAACATTTAGATTAATAGAAATGGGTTAATATTTAAGACAGAGTTAGCCAATAAGAAACTAGTAACTGGCCAACAGAATTATATCTAATACAGTGTCTCTGTGTGTAACTTGGGGCTCACATGGCTCTGGGACCAGGCAGATGGCACAGGTAAAAACATACTCATAATAGCACACATCTGTAAAGGGACAGCTTTCTTTCTTTCTGGTTGTGTTGTTTTGTTTCTGGTTTTTGGTTTTTTTTTTTTAAAGACAGAATCTCACTATGTAGCTCTAGCTGTCCTAGAATTCAATATGTATATCAGGCTGGCCTTGAACTCACAGAAATTAGACTGCCTCTGCTTCCCAAGTGCTGGGATTAAAAGCATGTGCCACTATGCCTGGCTACAACTTTGTGTAATTTTTTTTTTCTTTTTTAAGCAGAGTTTAACTATGTAGCCCTGGCTGTCTTAGAACTTAATATATAGACCAGGCTGTCCTTGAACTCACAGAGATCCACTGGTCTCTGCCTTGCCAGTGCTATGATTAAAGGCGAGGACCACTATGCCCAGACTTAATATTAGTTTTTAAATAAATGTATGTGCCTACATGAGTCTGTGTGTACCATGTGTGTGCAGGTGCCTATAGAGGCCAGAGTCTTCTGGAATCCCCTGGAGCTTGTGGTTGTGAGCTACCTGGTATGGGAGCTGGGAACCAAACCCAGATCCTTTGCTAGGACAGTAAGCTCTCTTAACCACTGAGCCACTCCCCTCTGGTTCTCTCCTTTTACTGTGAATCTCAGGTGTGTGCAGCAAAGTACTTTACTCGTTGAGCCATCCCTCTAGCCCATGTAGATTCTTTTGCCTGCTCAAGTCTGTTATTGAAACCCTCTAGTACAGTGATTCTCAACCTTCCTAAGGCTGCGACCCTTTGATACAGTTCCTCATGTTGTGGTGACCCCAACCATAAAATTATTTCATTGCTGCTTCATAACTGTAATTTTGCTGTTACAAATCATAATGTAAATATATGATATGCAGGATATCTGATATGCAACCCCTGTGAAAGGGTCGTTTGACCCCTAAAAGATTCATGACCCACAGGTTGAGAACCACCACACTAGTGTATTTTTCAACTATTTTAATTTTCCACTTCAGAAAGTTTGGCTCCTTAAAGTTCCTCTCGCTGTTACCCTTAAATTCTTCCTGCATTGTTTTTTTTTTCTGACTTTTAGTGAATTGCATTTGTACTGAGAAACACTTTCAATAATCACCCCAGCTTCCTCTTCTTCTCCTCCTCCTCTTCTTCTTTTTCTTCTTCTCTTTTCTTTCTTTCCTTTTTTTTTTTTTTTTTTTTTTTTTTTTTTTTAAGACAGGGTCTCTCTACATAGCCCTGGCTGTCCTGGAACTCACTATGTAGACCAGGCTGACCTCAAACTCAAAGATGTACCTGCCACCTGCCTTTGCCCACTAAATGCTGGAATTAAAGGCATGTGCCATCACATCTGCCTGGAGATGGCTTTTCTCACTACCATTAGTTCATAATCTCTTGCGCCCCCTGGTGTCCACTTCAGTCCTGCAGGCACCCTGTCACTACAGCAGCATGCTTCAGAGTGATTATGCTGAATTACATGTTTAAGGTTTTTTTTTTTTTCTTTTTGTTTCTTGAAACAAGATCTCACTATGTAGCTCTGCTTGTCCTAGAACTCTATATGTAGATCAGGCTAGACTGACCCATAGAGATCTACCTGCCCCTGCCTCTCACATCCTGGGATTAAAGGCATGAGCATATGCTGGGTTACATATCTTAAATTGGGGTAAGCCTGGTCACACAGTTCTAGAAGAAGTGGGAGGGAGAAGAGGAAAAAAGGAGGAGGAGGGGAAGAAAGGTGTATGAAACACAAGTGCTTTGCAAACTGTAGAGTGCTCTATAAATGAAAGGGAACCATTTGAGAAGTCTACATTTGAAACTTATTAAATTGCATTTACTTATTGTGTGTGTACACGTGTGCCATGCTACAAATGAGGTTAGAAAGTAACTTACAAGAATCAGCTTTCTCCTTCCAACTTGTGGGTCCTGGGGAATCAAGTTCAAGGCATCAAGCTTGGAAGCAAGCACCTTTACTTACTGAGCCATCTTGCCAGCCCAGTCTTCTATAGTTTTAATCAAGCACTGGGCAGTTAATTCAATTTGTGGTCATTATCTTGGACAAGTCACTGACTCTGACAACCTGTTTCCATTTTGTGAAATGTGGATAAACTTTTTACCTTCCAGGGTACCTTCATTTGAGTGTAAAGTTCCTGGTATATCCCAGAGAGGCTGAGTGGCAGGGTCCCCATCTGCTAGATTAAGTCACAGGCTATACCAACACCAACTCTGGTACCGGAATCACTTTTTGGTAATTGGGTACAAATGAAGCACTCCTAATCCAGGAATGCAGGACCTCAGATTAACAAAGACATAGGAACGGGTATCTGTATTTGATAAAGGAAAGCTAGGTAAACACTAAACTTCCATGTGAGAAACTGCCATGTGAGACCAGGCCTAAATCAGATCACAGGAAACCAGGCAACCTTACTGTCCATCAGCTAGGGTCGTATCTACTGACATTAATGGCATACTACCATCCTGGGCTTTAAGAATTTTCATATTAACCCATTCCCAATCCCCTACTCCCTGCCACTGTCATTTTTCCTCGACACAAAAGTGCTCAATCAATAACCCTGTCCTCATCTTGATACTGACTTCCAAGATCAAAGAGGTCAAGGCTGTATCAAGAGGCCACACTAACACCCACCTCTAGGCCAGCCTCCTTCACAGACCAACAATGCATGAGTGAAAAAGCACACAGATTAGAGGTCAGGGTCTACACTGGCCCACCACACAGCCACCGGGTGACCTTACTTTCGATTGTTTCATCTTCTGCCCTTGAGGGTTTCTGAGGCAACCAAAGGAGATAAAGAATGGCAGGTACAACCAACAGCCTGTAGTGGATGTTCAAATGACTCATTTCCTTTCCCCTCTTCTTTAAAGTTCCAGAGGCTCAGCCCGCTATCCTTCTCGTTTCAAAGGAGCCGCCATCTGTCTCCGAATTCAACTCCTTTGCAGAAAGGCTGCCCTGAACAATCTCCCCAACCCCCCACGTCTCCAAATAAGCACACAGGTTCTTCTCATTGAGGTGTTTTACTGTTGATCACTGAAGGGACAGATGCAAGCTCGGGTGAGGAAGACAGGTAACAAACATGGGGAGTGGAGGGTCCCTGGGTTATGGGTCCCTGAGGCTTTCTATCCATTCTTACTGAAGAACCGCAAGCGTCTTCACAGACAGAAGAGGCCTCTTCAATAGGAGGACCACGCCCCCCCACCCCAGGGCTCTAGAAGTTGATAGGGGATGAGGCACAGCAGGTAGGAACTCACAGGCCACTGCAGTGTGTCTGCAGACAGTGACACCACCTCAGGCACTTCCCACAAAGCCAGGGGACTGGTGTCCCAGTGACAAGAACATGTCCTGAGCCTATCCCACTTTCTCTACCCCTGAGGAAGTGAAGACTGGGCACTCTGATTCTCCAAGGCAAGAAACTGCCTGAGAGGAGGCAGGGTTCCCTGATTCCAAAGGCAACAAGGGCCCATTCTACAAAGTAAAGGGTTTGCAGCCAAGGTGGCCGCAGCAGGTGCTATTTAAATGCCTTCTCCTGTCAAGCAGGGTTCCCCTTTAGCAAGAATCTTTCTCCTCCTGCTCACCCAAGTGTGTTTTCTGGTGTCGGATGAGGTTCGAGCTTCGGGAGAAGTGTTTCCCACACAGGGTGCACCGGTATGGCTTCTCCCCTCTGTGCGTTCTCTGGTGTGCACCAAAGTTGGAGATATCACTGAAAGTCCGCCCACACTCGGTGCACTCGTAAGGCCTCTCACCTGTGTGGGTACGATGGTGCACCCCAAAGCTGGAGCTGTTGCTGAAGCTCTTCCCACACTCAAAGCAGATGTAAGGTGCTGGCTCCAGGTGGGTTCGGTGATGGACAGCCAGCGTGGCACTCTGGCTGAAGCTCTTGCCACAAATGTCACAGCGGTATGGCCGCTGGCCCAGGTGATCTTGCTGGTGTGTAGTGAGGTCTGAGCGCCGCCGGAAACTCTCCTGACACTTGGCACATTGGTAGTGCTTCTCTTCCAGGTGGATCCTCTCGTGCCGAATGCGGTTGGAGCTTCGGGAGAAGCTCTTGCCACACTCTGAACACTTGTATGGCTTCTCACCAGTGTGGATCCGCTGGTGTGTTCTGAGGTTGGAGGTATTGTTGAAGGTTTTGCCACACTGCACACATACAAAAGGCTTCTCATCCACCTCTGGGCTTGAAAAGGCAATGGGGTTCCCAGGACCCTCGGCTGGGGCAGAGACTGTCTGCCATGGCATTTTGGGATGTGTTCCTTGAAGTCCCTTCGACAGGCTTGCCTGCCCATGTTCCTCCTCGGATGCAATCTGAGAACCCTCTGAGCCATCCACTCTCCAAGGCTTCCCCCCTTCCCCATCCTCAGGCAGGTGTGCTTCTGGACTCTGCTCCTTCTCACTGCTCATCTCTGAACCCTGAGAATGGACACAAATGTTCAACACCTTTATTCCTTGGGTCAAGCCATAAGACCACAGAGAATCTTGCATTCCAGTTGAAGCAATGTATATCTCCCCCAGGAATAACCTCAACTAACTGGAATGCTTGTAAATGCCTTTATTTACTTAACTTTCAAGTGACAAACTTTCACAGATAATTAAGGCCACCCACCACTAACGGATGTCTCTGTGCAATTTGAATGTCACTCTTCTTAATACCATTAAACAATGGCACCCTAGACTATAATTTATGTGTAAGTAAGGTGCTTCCATTTAGAGATGAATTAAATTTCTTCCTGTCAAGTAGCCATCTATTCACTGATTCTGAAATGAACATAAATAACTAGAAATAGTTACTTACGAGGCCCAACTTCTGAATAGTCTTACTGCTCTGCTAGCCCATTCCTCTCTATACCATACCATAGTCTACCAACTGGTTAACAGGACCTACTGCAGGACATGAGCTGTCTGTCATGACACATCAGTGCCAACTTCTGCATCACACAGGCTTATACACACATAGCTACATTCTTATATGACATACAGCTATACTCACACCAAACACAGGTATCAGCTATACACACTACATACACATTCATATCACACATACAATCAACAGACTGACATCAGTCACAGAGAACACACACACATCTTTATCAGATCCAGCCACATCAGAAGTATATCCAAAACGCTTGTCATGCCTTCTCGTGTCTACTCTCATCTACAATTCCTTAGAAATCTCCTGATTGTGTCCACTTTCTCCTTTGTAACAGAATGTTATACTTATTATTGTAGTAACTTGCCAGTACAAGGCTGGGTGCTCAATTGTTTGGTTTTTTTGAATGGGAAAGTAAATGATGAGAACTTTAATTTCTGCCCCTATTGACTCTACCTAGAGCTTTTGGGATCTATATACAAGGAGCTATGTGGCCTTAATTAATTTAATTTTTTCTCTATGTAGCCGTAGCTGTCCTGGAACTCTCTGTGTAGACCAGGCTAGCCTTGGATTCACAGAGATCCACCTTCTTCTGTCTCCTGAGTGCTAGATTTAAAAGTGTGTGCCACCATGACCAATTGTACACTCTCTTTCAAAGCTACTGAGATCATATTTTACCATGTGTCTATCCAAGGCTGAATGCTGGGTAAATATGAGTAAAAAGACTGCCCAGGCATAGTGGCACATGCCTTTAATCCCACCACTTGAGAGGCAGAGGCAGGCGGATCTCTGTGCATCCAAGGACTGCCGGCCTACACAGCAAGGAACAGTCAGAGCTACATGGTAAGACTCTATCTCAATAAACAAACTAATAAATAAATAAAAGGACTGAACTGGGGACTGGAGAATTGGTTCAGTGCTTAAGCACTTGCTGCTCTTGCAGAGGACCCAGATTCAGTTCCCAGTACCCTTATCAGGTAGCTCATAACTGCTTGTAGCTTCATCTCTAGGGGATCTCATGCCCTCCTCCGGTCTCCACAGGCACCTGCGCACATGTGGTGCACATGCATATATTCAGGTGCACACACATACATTTTTAAAACAGAGGTAGAAAAATTACTCAGTAAGTAAAAACACTAGTGACTAAGCCTGACTCTGACTTTGATCCCCAGGATCCACATGGAAGGAACCAACTCCTGCAAGTGGTCCTCTGAACCCCAGTGCACACCACGGCAGTTACAAGTACACACATGTACACACACACACACACACACACACACACACACACACAGTAAATAAATTGTTTTTCTTTTTTTTTTTAAATAGTAAAATGACTTAGGATTGGATTATGGACCGATAAGACTGATTAGCTATGATTAAAAGCACTTGCCACAGAAGCCTGACAAGCTGAGTTCAATGCTGGAACCCACAGTAAAAAGACCTGACCCTGAACATTGTCCCCTACCTCCACATACAAGCTATGATGCTTATGCATGTGTCCCTCCCATTACCTCCCCAATAAATAATAATAAATACAATTTTAATAAGATTTAAGATTATGATTACCACCCTCATACAGTTATAACACAATAGAATGAAACAGATCACGAACACAATATTGAACGTTAAGTTCCAGGGACGAGACAGTGTCTCAGCCACATCTGTACCCATTCTTCATGGCCCAGCATGGCACATGACACATGCACAGGCGTCAATCATTAACATTTTCTTAAGGTCCTACAAAACATTAGACCTATAGATGAACACTCCATATGTATCATTTCAATTGTTTTTACAACTTTTCTTTTTTTGGAGACAGGGTCTCACTATGTAGTTCTAGCTGTCCTGGAACTCACTACACAGACTAAGCCAGCCTCTGTCTTGTGAGCGTTGGGATTAAAGGCATGTGCCACTGTGTCTGGCTTAACTATTCATTTCTCATGCTTATTTTTTGCAAATGATGAAACTGAAACTCATAGAAATTAAGTCATTCACCCAAGAGCACATAGTAATTGAAAGCTTATACTCGGGCACAATTGAAGCCTAAAGTCACCACTACAAAGCTGAAGTTTTCACACCAGCACTGGAGGGAGAAAGGGAAGAAGAGGAAAAGTGCTACGGCAGTTAGGAGCACACAGAGACTCCTCTGAAGAGGGCAGGGAATCAGCTTCATAGAACTATGACTTGCAAGATGGATGGATGAGCAATGCCGGCACTGGCAGGTACAGGGAGTCCATTACGGGCTGAAGATAAAATGCCGCTAAAATACAAGGTCATATTCACATTGCACTTCAAAGACCTGACTGAGAAGAGACCTAATGCATATTGGGCTTTCTTCCTTGGGGCTCACCCGCACAAGTCTGGAGCGAGCGTGCAGAGACCAGTTTTAAAAACAAGCCAAGAAGACGGGGTTTGGGGATCACAAAAGATGAAGGATGTGAACTTGGATTAGAAGGGAGAGACCAACCAATGTTCTGAAAGATTAAAGTACCAGATCTGGATACAAGTCAAGAGCACCGCGGGTAGTTTGGAAGGACCAGGGACAAGGCATGGAAAATAAGGAGCTACACAGCGGGTCAGAGATGCATCAAAGGAGCCAGAGTCTGAAGTGTCGGGAGAGGGGACAAAGGCTGCAGAAGTGTTCAAAGAGGCTGTCTGAGTGGGAAGGGCAGGGGAAAGTTGGAGAAGTCAGGCTACAGCGTCCTGGAAGGCAGGAGCTGGGTTCAGAGATGTCAATGGGCTTGGGGCTGGAGGCAGAAGAGCACGAGGGGCGACCTTGGAGGCACGGTGTATGTCAGGGGCATGGAGTGGTCCAAGGCCAACAGTAAGGGCGGGAGGGTAGCTAGGCTGGGCCGTCCGAGGACTCGTACGGGGAGGGACGCACAGCCCCCGGCGGCCTTTGGAACCCGCGGAGCAAAACAGCAGCTTCCAAGCCCTTTGAGAGAGCGGAGGCGCCACGCTCCGAGCGTCGCATCCGCCTCCCCCCAAGTCACCTCAGCACAGCCGTGACCCACCTCGCTCCCGCAGCTCGATCAGGGACAGCGCCGCCTCGGTGGGCGGAGGAAGAAGCCGGAGCCGGAACTCAGAGAGGACCCGCCTCCTCCGCGTCAGGATTGGATTCTAGGATCATCCTTCCTCTCTACGGCCAATAAACATTGGCCTAAGGCGCGGCATACTGGGAGGTGTAGTCCTGAGGAGGTTTGCGTAGCTAAAAACATTTGCCCGCTTGCCGGCTTCAGAACACAGCTGTGAACCTGTCTTCGCTTCTAAGGTCATCAGGTTTCTTTTCTGTTTTACTTTTGAAATGGTGGCCCTCGATAGAAGCCTCGCACTTCATTTAAGGTTTATAGTTTAAGATTAAAAGAGCATGTATCTGGGAATAAATTTAAAGATAAGTATTCTGATTTTTTTTTTTTGTTCAAGAAGCTGTGTCCCCTGTCCAAGGACTGACCTTCAGCCGGCTAGTGGTGGCCCATACAGAGATTTTCTGTGTCCTGCATGATCCTCTGTTAATCCAACAGTCTCATCAGTCTATACACAGTAGACCAGTAGAGTATTTAGAGCTGGATTTTGGTTTGGGTGGTTGGGTTGGGTTTTTTTGTTTGTTTGTTTGTTTTGTTTTGAGTTTTATTTTGAAAATCAAAGATTAGAAGCCTGCAAGATGAAGGGTATAGCGATTAATTGAATGTGTAAAATAACTACAAGCTTTTCGTGTTTGCATGGTCTTTCAGTGCTTGTCTTTGGAGCTGGAAAAGGTTTAGGGCTAGAGATGGCTCAGTGTTTAAGAACCTCTTTCAGGGGACCTGACTTAATTCCTAGCATCCACATCAGGCAGCTTATAACCACCTGTAACTCCAGCTCCAGGGATCCAATATCCTCTTCTGGCCACCTTGGGCACTGCACATGAATACACACACACACATGCACGCGCGCGCGCGCACACACACACAGACGTAATCTGAAAAGAAAAAGAATGACAAGTTTTGTAATCCCAGATCTCTCCTCTATAAAACCCCTGACACAATTATTGTAAGGATTAAGTGAGTGGATAGATGATAGATAGATAGATAGATAGATAGATAGATAGATAGATAGATAGATAGATAGGACAGACAGACAGACAGACAGACAGATAATTTCCTGCTCCCACAAACTTTTACCACTAGGTAAGACCAGTGTGTGTTAGTTTTAGGATTGGCTCTTCCAGCAATTACATTTGGAGCTGAAGATGTGTGTGAAATATAAGTATCTATCATACACAATTAGTTTATAAATTTGTAAAAATAAAACATCAGAAGGCAGACTCAGGAGTAAAAGTGAGTTTATTATGAACTGTGTCTAAAGTTTGCTTGAACAGAAGCTGAGCTATTCAGAAACCAACCCATCATGTGTTTTCTCCACAACTTCCTTCACAATGAAGACAACATGCCAAACAATAAGTACTAAATGTTGTATTTAATAACTATACAAAGACAAACAAAATATTCCTTCTGGGCTGTAATGGCAAATGTTATGTATCACCTTGACCAGGTCACAAAGTTCCCACATACTTCATCAGACATTATATTTGTTGTCCCTATGAGGGTAGTTTGGACAAGATTTACATTTAATCAGTAGATTGAGAAAAACAGTTACCCTCCTTAATTCCAGTTGGAGCCCCCCAGCCAGTGAGATATCTCAGAACAGTTGTGTGGCCTCTCAGGCTTTGGACAGGACATCAGCTCTTTCCCTGCCTTGTACTGGAATTAAAACACTGGCTTTCTAAGTCTCCAACCTGCCAACTTCAGTCTAATATTTATTCATTTTCTGCCCCCACCCCTCACTACACACACACACACACACACACACACACACACACACACACACACTGTTGGTTCTGTTTCTCTAGGGAATTGGAAAGAACTTGTAACAGATCTAGTTCCAGAGGGGTCCAGCTCTCTTCCCACCTGCAGATTGATGGGAAGCTCTACAAACAGGCTGAATAACATACTTGGTATTACTTGAAAGTGCCTTGCCTTCTTTTTCTAATCCACATTTAGTGTGTGTGTGTGTGTGTGTGTGTGTGTGTGTGTGTGTGTGTGTAAACCTCATCCTCTGGAGCTGGAGTTCCAGGTGGTTGTCAACTGCCCAATATGGGTGCCAGAAACCAAACTCGGGTCCTCTGCAAGAGCAGTAAAAGCTCTTAATTGAGCAGTCATTTTTTTCAGCCCTGAATTCATTATTTTATTGTCTCACTTTATAATCTTTCAAATAATGTCTTATTTGGTTTTGGGTCTTTTAGGGGCTAGGGGGAATTAAGAGAGGGCCTCTCCATATAGCTCTAGCTGTCCTGGAACTCATTATGCAGACCAGACTCATCTCAGACTTACAGAAATCCACCTGCTGGGATTAAAGATGTGCACCACCATACCCAGCAATGAAACGTCTTGTTTTAAATAAGACCAGCTTTCTTGAGATTAGTAATCTCTGACCCAGAGGCTATTGTCAAGTCTCGAAAAGTGATGGTCTTGTGGGTGTATTGAGGTGAACGGCTCAAATTGCCATTTTTCTCACTGGGCCTCTCTGAACTTCATGAGGTATTCAGAAGCCTCAGAGCCATAGATAGCATAGTGACTCATCTGCTCAAGGCCACACATCTGTTTACAGATGTGCCTACCAGCCCCATGCCTATGTTGAGGTTTGTGGGGGGGGATTATGGTTCCTGGTCATCATGTAGGTTAATTAATTTTTGAAAACATGTACATTCTAGATGTCTCCATTTCAAACTAGCTGTTGAAAACATCCTCTGGATGTCTCCAGCCTGCGCTTTAAACAAGCATGAAGAAAATAGAAAATTATGGGGTGTTGACATCTGTTTCAGTACTGAACAAAAAAGGGAGGATGTGTGATTTACAAGACATATGCTTGTAAAGAGCTGGCTTTGGGAGTTAGAGGCCTGAATTGGGTGGAAAAAAGAAGAACAGTTTTGGATGGAAGAAGTCAGGGTCTGGGCTGTAGCTTCATCACTGAAAATCCGTTGAGAAAGCTGACACTGAGAAGTTCCAGTCAAGGTTCCCTGTCCCCTGAGCATTGAACCCTGCTGCAGTACAACCAGTGGCTCCTACTAAACCTCTACTGATTCAGCTTTGTTCATTTCAAGAAGGCATCCACCAGGACACTGGAAATGCCTTGTCTCTAGGGGGGAAAAAAGGCAGTGTTCAGAATTGAGCCTTGGGAGAAGTGGTACAAAGAGAAACTATAGAAGGGTCTGAATTTGAGTCAAAAGACATGAAGTACTGAAGAAACAGGTGCTGGGCCAGGAGATAGAGTCCAGGGTGCTCATAGGAGTGGATCACAGGACACAGCACTACAAAGAAGGGACCTTGAGCCCCTGCAGGGCAGGGCCAAGGTTAGAGTGCCAGGTATCATTGACTGGAAAAAGCTCAGAACCCTGAGGAAACAGTAAGGATGGGTTCACAGTCAGGGTCATGTCTCCATTAGCTTGGCTTTTTTCTTCTTGTTTGGTGACAATCGATTCATCCGATTTCTGTAGTTCAGTACAAATGACTAGAGGTGCTGTGTTTTTCCCCTCGTCATGAAGACACGGTTCAAAGAAGGGGCGGAGGGGGCCAGAGAAACTGTGGGTGAAGGTGAAGATGTGGGACTTGTCAGTGACATTGTAGAAGGAGATAACTCCTGCTTCATAGTCCAAGAAAACCCCCACACACTTTGGGGACTCCTTCAGACGGAAGGAAGTCTGCGGGGACGTGAGAGCTTCATACTCATTCCTACGGCTCTGTCGCACAAGCCAATGGCCATTGGCAGGTGAGGCTGTGACCTTCCCTTTCCTGCTCACAGAATCGCTACACACTCCAAGGATCCATTTGGTCTTCTCGCCCACGTACACTTCCCAGTAGTGACAGCCAGTTGTGAAGTACTCAGAGCCCAGAACGCTGACAACAAAATCAAACCTCTGAGGGTTGTCAGGGACAGGTCGCTTCTTGTCACCCAGTCTCACATATCTCCGATCCTCAGACAGAATGAGTTTGGGATGTGCTGTGTCAGGGTCCAAGGTCACCACCACTGCAGAGAGTTAGAGGTGAGAAGAGACATTTGTGTTTTAAGGAATCTTCGGGTAGATTTGGAGGGAAGAATGCTCTGGAGGTCTGCAATCTATCATTAATCTGTTTTCGTTTATGGCTTTCCCTGACCATCTCCACAGATGTACTGGAATTAGACTTCTGGCTTACAGGCAGAAAGCTTGCCCAGTGGGCCTGAAGTCCTTGGTTCCAACTCCAGCACTATGTAAAACAGGTGGGGTGACACATGATAGTATTAGAGGGTGAAGGCTGGGGCATCAGTAGTTCAAGGTCATCCTTGGCTTCTGAGATAATTTGAAACCAGCCAGCACTGCATTAGACTGCCTCGAAAAGCCAAAACACACACACACAAAATCTACACTTGGGTGTTAGACCCTGTTCTGGTTAGGTTTTTTTGTTTGTTTGTTTTTTGTTTTTGTTTTTTTTCTTTGTTTTTGTCAGCCTAATAAAAACAAGACTCTAGTGGTTCTCGACCTGTGGGTTGCAACTCCTTTGGAGGTTGTGTATCAAATATCTTGCATATTAGATATTTATATTTTGATTCATAACAGCAGCAAAGTTATGATTATGAAGGAGCAACAAAATAATTTTATGGTTGGGGATCAGCACAACATGAGGAACTGTATTAGGAAGGTTGAGAACCACTGGGCTAGAAATTTGGGAAGAGGGAAATTCATTTAAGGAAATGCCTCCCATCTAGGCGGTGGTAGTGCACACCTTTAGTCCTAGCACTCAAAAGATAGAAGCAGGTAGATCTCTGTGAGTTGGAGATCAGCCTGGTCTACAGAATGAGTTCCAGGGTTAGCCCGATTTACAGAACAAGTTCTAGGACAACCAGGGCCACACCGAGAAACCCTGTCTCAAAAAAACAAAACAAAAACAAACAAAACAACAACAAAAACTGTTGGGTTCATTTTCTTGACACCACTGTGGGTGGTGTCACCCCTGGGCAGGTGGTCCTGAGTTGTATGAGAAAGCAGGCTGGACAAGCCATAGGGAGCAAGCCAGTGAGCAGCATCCCCCCATAGTCTGTACTTTTGTCCCTGCTTCCAGATTCCTGTTTTGGCTTTGCCTCATGATTAACCGTAAGCTGTGAGCCAAATATACCCTTTCCTTCTGACTTAGTTAGGGTTGCTATTGATGTAATAAAACACCATGACCAAAAGGAAGCTGGGGAGAAAAGGGCTTATTTGGCTTACACATCCTTGGTCATGATTGGTAATTTAAGAGAAGTCATAGAGAACCACAGATTTGATCCAACTATGCTACACAATAACAAAATTAATAATAATAATAAATTTACAGTCTTCATTCAAATGCAATGGGATGAAAACATAAGTGACAGAGTTTGAGAGGGATGGACTCTGGAATGGAAACCAGTAAGGTTGATTTAACTTACCAAAATGCAGTCTGGCTCTCCTCCAGCCTGAAAAGCAAAAGTGGGGTTTGTTAAAGCCCAATGGAAATGGAGGCATCCCAGGGGGTGGAGCCTATCCCAGGACAAGAGCATCTTACCTGCATTGGCTGCTGTTCTTTTCAGCTCTGGGGGAGAAGACACAGGAGGTGAGCTGTCTGTTACTGGACTTACAGGGCAGGAGATGAGTTGGTACAGAAATTATAAAAAACTTGGGAAACTTACTCAGTTCACTCCGGAGTTTCTCTGAAGAATAAAGACAGTGGACACATCAGAACAAGGACAATTACCCACTCACAATGCTCCAGTCCCTCACACCCACATCCCCATAGCAGATTAGAAGCAGCCCTGTCCTGGGACTTTCCCCATAATGATGTCTGCAATAATGACATGGCTCCCAGCTGTGGCCCAAGCATATGACAGATGATCCCCAAATTCCTATATGAGCCAAACCTTACCTACATATGATATGTTGCTTGTGCTCTAACAAATAAAGCTTTCCTGAAGATCAGAGGCAGGAGCTAGCCACTAGTTAACCATAGAGGCCAGGAAGTGGTGGTTCACACCTTTGATCCTCTCACTTGGGATCTCATGCCTTTGACCCCAGTCCTTGGGAGGAACACACCTTTAATCCCAGCACTAAGGAAGTGTACACAGGAATATAAGGCAAGTGGAGGCAGGATCTCGGCCCTTCAGTCTGAGGATTTCTTAGAGGTAAGAACTTAAGTGGATGGCTGCTTTACTTCTCTGATCTTTCAGCTTTCACCCCCTAATATCGGACTCTGGGTTTTTATTATTAAGACCAATTAGATTCGTGCTGCACCTACAGGTCCAATAAATGGTACATGTCACACTTGTGGGCAACAATATAAGTGAAGCATGTGAAGGTGTTGTCCGATATAAGTTTATGGAAAACTGTCACCAAATCCCTATTAAATCTTGTTGGCATGTATATTTTCTCTATGTAAAATATGTAGACATGTTACATGCCTTCAGTTTTTTATTTGTTTTCTTGCATTTTGGTTTGGTGGTGGTGGCTTTTGTTTTGTTTTGTTTTGTTTTGTTTTGGATGCAGGTTCTCACTATGTGGCTCTGGCTGGACTGGTGTTTGATATACAGACCAGGCTAGCCTCAAACTCACAGATGTGCCTGCCTCTGCTTCCTGAGAGCTGGGATTAAAAGTATGTGCCACCATGCCTGGCAGGTTTTTGTTATTAATAAATGTTAAAAAAATTTTATCCTGTGGATAAAATAGCTGAGAATTCAGAAAGCTGTGTCACATTCAAGTGGGGACTCAACTGCCATAGATAGAATGTAAAGGATGTCCGGATGGTTTCGCCTAAGAGAGGCACACATCTTGGTAAAACAGTTCCCACTTATAAACTACGTTAAGTGCTGTGCAGGCAAGAGAAGCAGAGAGCATTCACAATGGGGCTGTCAAGAGCTAAGAAACCTCCAGCCTCCTTGAATTACCCCGTTTCCCTGCCCACATAGTGAAACTGAGTCATTCAGCCGGCAGCAGAGACAGCAGCAGAAATAAGGTATTGCAACAGAACTTTCCAGAACTTACTGATGGCTTTGTGGAGTCTTCCTGAAAACCAGAGAGAGAGAGAGAGAGAGGAGTGAGTGACCAGAGCCTGACCCTTTATCGCTGGGGCTCTGGATGGCTTACCACTCGGCCACCCCACGAAGAAAGGGTTGAAGCTGCTTTCATGAGCTCCTGACCCAATCCGTGGTTTTGAAGGTCACACTCAAGAGTCCAATGGAGCTTGCGTCATTTTCCTGCCAGCAAGCTGACCTTTGGTTCTCCTTTTCCTTTTTTTTTTTTTTTTTTTTTTTTTTGTCTGGTCTCACTTCCTCTGTCTGTTTCCATGTTTGTAACCTCTGTCTGTTTCCATGTCCGTAATACCAGAGTGTGTGTGTGTGTGTGAGAGAGAGAGAGAGAGAGAACATGTACACACATGTGCATGTGCCTTACTGCCTTTTGCAGCCTCCTATTTACAGTATCTAAGGTGTAAAAGTAGCTAAAGGCCTAGCACTAACTCACTGGAGTGACTTTATAATTCTCTAGAGCAATTCTCCAAAGTCACTGTTTCCATAGTTTGGGGTCTCGGGAAGTTTGGAATATTTATATACTTCCTGTGCTTTGCAAGAGTGCTTCTAGCTTCTCTAGAGGTCCCTCCTGGCCCTGGCATTATCCTTGCCAGAAAATCAGAACCACACATCTGAGTCCACCCAGCCAAGGGCTGGACACTGGGTAGGTTCCTGGGCTTGGGACAGTGAAGCTTCTCAGGAGCTTAGGACGTGTGGCTGTCACTGCCACTAACTGCTTCCATTCAACGTGTCCTGCTCTTACACACATAGAAACAGTGGAACCTCCTAACAGTGACATGCATGGAATTATTATTTCTGCTTTGAAGAAAATGGGCTGAGGCTCAGAAGGACATGAAATTTTCTCAAGGTCATCTAACTAGTAAGTGACCAAGAAGGCAAGATTTGAACTCAAGTGTGTCCGACTTCTGAGTCAGTGTCCCTTGCCATCACACAACTCTGTTCCTTTGTGCTCTTGGGCAGGACAGCCAGCATGACCACAGTGTACACTCCAAATTCCAGGCTGGGGAGAAATGAGGCAGGGCACAGAATCTAACAGCATTGAACTAGGAGCCATCAAGCCAGTGTTAGTTATGTCCTCTCCTCAAGACTTCAAAAGCATGTCTTTTGACTTTTGTCCTGGGTGGATCCCAGCACACATTCATCCAATTAATGATGATAAAATGGCATTGAGAGAAAGGAGCCCCAGACCCTGTGACAGATCTTTTGAAATGTTTTCTCTTTTATCACTGGAACTTACTATCCCTATGTTACAGACAAGGAATCCAGAGCTCAGGGCAAGACTGAATTATTCAAGGCCACAATATGGCAGGCCAGCAAGTTGAGTCAAGTACTTCTGACCCCAGAGCTTGCAGCCCTTTCAAGCCACCACACCACCTCTCTCCATGTCAAGGTCATGGGATTCCAAAGTTTCACGTGCATCCCCGGTGACCTTGCTCATATATGTTTCAGTCACAAGCAGACCTCCTTTTAGAATGATTGCTAGAAAGACTGATGAAGGGAGCACATGATGACACAGACACATGCATTTTGAGCACTGGCATCTCCTCACCCACCGCCACCGACTCCCTTGCCCCTTGACACTGGAAACTAAATTCTGGCGCTGTAGAGGGACTGCTGGCATTTACTGTAAGTGGAAAGAATGCCATATTTGCTCGATGCCTCTCGTTCTGTACATACCTTTTTCTTTGGCATGGTCTTCCAGAAGATTTTCTAGAGAAAGAAAAGGGAAAGCAAGTAAGACTCTTAGTCATTTTTGAGGAGGTTCCTGAGTCCCTGTTGGTTTCCTCAGCTCTTGAACAGACCCAACTCTGCCATCTTTACCCCCCCACCCAATCCAGCCCATCATTTCTCTCCTGAACCACAAAAATGGGAACCCAATTTGTCTCATATATTCTGTCTTACTCTTCTGGTTTCTTCACAGCACAATAGCCAAAGCACCCTCTTCAAAGCTCGGTCAGGGTACCCCATTCAGTGCTTTACCACTGCTTTTTGGAGAAAGGCCTTGAATTCCTCCATCAACACAAACAGAAGGTGTTGTGAGCTAAACAAAATTTAGTTCTGTGAGCCCTGGAGATACAGAACTCAGCAAAACAAAAGCATGCCCCCCACCCCTGCCCCAGACACTTACCTACCTCCATCACCTGTTCATAGAGAAGCTTCTCTAGAAAGGAGAGAAGGAGATCGAGCTCAGCTTAGGAAGCATTTTCTCCAGCATTTGCCTAAGCCGTCTGCATAGGACTGACCTCTTGCCAATATAGGTATATGGCTGTTTGAAAAGATCAGAGTCTTCACACCATCAAATGGGGGGAGAGAGGATGGGTTATGTAATTTTCCAAATCCTTTGCAATCAAGAGCCCAAGAAATGTGACCATTTTAATGAGGGTTTTATCCAAGTGACTATAATTGGATTTCCTGATTAGAAGACTCTAATATCTTAGTTAATTAGAAAGCTGCCAGGGTTGATTCCGATCTAATTTCTCAAAGGGTGAGAATTCACAGCTCTACTCAGAGCCTCTCTACAGTTTACTCCATTCCCTCTGCCATGTGAGTCCCTGGTTTATGACTGTCCCAGTTTTCAACTCTCAGGGTCTCCCTCCTGTAGTAAATGCCATGTCCACATCTACTTCTATTGGTCTTTCCCCAGAGCAACCACAGTCTCCCACACTGCTCACACCCCCACACACCCATAGGAGCTATCCCCATAGCTCCTTGACCACCAAGTTACCTTTTGATCTTTTTTGTTTACAGATTATCCAAATGCCAAGAAGGATGAGGAGCCCCAAGATAGGCAAGACCACAGAGAGAGCCACGGTTGGAGAGGACAGACTTCCGGGAGCTGGGGCTGAAATAGAGACCACAGTGACCATGCTCAAGGAGACATCTGAGAGCAACTCCCAGCCTCGGAGGGCAGATGGCTCAGGCACATCCAGCTGTCTCCATCGCCTCTAGGGAGAGCCCCGCCAAGACTGATGAGGCTCTTTGCTTCTCTTGTTAACTCAAACTCTGGGTGACAAAGAGAAATGGGCTGTTCACATTTCTAAAGGCTTCTCAACCACAAGCTCTCCCTGTCCTCTAATTCCATGGACAAATGCTCTAGGGGCCCAAAGTCCTGAAATGTGTGCTCTATAATAATTACCAGCAGTCAGTTTCTCAGGAGTCCTGCCTGCCTTCTCCCAAACCCTTTCTGTTGTGCAACCACAGGCTTGGCTAGAACAGTAGGTTCCAGGCCAGCTTCTCTGCTCCACCATCAGCAGTAGCAGGCAATACGAAGTCTTTGGACCACAGTAGCAGGCCTAAAGCCCAGACAGGAAGGAAAAAGAGTGTGACTGTGATCCCAGGAGGCAAGACAGGAAAGGGGTAGAGCTGTGGTAAGTGGTAGGGAGTCCCAGATGGCTTATGTCCTTGTTTAACCATTGGGTGACTCTAGGCAAGAGACCCAGCCTCTCCCAACCTGGGCTAACTCATCTGTAACCCGGAGAAGGTAAGAGTCTTAATGCCCTGGGACTGGGGGGAAGGACTTAAATAAGTCATCTTAAACTCCTATCAGCTAGGGAGAGGCAATGACAGAAGTAAGAGGGGGGGGCATAAGGGGAGGGATGAAGATAAGGATTGGCAGATGTCCAGGAGGCTTCTCTACCGACTTTTTTATCACATGACTCCATATTTCAAAGCTTCATGATTTTTGACCCAGCCATTTTATTTATTTATTTATTTATTTTTAGAATGTCTTCTGAATCAGCTCCCAAATACGTATAAAGATGTCCATGGCATCGTTAGTTATAACATGAGGGGAAACTGCAAAGCATCTGGAGTCCGGTTAATGTGTTTGATCTATGGCCACATGATGAAATTTGATGCCTCCCAAAAAAATCAATTTATGAAAAAATACTTAAGGATATAGACAAAAAAAAAAAAAGCTTATGTGTTGACAAGTGAGAAAAAATGAGGTACAAATATGCATACATGCATATAAGCATATGCACACTCCTCAGAGGGTATGTGCATGGAGGTAAATCTTGAGAGCAAGCCCCCCAAAATGTTAGCAGTAGTTCTCTGTAATTAATGAGATTCTATGCCATTGTTTTGATTTCTCCAAAATGCTCCACTTTTTGATGTTTATTTTTTTACAATATATATTCTTAGAGCTGTAATATGATATAATTCATAGAACAAAAAATTGAAAAAACTAATTTAAAATTTTTTATTTACATGGGTGTTTTGCTTGCACATATGTCTATGTAGCATGCGTGTTTCTGGTGCCCTAACTACTGAGCCATCTCCCTAGCCCTGAAAATTCTTTATAAAGGTCCCGCTGAGGTAGGAGTTTCCTCCAGGCCTCTCAGGAGCCTCAAGCTGATTTGTACCCCAGCATTACCTCCAATAACCATGGCTGTGCTCTTCTCTTTTCCAAGGATCTCATTACGGACAGTGCAAGACACATTTCCCAGAGCATTGTTCCTGACTCTGCTGGACACTGCTATTTGGAATAGTCCAGTTTCATCCAGGAAGTGGGCCTCTGATAGGGACTGGAGCACTCTGCCCTCAGTGTCTCTCCACTCGGTCCATGGCTTTGGGAACCATCCCATTGACCGGCACACCAGCTGGATCCATCCAGCATCATAGCCCTTCACATGGATGAAGGGATCAGAACCTGAAACTAAAGAGGACAGATTGCCTGATTGAGGCAACCCAACTGACTGGCAGGGACCTGGCAAAGCCACAGTCCTAGCCAATGTCCTACTCTCTACCCCTTCCTCTGATGGACAGCCACAGCTGTTAACAGAGCTTAGTTTCTGCCTTCTTACTGTTACCCGCGGCAGCTCTGTCCACCACAATGGAATAAAACAGTCAATCCAAATGAAGTTCAAGATCCACTCATGGCAACACCAGCACCATACATACTATTCTGATTATTTGGGTACCTCAGTCCCTGTTTGAAAATGACTTGCCCCTCCCCCCCAGGACTCCATGATTGGAAAGAGTCTACCAACAACTGTGTGTTTTAAATGAATTTGTCCCTCTTATGTAACTAAATGACAATCAAAAGATGATCAGGGGCTGGAGAGATGAGATGACTCAGAGGTTAAGAGCACTGGCTGCCCTTTCAGAGAACCCAGATTTGATTCCCAGCAGTCACATGGCAACTCACAACTGTCTGTAATTCCAGTCCCAAGGGGATCTGACACTCTTCTGGGGTCTGTAGGCCCCAGGTACCCATGTGGTATACAGATATACATGCAAGCAAAACACCCAAACACATAAAATAAAAATAATTAAAGAAAAAGATGACCAGTGGCAACCCCACGGAGGTGGCATGAAGCAAGTGCAGAGACTTGGGTTGGGTCTGAGTTAGGTTGATTCTTGTAAAAACACTGAAACTATTTTGAGGAACAATATCTGACTTCTGACCCTTTAAATACTCAAGAACCCGGGAAAGGACCATGAAGCAAATTCTTGTCTCCACTGGGAATTCTGGTCCTTGAGGACCTGGTTCTGAGTTTCTTGGTAATGGAGCAGAGAGGGCTGCCCTTGTCTGAGCCTATAAGCCTGTGTTTATCCAGGTCCTGCACTGTATTTTCCACAATCCAGGTTTCTTCCGCTCTCAGAAAGAAATACCAGCCAGGGCTTTGTTGAGATGAGCACATCAGACTAAAGAAAACAGAGCTGACAAAGCGATTGCCACATATAACCCAAGCCTCTTCAAACCAACCTAACCTGCCACTTGCAGAGTCACGTTGCCTTCTTGACTCTGGTTCCCGTCCCGGAACTGGCATTGGTACTGCCCTCGGTCCTCGAGCCTCACATTGCTGATGTGTAGAATGTAAGTTCTCTTGTGATCATCTCTCACCAGCATCGTCCTGCCCTTATATTCCGGCATCAGATTTTCATCACTGTCCTTCCCATCCTTGAGCACGTGAACAGCCTGGGTGCAAGGCGGGTGTGCGGGCCGTTGCCACCTCACTTCACTGAGCACCGTGTCTTGCAAGAGCAAGAGAGGGCAAGGCAGTTTCGCTGTGCCTCCGAGTGGAGCCATGTAGGACTTGTCAGCATCCCCTGCATGGCAGAGGCCAAAAGGAGAGAAGGATACTGAAGAGATGACTTAGGGAGGAGTGAGAAAGGAGAGTATTTTAGGGAAAGGCAAAGCCTGGCAAGGACGGAGGAAAACGGAGCCCAAGAAGAACCAACCAAATTCCAGCCTTAACCCTATCAGACCTCCCAAGCAGAGAAAGATCCAAAATGCCTACCTGACACCGGAGCAGGCAGCTGGAGGAAGGCTAGAGTGAGGAGGCAGCCAAGAAGCCAGGAGCCAAAAGCACTTGGTGGTCTCTCCATATGAACTAGGACGACACCGGAAGAGAGAGAACTGATGAACTTGAGCTGAGGAACCTAGGACCTGCGGCTGAGATCCAGGTCACATGTCCTACCCGAGGAGCAAGGGCATGTGCTTCTAAGCCCAGCTTCACTACCCGCTCCCCTGTGACACTACCCTTAAATGTTCGTGTGACTAAAATTCTCAGAAACTCTTTCTTTTCTTCATTCTTAAATATTTTTAATTCTATGTATATATGAAGGGGATGCATGAGAACCACGTGAGTGCAGGTGCCCTCAGAGGCTAGAGGAGGGTGTCGGCTCTTCTGCTAACTGGAGACGCCAGTGGTTGTGAGAGGCCTGGTATGGATCCAGAGAATGGTCCCCTGCAAAGGTAGCAAGTGCTCTTAATGCTGAGCCATCTCTCCAGCCTCCCTGACACCCTTTTTGGGTTTATATATAACAAACAGGGGCTTCCAAGTCCACCATTTCATCATGGAGGCACCAACCCTTCAAAAGGGCACTGGGAGTTGAGTAGACCTGGGTTCAGGTCTACTCTATTTCCATTTGCTACCTCCACATCTCTAGCAAAGTTGTGTGCTGTGGTGCCAAGTTCTCAGTCCATGGGGGAGGGGCTTCTTCACAGGTAGGTGGGATGATTCAAGAAAAGAATGTGCACCAAGCACTGGCCAAAGATGCCTGGAGAACAAGTGCTTGATGAACATGTACTGAAAAGGGGGTAGTCACAGCTCAGAGGTGCAGATCACTGTGTGCTCTAGCAGTGGAGACCCCGAGAGTCCCCTAGTTAAGTGCTGCCCGCCCACTTGCTATTGCCTGAAGTTCCTTTAGCAGGAGGCAGAATCTTTCATACTAACACCCTAGGAAGAGAGAAAACTTCCAAAGTCTCTCCAACATTTCACATCCTTTGTATGTCTTTGGTTATCAGAAAACAATCTGGGGGTGCTGGAGAGATGGCTGAGCTGTTAAGTGCACGCCCTGCTCTTGCAGAGGACCTGGGTTCAATTCCCAGCACCCACATGGTAGCTCACAACCATCTATAGCTCCAACTCCAGGGGTTCCAATGCCCTCTTCTGACCTCCACGGGTACTAGGCATGCACCTGGTATACATGCATGCAGACAACATACATACACATAAAATAAAAAATGATAAATCTTTTTTAAAAGCATAAAACCATTGTGGCACTTTGGTACCTGATGTTTGCAGTGAATGTGCCATCACACACATTTTCCATGCCACCACATAGTCTTCTAAATAGCTTCAGTGTTCCAACATGGACCTGTGAGAATTTTCAAAAATATTCCATAGAATAGGCTTGAACATTGCTATAAATGACAGTGGTTGGCAGCTGGAACTAGGAGGCTTAATCCTAGTAGTATAGTCTACAGCTAAATGATACTCTAAGTTAAAGGAAACTGCTTAAACTCTTAGGCCTTAAGTCTCCTAATTTTAAAATAGGAATGTTTTAAAATTTCACCACCAAATTGCCCTAAGGAAAGGTTAAGTCAAATCAATTAAAATATACTTTCTTGTTTTCCTACAACCTTGCCTTCAGTGGAATGAATCAAGTTTTTAAAGTATTTCTGGGAATTTGATAATCATTCTCAATAATCTGTATTTCTTTGATTATTTATTTATTTGGTCCTTGTCAATGACTCCCTCTGTATTTTGCTGGTTTTTCTCCTTGTCACATTTGTCTTTTAATGGCTTGAAAAATTCTCCATATAGTAACCATGACAAGTTGAAAGTATTTTCCCCCAGTCAGAGTCAGTTACATTTTAAGCTTGAACTAGTTTTTTTTTTTTTTTTTTTTTTTTTTTTTTTTTGTATCTAAATCAGAAAAAAAAAAAAACAAAACTAGAAAGAGGAGGAGGAAAGGATCCCAACAGACATTCTAACCATTGTCCCATTTTATCCTTTAAGATATTCTTTGTAAAAAGAAAGATTATTTCTTTATGTTCATGAGCTTGAGGATCCTGAGAAAGTTAAAGATCTAGATAGACTAAGAAAGAAGGGAGATGGGAGAGAACTCACCACATTTGGGATGCGGGATCTTTGTTCTTTAGCGGCAGAGCTGGAGCCTCCCAGCTGGGAATATCGTCTCCCCACAGGCAGGGTGACCTGACATCAGGCAGGAGTGCCAGGAAGATCCCAAGAGATGGGCCTGGGGGAAATTCATATTCTAGACTGACGACAGAGAGCCTCAAAGCCAAGGGCCCCCTCTACCCCATAGATGGCCTTCTGGCGGTCCCCACAAACAAACAAGCAACGCCCTGTCTGCCCATCCCTGATAAAGCAAGAGTGTGGAAAGGAGGCTCCCAAAGCGAGGGAACAGTCTCTGCCATGGCAAAGAAAGGGCTTTCCCCCAGCTCTCTTCCTCCAGTGCTTGGTGTAACAGTGACTCCTGCAATTTGATGGCATCACTTGTTTTCTTAAGAGCTTGTTCTCCTTTATGTCTCAACCAGCATAGATTAGGAGATTTGTGAATGGAACTGGAGCCTATGTAAAGAGAAATAAGGCAGACTCAGGAAATAATACTGCTCATTTCTTCCTATATGTGGGACTAACATTTAGAGAGGTGTGTGTGTGTGTGTGTGTGTGTGTGTGTGTGTGTGTGTGTAGAAAGGAGAAAGGAGACCATGGGAGAGGAGAAAGAAACCATAAGCACAGGGGGATAGCAAAGTAATACAGGCAATATAAAAGCAGGAGGGAGGACTATTGGGGAGGAAGAGGAACAGCAAGAAGTGGTCAGGAATGTGTGAGGTCTTGGGAGAGAGGATGAATAAGGATAAAGTATAATGACATGTACATATGAAAATGCCATGAGGAAACCCATCACTTAAACTAACTTTAAAAATTAGAAGGTTGTCTTCAAGACACCCGCCAATCAGCCATACTCTTTAAGCTACTGCTTTATCTCCTGCTACACCTTGACAAATGCTTTCAGACAAGCAAACTTGCTTCCTGCCCCTCCTGTGTTACACCCTTCTCAACTGGCTTACCTTCATACCGCCCATGACTGTATTCATAGCAATACAAAATACTCACTTTGACTTTTGTAAGATTCCCTGTGGTGTTTGTTTGTTTGTTTGTTTGTTTGGGGTTTTTGTTTGTTTGTTTGGTTGGTTGGTTGGGTTTTTGTTTGGCTCAGTCAACACTGGGTTTTGAGTCTAGCAGATTTTGTTGGTGGCCTGCACCAAAGCCCCTGATAAGGGCTGGCTTGTCATCTAATTTCAGTGTAGCTAAAACTTGTCAGCAAGCTGTTTGACCCCAACAGCTCTTTGCTTACTGTCTGAGATTCTACACAAAGGTTCAGCAGCCCATTTAGCCTATGGGCATCCCCAGAGTTCACCATGAATAGTGTTCTAAGGAATCTCGGGAGCAGTTCTACATATATACTCCTCCGAGATTTCCCACTGGGACCCTAGATGCAAGAAACCCTTTTCTGGGAGGGAGCGAAGATGGCTTAGCAGTTAAGAGTACTGGATGCTCTTCCAGAGGACCTGGGTTCAATTCTTAGCAACCTCATGGTAGTTCACAACTGTCAGTAACTCTAGTTCCAGGGGATCTGACTCCCTCAACAGACACACACAAAGTCAATGCACATAAAATAAAAATAATTTTTTAAAGAAAGAGAACACTTAGAAAGAAAGGAAGAAAGGAAGGGAGAGAGGGAGGAGAGAGGGAGGGAGGGAGAGAGAAGCTGTTCTTCTCCTGGATGTCCTCCTGAAAATTCTTGCACTGAAGAGCTTCTCTCACACTCTGCTTTGGGTATAGAGTAGTGTTGTAGTAATTAAGACACTGGAATTTATCCATCTGGCAAGACTCTGGGTTTCATCTCCAATACACACACACACACACTCATTACACATTCATCATTCATTTGTGTTAGGAAACTTCCAACTCCACTGTCTCCTAGTTATCTTGAATATATAATAGATAATTATAAATGTACTTACCCTAGAATACTACATCTTATCTCTCCTATATAAGTATATGTTGGCAGTCATAACCCAGCTTTTGTCTATGTCCCTTCCACCAAGATTTTTTGTTTGTTTGTTGTTTTTTTTTTTATTTATTTGCTTACTTTTATTACATATACTATGTCTGTCTGCATATCTGCCTGTACTCCAGAAGAGGGCACCAGATCTCATGATAGATGTTTGTGAGCCACCATGTAGTTGCTAGGAACTGAACTCAGAACCTCTGGAAGAGCAGCCAGTGCTCTTAACCTCTGAGCCATCTCTCCAGCCCCCTTCCCCCTAGTTTTAATTGTTTGTTTTCAGACCGCATCTCACTACATAGTCCAGATTGGCCTCAAGTTTGTAACCCTCCTGCATCTGCCTCTTGAGTGATGGGATTAAAGCCATTCACAAAATCGGGCCCCACCATGCTGCTCTTTGAGGAGTAAATGGACGGAGTTCTGGACTTCCAGCTAAACAAATATGGTTTTATTGAACACCTCCCCAGCCCCGTAGCCGCTAGACTTTTAAAAGACATTTCTTGTCTTCTCTCCTTTATTTATTTTTGTTTGTTGGTTGGTTTTTTCAAGACAAGGTTTCTCTTTATAGCTTTGAAGCCTGTCCTGGAACTCACTCTGTAGACCATGCTGGCCTCAAACTCACAGAGATCTGTCTGCCTTTGTCTCCTGAGTACTGAAATTAAAGACATATGTCACCAATGCCCAGCCTTTTCTCCTTTATGTGAAGCAGAGCCTGCTTGTGTAGCTCAAGCTGCCGTCCAATTTGAGCTCTTCCTGAGTGCTGTGATTACAAACACTCATCCAAGCCCCTGGCTCTTGTACTCTCTCCCGGTTGGTGAAGTATAAATATGCACTATAGAAATTTCACAAAATACAGAAAAACTTAAACAAGATGAATATAATCCCCACTAATAAAACAAAATGTATTAACAATTTTGGTGTTTTCTCCTATTTTCTGTTTTAAAACTATAAAACAAATGCTATAGTTAGACAATCTACGTTCTTTGTCCCTCTTTTTTTTTTTTTTTTTTTTTTTTTTTTTTTTTGGTTTTTTGAGACAGGGTTTCTCTGTGTAACTTTGAAGCCTGTCCTAGAACTCACTTTGTAGATCAGGCTGGCCTTGAATTCACCGAGATCCACCTGCCTCTGTCTCCTGAGTACTGGGATTAAAGGCATATGCCAACATCGCCTGGCCAGCTTTTGCATTTTTAATATAGGAAAGCAGTGTGTGTGTGTGTGTGTGTGTGTGTGTGTGTGTGTGTGCGTGGAGACCAGAGGTGAATGTCAAGGGTCTTCCTCAATTGAACTCCACCTTATGTTTTGAGACAGTCTGTTACTGAACCTGGGCCACCAGAGTGCTTAGGTTGCTTGGTCAACATGTTCTAGGGAATCTGCCTAGAATGTTTTGTTTATTTTTTTAATATCTTTTTGTTAATTTTAAAATTTATTTGTTATGTATAGTGTTCTGCCTATGTGTATGCCTGCACAGCAGAAGAGGGCACAGATCCTGTCATAGATGATTATGGACTACCATGTGGATGCTAGGAATTGAACTCAGGACCTTTGGAAGAGCAGCCAGTGCTCTTAACCTCTGAGCCATCTCTCCAGCCTGTAAAGAGCATTTTATTACGTCATAAAACTTTCTTCTATACAATCTTAATTGTTGCGTTGAATTTTATTTACTTTTTTGTCCATTTTTTTTTTTAATTTTGAGACAGGGTCTTTTTATGTGGCCCTGGCTGTCCTAGAACTCACTATGTAGGCTAGACTCAAATGAACAGAGATCAGCCTACCTCTGCCTCCTGAGTGCTGAGATTAAAGGTGTGCACCACGATGCCTGGCTCTTTCACTCATCTTAACTCTGATGATAAAATGTTGATTTTTAGTATGCCTTTCATCCCAGCACTCTGGAGGCAGAGGCAGGTGGATCTCTGTGAGTTCAAGACCAGCCTAGTCTACAAGAGCTAGTTCCAGGACAGCTTCCAAAAACCACAGAGAAACCCTGTCTCGAAAAACCAAAAAGAAAAAAAGAAAGAAAAATGTTGGCTGATGTAGTGTTTCCCCCTTGTAAATAGTGCTAGTTTTGAACATTTACTTAGGACAACTTCTTAAAAGTAAAATGCTTAAGATGGTTGGAGACAATTCTTAAAACTGGTGTTGGGGATTGAATTTATAGTCTCACACACATTGTGGCATATGTTCTACCACTAAGCTACATTCCCCCAACCCTCTTCTTACTTTGGTAGGCTCCCTGTTGGATGCTTAATATATAGGCCTGAGAGGTCTGGGATTTGCTAGGTAGACCAGGCTGGCCTCAAATGCACAGAGATCCGTTTGCTCTGCCTTTGGAGTGCTGGGATTAAGTGTGCACCGTCATGTACAGAAATTCTTAACACTTAGACAGAAGAACAAAGCAGGTCTGAATGTGTCTCCAGAGGTCACTGTCCTCTGAATCCTGTCTAAAATACTTGCATTAGCACTTACTAGATGGGTGACCTTGGACAAATCATTTTCCAGTGCCTGTTCCTGTATAGAACGTGCATAACAGCTTATTGGTACACACGTCTGTATAACGCTTCTTTATTAAGAGGCATAGGGACTTAATATGTACTGTTCTAAGAATAGTGCCTGGAATATAGGAAGACCCAAAGAGAAGCAGCTATTGTTACTACTCTGGCTCCTCCTTTGCTTCCTTCTCTTCTTTAGTAAATTCTTACTAATATAACAAATGAAAATGATAGCTATCTCCCCCTAACTCAGAGAACCTCGTGCCTATGCCTCCCCAGTGCTGGGATTAAAGGTATACACCATCAGGCCTGGCTAGGAGTCCTGTACTTAATTTTTTCCCCCAAAGCTTTCAAAGCAAACAGGATTCCCTTTGATCTTCCTAATAGACTGGTAAATCAGGAAGGAAGCAATCATCAATCCTGACTGTTTGGATTTGGAACCTGATGCTCAGAATTCCAGTGCTAACCAATTCCAATCCCAGGAATCATATTTCGCCTTTCAAAGCCTCACAGTTGTCCCAGAAACTATTAGCCTGGAAAAGCTTTGGTTACTTGTAAGAGTGTCCCAGCCACAGGCCCCGCCCCTCCCGCTTCAAGTCCTGCCCTCCAGACACAGACCCCGCCCTTCATGCCTCCGACTCCGCCTCTCCCAGCCTGGCCACGCCCAGGCGAGCTCTCTGCGCGCGCGCAGTGGCTTTTGCGGGGAGGGACACCTTAGGCCGCGGCCCCGCCCTCCCCGGCGCGGCCCGCCCAGTTCAAGGGCAGCGGGGCTGGGTGCTCCGGTCCCGCGGAAGGGGAAGGCGAGGGTGAACCCCGCGTGGGGGCTGATCTGCGACGTGGCGGAGGCCGGGAGACCGAGGCCGGGTAGGGAAGGGCGCGGACCCCCGAGCCGCCATCTTGCTTCGGAGGGGCCGGGAGGGCGGGGCTGGCTGAGGGCGCTGCCGAGGACTGAGTGGCTTTGCCCCTCGGCCTCAGAGACCCGGCCGTGGCGCACGCCCCCGCGTTGGAGCTGCTTTCTCCGGCCTTCTCATCTGCTGCTCACCCGCTTTTGGTAGGGAAAGGCCCAGGAAATGACTGCTGTCCCATTGTGCAGGAAACTGAGACTCAGAAGTAATGAGGAGACTCGACTAGGAACGCACAGCGAGGTGCTGGCAGTGGGACTCTAGGGTGCCCTGCCCACTGCCAAGCTAGGGAGTTGGGAGAAAGACTAGCAAGCTGTTCTCTTTTTGTACCATCAGGTCAGAGCTGACCAAGAATCATTCAGAAGCCAAGCCATGGATCCACCTGCCCGGAAAGAAAAATCCAAAGTTAAAGAACCTGCCTTCAGAGTGGAGAAGGCTAAGCAGAAATCTGCCCAGCAGGAGCTTAAGCAAAGACAAAGAGCAGAGGTGAGACTGAGGAGGGGGCTCTGGGCCTGAGTCTGCTGGAGAAGGTACTGGAAGAAAACACAGCAGAGAAAACTTTACTAAGGGTCTCTGCTTGTCTTCAGGCAGGACACTTCGGGAAAGAGAGGCCATCAAGGTCCAGAACGGTGAGGTGGAAGTCAGGAGTCACAGGACAAGTTAGTGTCAGAATCCCAACCTGTACCAAGTCTCTAGATGACTCCTGGCACCGAGCTTTTGTGCTAGGGATCTGAGGACCACATGAAAAGAGAAAAAGCAGCTGTGGGTGAGGGAGGGATCAGAGTGGGGAGGAGACTATGAATAAATGGGGTGAATGAGAATTCATGAAGTGCCAGTGTGTCCGGTGACCCAGTTACACATGTGCATTTGGTGCAAAAAGTAGCCAGCTGGTGGATGAGGTGATAAAAGTGCCTGCTGCAAAAGCCTGACTGCCCGAGGGAGTCCATATACAGGTAGAAGAGAGGGAGGGACTGCACAGAACTGCCCTCGGACCTCCACACTTGCTGTGGCCTGCACATACACACACCACCATCACCACTGATTTCTAATGGTCTGCTTATAACCATGTAAAGGCCCACGCTTTGAGCCCACCAGTGTTTCTTTGTTCTCTTAATCACCTCAAGAATAAAAAGCTTTAAAATATTTACATTGCTAATGAACCACATCCAGACAGGAGTATCTTAATATTTAGTGTCAGAAATAAGTTTGCTGGCCTTTTCTGCCTCTTTGTGACATGTGTTTTTGAGAAATTTTAAAGTACAGAAAACACCTGGTATTTAGCTTTCTCAGATGGGTAATGGTCAGTGGTATTGAATTTTCCTAGAGTTTTCTTAAGATAAATAAAGTCACATAAATTTGATGTCCCATTTGACTATTTCTTACACCATTTCTTCCTCTCCATGGGTAATCCTCTTTTTTTTTTTTTTTTTTTTTTTTTTTTTTCCCCCTTAGGAGGTTTCTCTATGTAGCCCTGGCTGGCTGTCCTGGAACTCACAGAGATCTGCCTGCCTCAGCCTCTGCCTCTGCCTCCTGAGTGCTGGGATTAAAGGCAAGCGATGCCACCACCTGGAGCCCTTTTTTAAAAGATACCTTTTCATTCAAATAGAGGAATACATTTTCTGTGCATTTGCATTTTTTGCATGGCATTTTAGAGATATTCATATTACTCTTAAGAATCTGTGTGGGTTTTTGTTGTTGTTGTTGTTCTTTATAGTGTTGATAAACCTTCAAAAAAGATTTGTTTTTAATGATGTATGTGGTGGGTATGTAAACATGAGTTCAGGTGCCCATGGAGGCTATAAGAGGGTGCTCTAGAGCTGGAGTTACAAGTGGTTATGAGCCACCTGACATAAGTGCTGAGAATTGAACCAGGGTCCTCTGGAACGAGAAGCAAGAGCTGTTAACCACTGAGCCTCTCTTCAGCCTGGAGCCACCTTAGTTAGTGTATTTACCCACTCCTCCTTTTGCTTTTTACAAACATTTGTGCTGAAAAACCTTTAGGTATTTCCTTGGCACCTCTGCTAGAATTTGTCAGGTATTTGACTAGAAAGTTACCAAATGCCATTTCTTTTTTCCTAGACATTGCCAAATAGCCTTCAGAGGAATTCCTCAAGCTTGTACCACTGTTGATAGTGTGAGGAACTTTTTGTTCCTTTTGCTCTGACAGTTGGTAGTGTCATGTATGGACTTGAGACACATGACTAAACAAGACAGACAGTTTCTGCCTTCATAGAGTGTGCATCCCAGTAATCATAACAAACAAGGGAGCATGTCTGAAGTTCCTTTACACCCCAGAGTCTCCCCATGGACTAAGGCAGGCCATCTGAAAGCCGTGTCCCTCCTTTCTATAAATAAATATGCCCCTTCTTTACCCAGATCCAAAATGCTCTGTGCTTTAGCAGACAGTTCAATGGGGTGCTATAAGAAATAGTCCCCCAAACTGCTCTGTGCAAACTAAAAGATAGGTGTGGGAGGCATTGTTCCCATCCTTACTGGCATCTATCTACTTGTCTGGCTTCTACTCATTCTTCTCACGTGACCTTGGAAAAATTACTTCTGAACATCACTTCCTCAATGTCTCTGGGAAAATGAGGGTGGTGATATCTCAGTACTACAGGAATTACAGTATTACAAGGAATAGAAATTACATATGGAAAGCCCTTAGCACAGCGCCTGGCACACAGAAACTATTTGATAACCAGCAGCAATCACGATCTGGAGTCACCATGCCTCCAAGCAGCCGATGTGCTCTTACCATGTGGACTTAGCTAGACCAGCTGGTTGTGTCCATATTCACTTACTGAGGTGTCAGATTGGATGTGCACGCCGGTAGCAGCTGGCACCTGTTAGCTCCTACTATGTCAGCCTGAGTGAGGCCCGCACATGTGTAAGCAAATGCTAAGGCAGGTGTTACTGTTTCCCACTTAACCCTTTGTGAATCCTTCTGGAATAAGAAGTAGTGTGACCAGAGTCAATAAGGGCAGGCCTGTGGTCAGAACAGTGCATCCTACTTGGTTGTCTCTTGGTTTTGTTTCTGTCATGGTGGGGCTTGAACCCAGGGTCTGTATGTTCCTGTGCTCTACCGCTAAACTATACCCCCAGTCCCAGTCCACTATTTGCTTCCTCAACATCTGTCTTGCTATTTTGTCTGTGTTCCCTAGAATGGAATCTTTCATAGGAATGTGCCAGCATCTCCTCAGGAGGAAGGGATAAAGATGCCATATTCCAGAAAGGAGGCATGCTAGGGGATAGAGGCTGCTTTGGCAGGGGAAGCAGCACATCACACTGCTATGACCCTTTCCTTTTAGACGGAAAGTCTCACTCTTGGCTCAGGCACCTGGACATTTTAAATCTCTTTGTGCCCTGCTTATTTCCCACTTTCTCCTACCATTCTGCCTCTTTGACTGGGAGGTCTCCAGAATGCTACTCAATATCACTGTAGTCCCAGAACAGAAAATAATTCACAGATTACAAAGGCTGGCAGGTGTCAAGCCTACAAAGCAGAGACTTTTCTGCTTTTTAAATATAAAGTATACAAGTAATTATGTATCATTTAAAGAAGAAAAAACACCCTTGTATCTACCATTCAGCTTAAGAAACTGAACTTGAAGCAGGCCCAGTGGCATGTATCTATAGCCCCAGCATTTGGGAGATGGAAGGGAATCAACAACATGAGTTCAAGACCAGCCTGAGTAACATAATGAGGCCTTGCCTCAAAGAAGAAAAGGAAAGGAAATAAGGAAAGGAAAGGGGGAGAAGGGAAATAGCTCAGTAACTTGGAAGGTCCAGTGCGCACATTGGGTCACATGCCTGTTCACATAAGCAGTTTAGTTTAATTTACGCTAATCATTGCTTTTCTGTCCTCTGTAGTATGGACTCCTAAAGTAATATTTCCATAACAATAATTCTCTTCATTTTACATATTTCTCAATTTTTAGTCATGTGCCTCTGTGTTTGGCTTAAAGTGTTTTAGTTTCTTTTAAGATAGTACCTCTATGGAGGCTGAAACTCTTTATGTATACCAAGCTGGCCTTGAACTCACAGAGGTCTGCCTGCTTATGCCTCCAGAGTACTGTGATTAAAGTCATGAATCACCACACCCAGACTTTTTTTTTCAGATTTACTTTCTAACCATTATCTGTGTGTGTGTGTGTGTGTGTGTGTGTGTGTGTGTGTGTGTGTCTGGAGCATGGGTGCTGGGAACTGAGAGCAGCAGCGCTGTTAGCTACAGAGCCATCCCAAGTTTTTCCCTTTTTGGCCTCTCAGATTTTGTTTTGTTGGGAACATGATCTCTATTATATAGCACTGGCTGTCCTGAAACTCACTATGTGGATCAGACTGACCTCGAACTCAGAAAGATCCACTTTCCTCTGCCTCCCAAGTGCCTCTCTCAGATACCTTTATTTTTTGTGAGTGTTTTGCCTGTAAGTATGTCTGTGAACTGTGTGAGTGAGCGGTGCCCGTGGAGGCCCCATGAGAGCATAGGATCCCCTAGAACTAAAGTTAAAGACAGTTGTGAGCTGCCTGTGGGTTCCGGGAACCAAACCCAGATCCTCTGCCAGAGCAACAACTGCTTTTAACCATTGAGCCCTCTCTCTGGCCCCAAGTTCTGTTTCTTAAATTGGCAGTGGACACTATTCTGTGACTGGCTGTCTTCCCTGAACATTTTTCCTTGCTACCTGTGTGTGTGGTGTGTGTGTGTGTGTGTGTGTGTGTGTGTGTGTGTGTGTGTGTGTGTTGGAACATGTGTGGGGGTCAGAGGACAATTTCCACCATGTTGGCATGTTTTCAAAATGTTTCTTTAGTACTTGGCCTGCACTAGGCCATGTTCCCGCAGCTGCCTCTTCCCTGGACCTCTCTACAAATGCCTCCTAAATAGTTGATAATCCCTGCTTCCACCGCCACCCCAGTGGGCCTCCAGGCATCCTTTCAAATTGTCCCTGATACTCATGTCTGCTGCTCTCTGGAGCCTGCAGGTGGAGGACCAGACTCCTTGGCCTGGCATTTAAGGCCCTGACACTCTTGTTTGTTCAGCTCCCTAGTTACCTCCCCCCTCCCCCCCATTTACACTGGAAGTTTCCAGAAGTGATCCTGTGCTGTTCCTTCAAAGTTGTCAGGCACCATCCTTGCCTGCCTCACTGCTGCTGGCTTCATTCCACCAGCAGAAGCTGCCCTCCTGTCCTCACTGCCCCACAGGCCCCTCCTGGTGAAATTCCAGCATTGCCAGTTGCCTCAGCAGCTGCTCCCATTGCTAATGTATCTGTTCTCCATTCAGATCTATGCTCTCAACAGAGTCATGACGGAGCTGGAGCAGCAGCAGTTTGATGAGTTCTGTAAGCAAATGCAGCCTCCTGGGGAGTGAGGCAGCCTGCACCTGAGCCAGAGGCCCTGAAGCCTCAGAGTAGCTGAAGAAGACCCGTGGAGAGCTCTGCACTGACTTCCTGTAGGTAACTTCACCACACCGGTTCCTCCTCTCAGACCAGGCCCAGTGCTTGCTGGGTAGACTTTTCATCTGGGACAGCAGATTTTTTTTTTTTTTTTAACGGCCTTTTTTCTACTATGTGAGAAAAATCATTGTTTCTAGTGAAACTGTGTGTCTTCCCTAAAAATAAAAAAATACAAAATGTTCATTTATCCTTACTTTAGGGTGGGAGTGCCTTCTCACAGAAAGTAAAATAAAGAATGGGGTAGGTGAGGGCTGGAGGGTTGGCTCAGGAGTTAAGAGCACTGACTGCTATTGCAGAAGATCCAGGTTCAGTTCCCAGCACCTATACCCAACACTTCACAACCACCTGTAACTCAAGCTTCAGGGCATTCAACATATTTTTCTGGACTATGGGTGCCTCACTCCCACACAAAGACATACATATATACACATAGTTAAAATAAATAGGTCTTAAGAAAAAAAAAAAAAAAAAAAGCTGGCATGGTAGCACACGCTTTTAGTCCAGTACACAGGAGGCAGGGACAAGCAGATACCTGTGAGTTTGAGGTCAACCTGTTCTACATAGCAAGTCCCAGGGTAGTGAAATCACATGAGACCGCCTCTCTCTCTCTTTCTCTCTCCTCTCTCTCTCTCTCTCTCTCTCTCTCTCTCTCTCTCTCTCTCACACACACACACACACACACACACACACACACACGGAATGGGATCCAGTGCCAGAGGAGGTGCTTTGCCATGGGAATCAGGACAGCTCATTATTTTTCTCAAGGGTAAAGATTGCTGGAGTTGGTGGATTTGGTAAGGTAGGTGTGGAAGTCTTTGGAGGACAAGACTGAAAGGGAAGGTGATAGAGGCATGAGGAGAGAGGTATGAAACACAGTCTAGTTCCACAGAGTGAAAACAGGCATGCAGGGACACGTGGGATGACAGCTGGGCAGCGGTAAGGCTTCACCGGGGATGAGCAGACATAGACACCAAGCATCACTGAGCATGCAGTGGTCTCATCCCTGCTGGAGGGAGGCACAGGGGTTGGAGAGTTGTGATTAAGTGAACCAGAGCTTTCTCAGCAGCTAGAGTGGAAGCAAAGAAGGACATGGAAGTGCCTATTCCCAATGCGTGGATGGTAACGACAGGACTGGCTATAAGCTGTGTGATAAAATGAGAGCCAGACATGGTGGTACACCTGTAATCCCAGCACCTGGGAGGCTGAGGCAGGAGGATCAGGAGTTTGAGGCCAGCTTGGGCTACATGGTGAGACCCTGACTCAGTGTAAATGAGAACTGGAAGAGGATAAGGGACTTTGAAAGGTGTCCAAGGCTCATGAGTTAGAGTTTCTACTATGGTTGAAACTGAGCTTCTAGAAGTATCCTGGAGGGATGATTAGAGAATAGAATGTAGGAAACAGACCAGAGAGTGGCTACTCTTACTGGTAATGTCAGAGCCCAGGGAATTACTATGGAAAGCTGGAGTAGAGTGGAGGACTAGGTCTTTGGAGTTTGCTGGAGGACTGGGAAGCCAGAGTACTGGGACAATCAATCATCCTCAAGGACTGCCCATGCCAGGGTTTGTTGAGTGACCTTGGACAGGTCATTTGGTTTCTTGGTGCCTCAGTCTTCATGTCTTAGGAAGGACATTATTATTTCTGCTTCACTTGAATTCAGTAAGATGGAAAGCACTACAAATGGAGTACACCTGTGCTTGGAAAACAGCACAGCTGTGAGTTAACTCAGACTGAGTCCCTAGTAAACCTTAAAGGCGCTCTTGCTCTTTAGTGGCAACAAGGGTATCTATGCACTGGGAGCCGCTTCCCACTGTTCTTACTTTTTCTGTGTGACACTGAACAGGAAGGACTATAGACCCTTCCTTCTTTCCTTCCTTCCTTCCCCTTCCTTCCTTCCCTCTCTCCCTTATCTTCCTTCCCTTCTTTTCTTTCCTCCCTCCTACCTTCTCTTCTTCCCCTTTAAAAATAAAAAGCAGGGAGCATACCGCCTCCTACATGAGCAGGTAATAGAGAAAAAAGAGCATGAAGCCAGATATGGTGGTGTATGCCTTTAATCCCAGCACTCAGGAGTCAGAGACAGGTAGATATCTGTGTGTTCAAAGCCAGCCTGGTTTACAAGCTGAGTTTCAGGACAGCCGGGCCTACACAGAGAAACTTTGTCTCAAACAGAAAACAAAAATAAACCATACCTACTTCCAGTGTTGTTCTAGGCCCTGCTGCTCACAGGCATCCTGTCACACATGTAAGTATATGTGACCCTTTATTCCCATTTGAACTACTAGCCAGGTTTGAGGGGTGGGAATCCAGAATCCGCCCCCCATCCAATGACTGCAGCTAACAGCAGTTCTGGGAGGGCAGTCCCGGATCCTCCCATTAGTGACTGCAGCTTTTTAAAAGAATATTTTTAATTTGAAGTAGTTACTAATTATTCCTTTTATCTGTCTTTCAAAATATGGATCCAATCAAATCTGCTTCTCAACCTGTGGGTCACAGCCCCTTTGGGGTTCAAATGACCTACAAGAGTCACCTAAGATTATCAGAAAACAAAGATATTTACATTTTGATTTATAACAGTGGCAAAATTACAGTTGTGGAGTAGCAATGAAGGTAATTTTATGGTTGGGGGGTCACCATAACATTAGAAACTATATTAAAGGGTGACAGCATTAGGAAGGCTGAAAACCACCGAATTAAGTGATGAATTCAAGAATCTGGGAAGAAATGGGTTTTTAAAAAATCTCATTTATGAACCATGACATCCCAGAAAATATAAATGATGTTTATGACAATAAAACTTTGAACATCTTACCCTGAAGAAAGAAAATTACCTATTGGTTTACACCCTACTGATCCCATTGGAAAACACTTGAGGAAGGTATTAAGCTTGCAGCTGTAGACCTGAGTGTAGCTGGCTTTCTTGGACTGACAGCCCCCAAATCATGATAGAGAGACTCATCAACCACAAATGCTCAACCCCCATAGACTCCTTTCCAGCTAGCAGCTAGCCCCCCCTTTTTTTTTTTAACTCAAATTAAATTAACCCATTTCTATTAAACCATGTGCTGCTCTGAGGCTCATTTATCTCATCTACTTACTGTCCATCCTGCGTTCCTGCTTCCTCTATGCCTGGCTGACAGCTCCCCTTTTCTCTCTGCCCAACACCAACCATCTAGCCCTCCACTAGACCAATCAGGTGCTCCAAGTAGGCAAGGCAAAATAGCAACATGTCCCCACATATGCAGCATAAACAAATGGAACACATCTTTACATAGTTAAACAAATACTCTAATCCACAACACCTGAGTTTTCAAACATTCTAGTTTTCATATGAAAGCCCACATGTTCCGAGTGTTTGTTTGCTTGTCTGTAAGTGCCCACAGAGGCCAGAAGAGGGCATGGGATTCCTGAAACTGGGGTCACAAATAACTGGGCACTAACATGTTGATGCTGGAAACAAAACCTCCACAAGAACAGGCAATGCTCTTAACTGCTGAGCTGTTTCTCCAGCACCACCCCCACCACCCCTGCTCCAACACCCATCCACACACAGAACTTTTTCTTGAAATGACAGACACACTCAGATCACACTTCAGGAAAGCCCAGTTGGGACTGCCCTGGCTTGTGTGTGTGTCCTCCCAGGGGGAAAGTAAACCTTCATGATAGAAATGAGGAAATGGGCTTGTAGAGATTAAACATTTCACTCAGGACCAGACCTGCAAAAACAGGATTCAGCCAAAGGATTTTACTCAGACGTGGAGCCGTGCTTTAGGAGAGGAATCTCACCATGCTGGGTTTAGGCCAGAGCCCGCCCAGGCTCCCCGGCTTCACTGGTGTGCTGAAAGAGCTTTAATGTCACCCTTTGCCTTTGTGCTTATGTGGAAGCCCAGGAAGGGTCACAGAAAAACTGCTCTCTAGGGAATAAAGGTGCTGAGGTGAGCTGGCATCAGAGCCCCCAGCCTGCTGAGACAGCCAGCCGGACTCTGCAAGGAGCCTCAGCTGCCCTGGTGTCATTAACCCAAGGGGGAAGAGCAAACCAAAAGGATGAGTTATTACTGTTACATTTGCTGAGTAGTTAGTTCAGTTGTAGAAGCAGTCTTCTGGGGAAACCCTATCCTGTTTTAACTCTGCTTCTACCACTTAAAATGGACACGATTCAAGAAATCACAGTTTTTGGGGGGTTTTGTTGTTGTTCTGTTCTTTTGAACATAGAAAGAGCCAGAAATCATTTGGTCAAAGCTTGGAAGTGGTGTGACTTAATAAAATATCAGATTTTAAACAAAATTTAATTAGTTGAGAGTAGTGCAAACATTGTTTCCTAACATCTACTCTATGGAAGCCCCAGGCTAGTTGTTGGTCCCTAAGAACTCATGTGACAACAGTTCTTTTATATGTGTAGTTGTGAACCTAGGCTTTAATGGCTGAGCCATCTCTCCAGGCCATGACAACAGTTCTCGGGGTTTGGTTAAGTGTAGACTCACACTGACATGAGTGCTCAGCCTAGAAGAACATAGCTTGGCTGTGTCTGAGCCCCAGTGGATGTATTCTTACTATAGTGACCTTTATAACTTCTGAGAACCCACAGGGAAATTGATTTATCTGCAAAATGAACAGTTTTTGAGAGCTAGGCACTGTGGCAGGTAGTGGAAATAATAAGCATAAATGAAAGGCAATTATGGTCTAGCAGAACACAGAAGATCCATCTAACAGGGACCACATAAAGGGTAAAATGGACACTGGGGAAGAGAGGTCTGGAAGAGAAGATGCTGCCAGCTTCCTTAGAGTTGTAATGGCATTGCATTGGCATTTTTCTTTAATTTGCAAATTGGTATTTATTTTTTTAATCTAATTTTAGATTTGAGGCAAATTTACAACAGATACTACTCTTAAAACTTCAAAGGCAGACATGTTATGGAGGAGCTCAGGCGCCACCGTGTGGGAAGAGGCAGAATTAGCCAGCTGTCCTTTGGATGTCCAGAGTGAAGCTGGGGTTCCCTGGTTATTCTCCATCAGGTGCAACTTTGGAATACAATATAACAGCATGCAGTAGTTCCATCTGGCTTGTAGTATTACAAGACAAAGTGACATCTCAGTAGAGTTTAGTGTTTGAAAACTTAGAAAAGATACACAGAATAAGACCCCTGGAAGCCAGGTGTGATGGCTATCCTTGGTTCTCAGCAACATCTGGAACTAAACCCAAGCAGATACACCTGTGAGGGGTTTTTCTTCTCTCTGTGTCTCTCTGTCTCTCTCTCCTTTTTGAGACAGATTCTCTCTATGTAGTTCTGGCTGTCCTGAAACTCACTATGTATAGACCAGGCAGACCTTGAACTCACAGAGATCCACCTGCCTCTGCCTCCCAAATGCTGGGATTAAAAGCATGTGCCACCACACCTGGCAGGAGGGAATTTTCTTATTTAGAAAATCCACTTTTAGTCAGGATTTTTTGAAGTAGGAAGATCCACCTTTAATCTGGACCCCACCTTCTTGGTGGTAGCCTGTCAAGTGAAGAACATGGGAGAAGGAAGCTTGTTCTCTTTGCCTTCTTGCCCTCACTAGCAAGTCCATTCCTTCATTGGCATTAGAACCTACTTCTTCAAGATTATGTCATAAACTGAAGACCAGCTGAGACATCCAGCCTTATAGACTGAACAACTACTGGGTTCTTAGACTTTCTGTTGGTAGAAAGCCATTGTTGAACTAGCTAGATCATAACCTATTAGCCACTCCAATAAATCCCACAGATAGATAGATAGATAGATAGATAGATAGATAGATAGATAGATATTCATTCTATCTGTTCTCTTCCTCTAGATAGCCCTCACTAATACACCAGGTGAGGCATTTGGGTTACCAATCAATTTTTTGAGATAGAGTATTGTTATGAGCAGTTTCCTGCCAGCCTGGTCCCACAGCTGCATCAGCTCCAAATACATGCAAAGACAACTGTTGTCTGGTTACTAGCATTTCTTATTGGCTAGCTCTTTCTTAAATATTAACCCATTTCTATCAACCTAATTGTTTCCATGTGGTCTTATCTTACCAGAGAGAGGGTCCAGACCTCTCACTCCTCTAGGTCCTACATTTTGACTCCTCTCTATTACATACCCCAGAATTCTTGTTTCCTATTCCCACCTATCTTACTTTCCTATTGGCCAACAGGGCTTTATTCATTAACCAATAAGAAAAACATATTTACAGAATGACATTCCCCCATCATCTCCTCTTTTCTGTCTAAAATAAAAAAGAATGGCTTTAACTTTAACACAGTAAAATATATAACAAAACAGTTATCAAATAAGAACTATAGTTAACAATATTTAGTCCATTAACATTGTCAGGAATTAAAGAAAATATTCTACCATCTATCCTATCTTTGTGACTATAAAGTCTTACATGTATTTATCTTTAATCCTAACTAAGGAAACTATAACTATCTGTCTTCAACTCCATCAAAGACCACAGAATGATAGTATATAAACTTTAGAAATGACAGAGACATCTCGCTACCTGGATAGTCATCCAAAGTTCTTCTGTAAATTGGTGCATCCATCTTTGGCCCATAGGCCATAGTGTGTATGGCAGACTCCTCAGCAAAGCAGGAAACTTTAAACTGTCCACCTGTATTGGCACTTTTCTCTGTGTCCTGTATACTGTCTGGCAGAGTCTTCCATGAAGCAAGAACCCTGTAGCAATGTCCATCTTGTTTCAGCAGTCACGTTCCTGTGGGTCCTGCATGTCCAGTTTATACAGCATAAAGTCAAACAGTCCAGACAAGAGCAGTTTCTTGCCCAAATGGCTAGTCTTGCCATATTGGGAGTAAACTCCATACAAGTTTCTCCGATGTCCATCTTCCTTTGTGACACAGGTGGTGTTGCCAAGAGTAATTATGTCTCACTGTCAAGAAAAACCCTAAACCATTTTAAATGCCATATTCTGTAGGTCTTTGAAAGGTTTGAAGAATGCCTATACATTTGAAATATAGCTGTATATATCTATAAAAACCTAACAAACCTAACAATAAGTTTTGACTTTAATAGGTAACTGTATCATGTATCCAAGGATGGCCTGGAACTCCCAGTCCTGAGCTGAAACTCAAACCTAGCCCAAACTTAACTTGGAAACAAAAGTCTATCCTACATAACTGATTCAAGTATTACCCAAGCCAGATGGTGGTGGTGCATACCTTTAATCTCAGCACTTGAGAGGCAGAGGCAGGTGGAGCTGAGTTAAAGATCAGCCTGTTCTACAGAATGAGTTCCAGGACAGCCTGGGCAACACAGAGAAACCCTGTCTCAAAATACAAAAACAAAACAAAACTGTTTCATGTATTACCCAAAGTAGGAAGATAAGGCCTACAAGACAGAGAGATGAGCCAACCTGGAGTTTGTCTGAGGGCCTAGCAACAGGTGCTGTCAGATGTCAGAGGTCCTGATCATGCTTAGCCAATGAGGGGTAACCATGCAATGTCACTGGATCTGGAGTGCTGAGAGGAGGGTATTTAAGGCTCTCCCCATTGCTGAATAAATGAGTGTACCATTTACCTTTTACCTGGCTCCAGGGGTCTGTGCCGTTGACTCCACGCCTTCTCACCCGCTCCCCCAAAGGAACCCTTAGGACCCAGCAACAAACCCTGAATAAGGAGAAAGAAGCAAAGACTTCTGGGCCCACTGTGGATTGCTGTGATTCAAGACAAGAGATAGCATATGACAACACAGGCGCCAGGAAATTTTAGTGAGGATGAGGCAGGTCTTGGTCCAGCATGCTAAGTGCAGAGCCTGCAGAGCCAGCAGGAGTGGTGAAGCTGTGATGTCCGCCTTGCTAGAGCTTAATACAAATTCCCCTGCCCCACAGGGCATCTGGAAAGAAGATGTAGGAGAGCGACCAAATCAGGCAGTAAAAGGCGGTGAGTGAGAATGGGAAGAAAAACAGCATGATAACACCTGTAAACGACAGAAGCAGACGATCAGTTCCATGAAGTTCCTCGCATGGCTCCTACCCCACCCTCTGTCCCTCAGATCACTCACAGAGCTGAGGAAACGGCAGCAAGAGAGCAGAAGCCCCATGTTTAAGTTCAGTTTAGTAAGTAAATGCAAGCTCTTAACTGGAAGCCAATTCAATCGCAGGGTCCACTCTGTTGACCTCAGACCAGAAGCCAAGTCCTGGCCAAGACTGAACTCTAGCAGGGAGATCTTCTAATAGTTTAGAGTTAAACAAGCAGTCTTACATGCCTGAGACTGCTTACAGAGTGGCCTCAGCTGTCACACGGATGCCTCTGAGTAATCAGAGTGACTTGCTTTGCCCAGACTGTGCAAATACATGGTCTGTGTTGAACTTTCCTTCTGGAGTCTGGAACTCAGTATCTGCTAGGCAGAGGGCACCTATTTGAATCTCTGGTGACCTTCCCTGGAAGACAGTGCTTCATGTGAATGACCACAGTTCGGGGCTTAAGCAATTATGACTCTCTGCTGCCACCTGGAGAGGACTCTGGGGAGTTGTTGCTTCTGGTTGGTTGGTTGGTTGGCTGGCTGGCTGGCTGGCTGGCTGGCTGGCTGGCTGGCTGGTTTTTCAAGACAAGAGTTTCTCTGCTATAGCCCTGGCTGTCCTGGAACTTGCCTCTGCAGACTAGGCTAGCCTAGAACTCAAGCCCCACCTGCCTCTGCCTGTCTCCTGAGTGCTGGGGTTAAAGGTATGTGTGCCACACCAGAACACAACCTTATGTTCTAACCAGTCTTAGCTATGAGTAGAACATACTGGGTCCTGAGGCCCTCCTAAAAAAAAAAAAATCACTGAACCTGGATCCAGTCTCGGGTATTTCCAAGACAATCTGAATTTCAGATTAAACACTAAGGACTCCAGAACTGGAGGCACAGCTGCTCAGCACTGGCTACCCTGCTAGGTACCACAAATTGCTTCACTCACACTTCATAATGCTCCCATGACTTAGAATTACATCTGTTTTCCTCATAGGAGACAGAGGGGGAGTAACCAACACAGAGGCCTGTCTCAAGCCCAAGTCTGCCTGACCGTTAAAAACTAGACATTTTTCCTCCATTAACAAGATCATGGCAGTCTCATGACAGGCTCTCACGTAGATCAGGCTGACCTCAAACTTGCTATGTAGCTGAGGATAACTTTGAACTTCCGACCCTTCTACCTTAACCTCTGGAGTGCTCAGATTACAGGTGTGCACCGCCACGACCAGTTATATGCAGTACCAGAGAGCAAACCCCAGGGATCCATGCAAGCTGAGCTCGACCAACTGGGCTACAACCCTAACCTGACCACCGAGTAGTCTATGAGACCCTGTTAGATTGTGGCAGGTGACTTAACACAAAGGGCATTTCTGGGGGAAAGAATCAGCTAAGAATATGTGCTAGGGTTTTGGAATACTGCAATTGGAGGACAGTCATGGATCTGCTGAGGAGAGGAGGCAATGTCTAAAGTCAGAATTGTCCTAAAAAAAAAAAAAATAGATGCCATTGTTTCTCCAAAACTAACCATGGGCCAGCTTCTTGAAGTCTGGAGCTCTGTAGGAAAGCAGAATGTCCACAGCATCCACTCTGTGCACAATCCTGGCATTAACTGGTGTCAGAATCTACGTTGTGCCAGTTCCTCTTTAACTAATAGAGCAAAGCAGCCCCAGAGTCTCATGCTAAGTGTGTGGTTTATTTTGAGTAAAGGAGAATGACTCCAGGAACAACAACCTCTGAGGGAAATGCTTGCTATGAGCTAGGAAGGGAGGTAGAAAAGACAGAGACAGCAATTGCCATATATGGTCCAGGACCCTACCAAAGAACTGCCTCATTATCTCATTCAGTCTCAATGAGCTGTAAGCCAGGAAGTTGGATGAAGAAAACTGAGTTCAAAATCGTGTGGCATTAGCCCAAGTCTATACAACTATGTGCACAAGTCAGAGCTTCAACTGAGACACATTTGTTACAGACCCAGACTCTCCTCGCCATCTTGCCTCTGCCACGTAGGAGAGCCAGCACCCAGAACTGGGTCAAGGATCCCGTACTAATGCTACAGAAGGTATGGACCTGAAGGAAATACACCCTATGCCCAGAGTAGATTCACAGCAAAGGAGTAATGGGAGAAACCCAAGCCCTCAGGGATGCTTGTCTTGTTCACTTGCACACATTGTAAAGAAAAACTGGTACTCCTTGAAGGAAGCCCTAACTCCAGGCCCAGTCTGCCCACTTCACTGGCACAAGGTTTTGTCACTGGCTTTCCACACAAGTCCCAGCCACACAGCCCAGCTAATGCTTGCAGCACCTTCTCAGTCTCCCAGTCATCCCAAAGAAGTATCCTGTGCCCGAACCGCTCTTTGGACTCATCTGTGAGCTCATCTCTCAGATCTCACTTAGACTTCCATCCTTAAGGAGCATTTTCTTCTCTCATGTCTTCTCAGTCTAAATGAGTCACCCTCTGAGAGCACCCACCCCATACTTTCCCTGCGTTACTCTTTTTTTAGGCAGGATTTCACTCTATAGCTCAGGCTGGCCTGGAACTCAATATATCTTGAACTTGCAAAGATTCTCCAGCCTCAGCCTCCCAAGACCTGGAAGCCACAAAACAGTTTTCAGTAACCTTCTCCTTACCTGAGACAGAGACTATATCTAGTTTACCAGACTGACTCCCTGTACCTGGCACGTAGGCACATACACACTCCCTAAATTCTACTGCACTCATTAACATTAGGTAGATATTTATTGAGCACAGCCTAAACCTATGCACTGGAGCATGAAGAAAACAATCCTCTATGGAGGGGAGTACATTTAGTATTTTCCAACATTAAAAAAATAGTAAATATGTGTTATGTTGGGTAACAACAAATACTTGAGAGCAAAATGCATGGGCAATGCTGCCGTGAGGCACAGTATGACCATAAACATCCGGTGACAGTTACTGGAACTCACCTCCCATATAAACCACTTTTTTCCAGTTTTCCGACTCCAGGATCTCATCGTGTGGGTAGCAACTCTGGTCGATCATGAACAGAATCATGAGTGAAGCCATGCAGCAGAGAATAAATGTGTTGCCCTTGGTCAGAAGGCAGGTGGAGGCCAAAACACAGGAAGCGTAGGGGCAGGGTAGACCCTTGTATGCTGAAGGACTTTCTCCTAGGAAAAGATCATCGGATCATCTGCTTCCTGGCACTAAGGGCATCCATCAGTTCATGCCTCCTCTCCCTGAGCTACCAAATTCCCTTGGCCCAGGAGTGGGAGGAGTGTGTAGGTCATTTGGTTAGGGCAAGCAGATATTGTGCAGGTTTCGGTTTATGTTGGTTTCTGGGGAACAGCAGGCAATCAGTGTAGACCAGGTATGCCCACACCTAAAAGGGTTCTTGGAAGGCCAGTCTGAGCTCAGTGCTGGGTTTGCACCCTCTTCCTGTGTGGTCTTAGGAAGGCATCTGCCCTCACTTTATCACAGCCTGTCCTATTTGGGGAACTGGGGAACTCCATTTCCGGAGTGTGTGAAACAGTGCTCCATTCAACAGAAAAGAGACACAGCTGCTGAATTAGCAAGGACTCGTTCCTCCCAGACCAGGGCTCTACCAATACAGCCTTTAACCTCTAGCAGGCACAGGACTCGTGAGGAGGAAGAGTCCATGACTGGCCCCTGGCTTCTGGCTCCCAGCAGTTTCTCCTGCCCCTTGATCTACTCACCAGTTGAGTAAAAACACAGGCGGAAAGAAGTGGTTAACACATAGATGACGGCCAGGAACCCATTCAGAGGCCCATCTACACCAAGGAGCAGGGCTGAGGCCAGGCCAAAGGTGGTGAAGAGAGCGAAGTCATTCAGTTCAAGTCCTGCTTCAGAGGTCAAGGTTAACTCACAAGCATGCATTCTACATCCTAGCCTCTCTCGAGTGGTAGGTGCAGCGACATTTGGGGTGCTGGGCTCTCAGAGGGAAGCAGCTGCTCCCTAAAGGTGGCCTGTAGATCAAAGCTTGGGTTGCCCCACCCCCACCCCAGCTCTGCCTCTTGCTGGTGCTTGGCACTCAACATGCAAAGCTGAGCGCATGCACACACAAACCTTGGGACCTTTTGAACCAGCTGCTTTGCCAGGGAATGTTTCTTATTCCCTCACTGACCCTTGCCATCATCTTCACTAATAAGTCTACAGAGGATATTCCTTACTTAGAATGAAGGTGACCCCAATGAATGCTTGGAAGGCAAGGAAGGATAAACAGCAAAGAAACTGCTCAGAAACTCAAAGTGAAATCTTACATCATAAAACTCACAATAGCCATAATAATGTACTATGGAGTCTAAACACAGGACCACAGTCTTTAGCAAAATCACAGAAATCCAAAGAAGAGCAAATGGAATTAAAGCAGAGGGGTGAGGAAGATAAAGACTACATAGCAGAGCAAAGGTGAGGCAAAGATGGGAAAGAGCCAGACAGTGGTGACGCACACCTTTAATCCTAGCACTCAGGAGGCAGAGGCAGGTGAATCTCAGTGAGTTCCAGGACAGCCAGGACTGTTACACAGAGAAACCCAGCCTCTAAAACAAGCAAACAAGCAAAACAAAACAAAGCAAAAAAACAAAAACAAAAACAAAAAAAAAAACAAAAAAACAGATGGGGAAGAGAGCTAGCCCAGGTGATGGGTCCAGGCTGCAGACAGACTCACGCCCACCCGGGGCAGGATGGCTTCCACTATTAACAAAGACAAGTGAGCAGAAGGGAGGGGGTGGGTGACTGGGGAAGCCTGCCTGGCTCCACAGGATGGGTGGTAGCCTGAGAAGGGATGCTGCCCAGGGTAGGGACTAGAGGGGCCTGAGGTCTGGACTTACCCAGTTTGTGGCAGATGTTGAGGTATCTGGTCATCGTCCCTACTGCCACGTCTAGCAGGAAGCTGATGAGAAGCATCCAGGAAGCACAGTATAACTTCCTAAAAGGCAGGCCAGCAGGCAGCTTCTTGTAGAGCCCACTGGGCAAGGCCATGCTCAACACCCGCTCTTCACGCCCAAGTGCTTTGCCTCACTCACACCCCTCCCGGTACGTACCGCTTTAAAGTGTTTTACACACACGCTCCCAAACACCCAATACATAGTCTTTTTATAATTTTGTCATTATTTTATGTGTCTGAGTTATTTTACCTGCATGTACATCTGTGCACCACATTCATACATTGCCCAGGAAGACCAGAAGAGGATGTGGGATCTTGTGGGGCTGGAGTTATAGATGACTATAAGTCAAACCCTGTGGGTGCTGATAATTAAACCCAGGGCCTCTAGAAGAGTTGCCAGTGCTCTTAACCACTGAGCCATTTTTTTTTCAGCCCCCAACCCATAGTTTAAAGAGGTTCTCTGACACCCTCAACTGCCAGTAATCACCAACATTCCTTTCGACTCTTCTTTTTGGGGAGGGGGTGTTTCAAGACAGGGTGTTCTCTGTGCAACTCTGGCTGTCCTGGAACTCCCTCTGTAGACCAGGCTGGCCTCGAACTCAGGGTCTGCTTGCCACTGCCTCCTGAGTGCTGGGATTAAAGGTGTGCACCACCACTGCCACAGATCCCTTCCTACTCTTAAGCCCCAATGTATGAGATGGCACAGGGTCCTTCCTAGTGCAGCCTCTACCACACCCTACGGTGACTCCAGATAAATTACTGTTTGTCTCTCTAGGTCTCTTTCTCTACTTGTGAAGGATTTATGCTACATGATTTCCTCTCCTTTTCCCCTTCTCCTTCTCTTTTCCCCTCCTCTCTCCTTTCCTTTCTTTCATTCTGTGGTGGTTGATCACCAGTTGGTGGAACTGTTTGGGAAGGATTAGGTGTGGCCTTATTGAAGAGATGTGTGAGCTCTCAGCTCTTTCTGCTGTGCACCTTTGCTCTGCCATCATCAACTCTCATCCTATGAAATTGTAAACCGAACTAAACACTTCTTTTATAAGCTGTCTTTGTCGTGGTTTTATCACAGCAATAGAAAAGTGACTAAGACATCTGTTCTTCAGGAACCACTGACCCTATTTTTTTGAAACAAGGTTTCTCACTGGGTCCTGGGGCTCACTGGTTTGGCAACACTGGATGGTGAGTGAGCCTTGCCAGCACTGGGATTCCGAGTGCACACTGCCATGCCCGGCCTTCTTACATGGCTTGCTAAGAATTGAGCTCAGGCCCTCATGCTTGTGCCACAGCACTTTATTGACTGAGACACCTCCCCCAACCCTGTCTTAGACTCTTGATCCTCCTGCCTCCACCTCCCAAGGTCTGGGATTACAAGCTTATGCCTTCATACCTGGCTAAATTCTAACTTTCCTACTTTAACCATCTGGTACCTTCTCCTCCCTCCTCCCTCTCTTCCTCCTCCCCCTATTTCTCCTCCTCTTCCTCCTGTCTCCCTCCCCCCTACTCCTCTCGTCCTCCTCCTCCTTCTTCAGTACTGGAGACTGAAGCTTGGACCTCACACATTCTAGGCAAGTACTCTCCCATGAGATGTACCAGGTCAGAGTTTGTGCCTTCTTTCTGTTTCTGAGCTTTAGTTTAATTCTATTTCCCCTGAGATCACCTTCTTTATGACATCTAGTCTTTTATATGCCTAGAATGTAGAATGAATCCTCCAAGAGAGCTTGAGAATACTGTGCCTTCTGCTGTTCTTGGATGAAGCATCCACAGGTGTCAATTACACCCAGACACCAGATGGTGCAGCCAAGATTAATGTGCTTTCTGATTTTCTGCAAATTGGCAATAGATACTGGCATCTCCAACTGTGGTATGGATCTGCCAGGGTTTGATTGTGGCAAGGATCCATCAGTGTCTCCCACATTCTCTCACATTTGATGCTGGCTCTACCCTGTCATTTCCCAGAGTTCCTCAAGCCCTCACATTCTTCATTGCACCTCATCCATCACATGTTCCCATATGGTCCCTTCCTGAGCAGTCACTGTCCAAAGAACACTTGCCCACAGAGGTCCACTGCCGACTCTGCACTGGATTACAATGCTTAGATGACCAGGCAGAAGCAGAGAGGAGAGCCTGACCTCTGACCTCAGTCATCCCCACACAGCTACAACATTTGTTTAGACCACAACTGAGTATCTAAAGGGACCTGAGGCTAAATGAAAATAACAGAACCTATCATTGTAATATAAAATTGCCCTCTCAGAGGATTTGGTTATAAACTGAATTTTTCCTGCCACAGATGTGCATTTTCCTACTTTATTAGACTCTAGAACCCCAAATTTATGAATGAAAAACAGATAAAGAAGTCCCATGCTGGTCCTGGAGAATCAGGCACATCAGGAATGAGTCCAGAAGAGTTTCCTTTGAAGAGCTGATCTATCTGCCAAAGGCCTGGAAATAGACTCCAACGTACAGGGGCCTTATTGGTGTCACACCTTAAGTGTGACAGAATTTCCAGAATGGTGCTAATGTCAGATATTCAAATCATATGTTCTGATTCAGGGAACCAGAAAATATGAATGAAGCTAAATGAAGCAACTCACACCTACAATCCCAGCACTTGGTGGCTCACACCTACAGTCCCAGCACTTGGGAGATGGAAGCAAAAGGATCAGAAGTTCAAGGCCACCCTAAGACACATAGTGGAGTTCAAGGCCATCCTGGGCTTTGTGGGGAGAGAGTGGGAGAGAGGGGGAGTGGCTATGAATTCTACTATGAATCTTTTTTTTTTCTCCAGCCATTCTGAACTGCTGTAGCTGAAGTAACAAGAAAGATTGTAACACAAACTTCTCATGCTACAAAAGGAAACTGAGGCTCAGAGATATGACCTAGCAGAGGTTACTTATCAGACTGATAGCAACATGGGGGCCATGGTCCTGACTTTAAAACTACTATACTGTTCTCCCGAGTCGATCTTTCAGCTACAGTGGCTAGATCTCTAGAGTGTGCCTCCCTTTCCTCATGCCACAGGCTCCAGCTTTAGGCTAAGAGCAGGCTATGCCCCAGACCTACCTGCTGAAGCTGCAGAAGATGGAGAAGAGCCCCAGAACCATGTTGGCCAGGGACAAGGCATTAATAACATCCTTCCAGGAAAGTTCAGTCATCTGAGAAATGGAATGCTTATGGCTCAAAATGCGCTGACCTGTGGCCCAGGAGAGAGGTGCACAGGGTTCCCAAGGTCAAGGGATCTCCAGAGAGGCTCTTGGGGGCCCCACCCCAGAACTGCACCCTCTCCACACTCTGTCTCATCAATTGAGAATACAAGTGAGCGAAGGGACACCAGAGCTAAAGATAAGGTTTAGGAAAGCATAGCAGCAGGGCAGATGAACTCGAATGGCCACCCCAGCCTCCCTTGCCCTGGTCCCATGGCACAGACACCCTCCCAGGAGCCTTTTGACACCTCAAGTTCCTCCTCCTTCTGAGAGACTGAGCCCTGTCATAGATTAATGACTGACTTGAGAGAGGCTATGTCATGCCCTCAGGGCACACCACAACCCTGGTTCCACCTCCAACAGAGAAGGAAGTCAACGTCACAGAATGGGTGTGGACAGCATTCGGTGGCTCCCCAGCACTTTGCACTGTGTTCTTTCCAAACAAATGTGCTCCTTACACATCAACTGTTTGTGTCCTGAGACAGACAAGCCCCACTGGTGGGATAAACACATAAACCACACAAAGTAGCCCCATCCTTGACTAATATGAGTAAATCCACTTTCTCTTTAATCCTTCACTCATTTCAAGGTGCAGGCTTAGCCTCCAGACAGCCCCCCGGGACAGTTCCAGACCCTTAAGGTCTGAGTAAGAATTGAGACAAGACCAGACATGATGACATGAATACTTTAATCTTAGCTCCTGGGAGGCAGAGGCAGGTGGATCTCTGTGAGTTTGAGATCAGCCTGGTCTACTTTGTGAATATCCAGGATAGACAGAGCTACAATAGTGAGACCCTGTCTCAAACAGAAAAAGAAAATTTAAAAGGAATTGAGACAAACTATGCTCTTTTAAAAACAAAACAAAAACATGCCACCAAGATGTCCAAAAATGGGAGGGACTGAACTTGGGTCTAGAACTGGAATATCCCAAGGCATCACTGAAGAGCAGCCTCAGGCACCAAACCCATCAGAACTGACACCTAAAATAGGAAATTATGTAAGCCCAGGGAGCGAAGGGGAGAAGAGTTTGGCTGTACCATCCCACTCTGTGAACCTACACAGTCATCTCTCCTGTTTCAAGGCCAACCCCAGCAGGACCAGATACCTCAGTTTGTGAGACAGACACCTGTTCACCTGCCAGCCCACCTAGCATCTCCTTGAAGAACAGCATTCCTGAGTCTCTGCTTCTCAGGGGAGATGAGCAGATGCCTAGTCTCCCAATAGACATTGCCTCGTTTATACTGCTTCATAGATATTTTAGTCTTAATCAATGATTACTCATCTGCTACACTGTCTACCCTGCTCACAATGCACTTGAACACCTGGGATTCCCATCCGCCCAGTGAGCTCAATCAGGCAAGAGTTGTCATCTCTGCTTGTATATCCCAAGTAAGGCAAACACAGCAGAGAGGGGTAAGCCTTGGGAGAGGTCACTCTGAAGTTACAGGATGAGGTTCAGCTCTGCCTTGAGTGTTCTTTCCTCTACCAGCAAACAGGAGAGAGAATGTTTCTCAGGCTCTATATTTAGTCTAAGCTAAGAGAACCCCTGGGTCACTGCCTTCAAAGAACATAGTCTATTGGTCTAGAGCAGTGGTTCTCAATCTGTGGGTTGCAACCCTTTTAAGGGTTGAACAACCCTTTCATGCGGATGCCATATCAGATATTTACATTACAATTCATAACAGTAGCATAATTAAAGTTATGAAGTAGTGACAAAAATAATTTTATGGTTGGGGGTCACCACAATGTGAGGAATTATATTAAAGGGTTGAAGCATTAGGAATGTTGAGAACCAGTGGTCTAGAGAAATGAGACACAAGCTTACATGTGGCCCCGCTGTTCATAGTGGCCCCTAATCTTACAGATGGGAAAGCAAAGCTTCCAAATGGGAAAGGACTTGCATGGGAAATGGTGGAGCCAAAACTTGAACTGAGTCTCCTCTTACTCAGTTAAATATTATTTGTAGAAATTACACACAGCCCCAGGAGCAAAAGGATTTGAGAAGAAGGGCTGTTTAAGCCTACATAAATAGAGCATGAACTACTCACTCCTACAGCAGGATACTTGTTTGGGAGCAAATCAGATGTTTGGTGCTGCTGACACAGAGATGACTGTGAACTGATCTTTCAAGGAACACTCAAGCAGAGGATGCAACCCAGTATGGAAGAAGAGACAGAACCATGTGAGCACAAAGAAGGGCTGGCCTGCCTCGGGGAGGCTTTCAGGGGAGGGGCAGAGCTGGAGTTAGCTTGTACTCCAAGCAGACTGGGTCATACGCTTGCTTCTTGACTCCCTCCATGGATCCCAGCCCCACACCAGCCCTGCTCGGCTCTCCAACTCCCTCTAGCCCCACTGAAACCCTTCTCTAGGGTCCTTCCTTGGGTCTTGGTCCTCTTTGAGGAGCCTCCTGACACCCCACAGAGCTTGTAAGTGCTCATCTTGGAAGATTTCTTGTGCTCACAGTGTAACACCTGGAATTCTTTACAGACATCGCCTACCTTGTCTTCCTTTTTTCCTAGAGGGGATGCAACTTGAGTGCAGACTGGGATCCCCTGTGCCAAGCATGAGGCCTGACAATAAAAGTTCTCAGTTAGTTAATATAACACACCACTTGGTTCCCTTTGCTGCACTGTCTCTAATGTACCCAGAATCTAGCCCTCTTCTTTGAGGACTCTGAGAAGTCATTTTTGAAGACGACCCTACAGCCCCTCAGCCCAGTCCTTATCAGTTATTCATTTCATTCTTTCAGATCTCTCCCTGTGCCATGCTTTGTGTGTTTGATAAATAGAGTAAGACCCATGTACCACCCTTGGAAGATACAGTCTCAATAGCTTGAAGAGACACATGTTATGTGTAACTAGAGCCCTGTGTAACAGTTGCCCTGGGTATACCAGGAAACAAAGACTTAGTCTGGAGCGAGGGAGTATTTCATCAACATGGTGATACTTAACCAGGGTCTCTAAACAGGGGAGCAAGGAGTATGGTAGCCAAAGAGAATTAAAAATACAAAGAGATCTTGGCTCCCAAAAGCCCAGTAACTGGAGATCAAGTTGGTGAGGTCTGACCTGGGGCCCTCCCAGAGGTGACTGTGATGTATAGGAACAAAATGGAAGAGGGGTTGGGAAGAAATTCAGGAACAGAAACTCATAGTGAATCTAAGAACAACCAGCAGGTCCGCAATCACAGCGCTCATATGACTGTGGGTTTCTAGAAAGAGGAATGAGTGACGATGAGGGTCCCTCACCAGGCAGCCTGAGTGGCAGGTGAGGATGAAGGTGTCCTCTCCAGCAGCGGTGTCTCTTATCCTTCCTCATCATGCACACTGCCACCCCTTCCCTGGAGGCCAGAGGCCACCTCCTGCAGACCTGGCCTCTTGAGAACAGGATACAACACTGCTCTCTCGCCAGCCTCCCCACGGGTTGTCCGGGTAACCCCACCCCGTTAGACCTAATTCTGTCGGATGACATGACATGACGAGGGGCTGGCCGGCCTGATGTCCCTGTCCCTCTTCCTTGCCCCACCTGCTCCATGTCAGTAGGGAATGCTCACCTGGGGATCAGACATTCCTAGATGAGGCTGGGGCCCGGGCCCCGCACTCTTTCCTGCTGTTGTTGAAGTGTGAGGGGGTCCAGCCCAGGCGAGGATGCATGGATATGGGTCCAGCCTCTTAGCCTAGCTCTTAGCTCACAATCCCGAGGGCAGGGGAGGGGCTGAGGAGCCTTTGGACACAGGCACCAGGGCCTCAATTACAGATCTTACAGCGGGCGGCAAGGGGAGGGGCATGGCGGACTCTCTGGGGAGGGGCCTGTTTTCTCCATCTCCTTGAACCTGGATAGAACCATCACTCACAGAGGGCTTCTGCTTGGTGCAGAGACCCGGTTGTTGTGTGCCTCGGGTTGGAGGTGGGCTGGGAGTGAGTAGAAGACTGTAAAAAGCAGGCTGGGGTCCTCGTCGTGAAGAGACCCTTGAGTGTGAGCTCCAAGCAGGAATGGCCTTTTATAGGACTGGTTCTTTGTACCTACAAGGTGGTATAGACATATAATATTTCTAAGGGGGGTGAGGACCTGAGGAACTGGGATCCAAAAATGAAGACAATGTTTGTAGGTCAGGTTCTTTCAGAAAGGTGGTTCTGGCAGTCACTGTAAAGGAAGTAGCAAGGCCAAGGCTATGTCAGGGGATAGGTGGGGGTAGCCAGTGTGAGGAGAATCCTAGAGGATGAGGAAAGCCCTGAGCAGGGACAAAGGCTTTCCAGATAGTTTCTGGATTCAGCAGTTAGATGGATAGTGTGCCACAAAAAGACAAAAAAAAAAAAAAAGTTTCCTCAGACAGGGTTTCTCCATAGTCCTGGCTGTCCTGAAACAGAATCTGTAGACCAGGCTGGTCCCTTAACTAGGGATCCGTCTGTCTCTGGCCCCCAAGTGCTGGGATTAAAGGTGTGTGCCACCACACCCAGCAGTAAACCCTTTGTTTCATTAAGACGCTGTCTCACACTGTAGACCAGGCTAACCTGAAACAGTAACTGAGGCTGGCTAGCCTTGCACTCATGTGATCCTCCTTGCTCAGTCTCCCCAGCACTGGGATTACAGGTGTGAGACACCCACCAACTTGGAAAGAAACAGTGCTGGGTAATATTCTAAGGTAGGGTCCACCCTTACCTGTCCCACATCCACACCACTCTAAGGCTAAATTGCAGTAGCAAGAGCATCCAGGGCCCAGAGAATATGCAATAGGAAGGGTGGGGCTAAGATGTCATGTGACAGCACAATCAGTGAGGGGGAGAGGATCTGGCTGAGCCAGAGGCCCTCTGGCAGCCCCTGGGCTGAAGGGTGTACAAGGTCTCTCCCTGAGTCTTAGACTGACTCTGCCACTGTATTGTTCTACTCAAGGAAATGGTGGATCGAACAGTTGGTTCACTGTCAACTCCACTGAGTCATCAGCGGACCTGGGCTGGGGATACAGCTTTATTATAAGCACATGTTCAGTGTGGTCAAAGGCCCTGGACTTACTCCCCAGCACCTAACATTAAAACAAGAACTGTAAGAGCTGAGACCTGAAAAGAATCTGACACTAAAGGCAGACCCGGGTGTCTGAAAACTAAGAACAGGCTGGAGGCCGAGAGTGTGCTGCAAGTGCAGTCACACCACCGCCCTCTACTGTCCCTGTGGAGGGTCACACAGCCTTGGGATGTTTTGAAACAGGTGCTGGAATGACTGTGTGTTAAAGGATGCTGCTTGCAGTCTCTGTGGTGACACTCGAGGGTGGAGAAGGAAGCAAGGAGGCTCACCAGGAAAGTACTGCCTTATTTAGGCTAAAGATATAGGTGGATGAAGGGATGAGAGGGGGTCAGGTATGGGGCTGTATTTTGAAAGCAGAGGTGATTGGCATGGGAAGAGCAAAGGGGATAAAGGATAGCTTAGCTTTTTTTTTTTTTTTAAACTAAATAACAATGAGATAGGTGACCATGGGAAGATAGAGGGTGTGAAAGGTTTGTGGGTTAGTTCAGAGCTCTTGTGGACACAATAAGGTGGTAATCATTGAGTCAAGTAGAGAAGTAGGACAAAAGTGCATGAACAGAGTAAGATCAGAGTTAGGAACATGGATGAGTTGGCAGCTTAAGGACACTAAGGCTCTGGGAACCGGTTAGAGCGTGCAGGAGGGAGGAAGTGCCAAGAAGCTGGCCCCAGAGGAGGTTGGGATTCAGAAAAAGTAAAGTAGGAGAGATTAGGCTAAGACAATATTCCAAATCAAGATGAGGACAAACACTTTCAAGTAGTGAGCGAGCCCACTGAATCAAATCCGCTTACAACTATCCGAGTGCAGTTTTTCCAGGCACTCCAAGCACCAGCTCCTTAGGAAACAAACTTACCTTCTGCACACAAGTTTGCACGTGGATTTTAATGCCAGAGACATGGGTTCAGTTGCTTATGCACAGCATAATGTTAATGAAACTACTTCTTTGGAGGTGGCTAACCTCGATGTGCCAATCATGGGACACAACTGCCACAGTTGCTTGTTCTTACCTTGTTTTTGATTCTGGAGGCTGAGTGTGTGTACACATCTTCAGAAAGGCTATCCACCTTGATTTTTGAGAGGGAATGGGGAGCTGGGGCTCACCACCTAGGGTAGGCTACCCAGTGAACTCCATCTTGCCAGCGTTAAGATTACAAGCATGTATGATCATGCTCGTATTTTTAAATTTTATGTTATTGGTGTTTTACCTGCATGTATATCTGTGTGATGATGTTAGATCGCCTGGAACTGGAGTTACAGGTGTGAGCCGGCATGTGGGTATGGGAATTGAATGCACGTCCTCTGGAAGAGTGTCCAGTGTTCTTTACTGCTGAGCCATCTCTCCTGCCCCCATGCCCAGATTTTTTAATGTGGATGCTGAGGATCAAACTCAGGTCCTATTTATGCAGTATTTTACTACCCATCTCCCTGGCCTCTGCTTTTTTACTTTTTCAAAACGTCTCCCTTACTATCACACAAGCTAGTCTGAAACTGGCATCCATACCCCTGCCTCAGCAATTCAGATGCAGAGAGTACAGGTGGGTGTGTACTAGAGACATACATGCATCCCACATTGACCACATTCATTTTGTATGTCACTTCTGTAGAGCTCTAGAACTACCTGCTAAAACATGACTGGGGGAAACACGACAGGTTAACATGACCTAAGTGGATATGACTGTGGTTACAGCTGGACTCAAAGTAAACACGGCTTTGTTTAAACCTGATCTTACCACTGGTATTTGGATAGCCATGAACCACACTGAATTGGAAATGCTCTTGCTCAGACCTCATGGGTGTTGGGCTACATAAAGATTAAATCAGGTAAAGGGAACATTTGATAGAATTAAAATTCCCTAGACAGCATGATCTCTTCACCTACAACTAATACCATCCACATTTGGGGACCAACTAATAATTTGAGAAGGTTAGTACACAAGTAAGGCCTCCTTCCTGAACCCTGAGGTGGAAAGGGAGCTCAGTCAGTGGTTACACCCAGTGAGCCTGGGCAGAGCCAGCAAGGTAGACTCCTGAAGTAAATATAGACCACTAATTATGCTAGAAGATGTCAGAATGTCTGTAACAGGACCCCAGACCTTAGCACAACTGACTCCATGGGGGAAGTACCATTTAGGCTATAAAAATAAAACACACAGACAGCACCACCTGCCAAAACTAAAAGACCTAATCCATCAAAGCCCATAGTTATGGCAAAGTCTCTAAATGTACTAACCTTCCCTTTTGTCTTCTGTAGTTCTGCTTCTGGCTAAATGTTCTTGTTAACTGAATATGTCAACCCAGGACATGGTTTTTGTGCTTAAAAGCTCACCCTGAGAAAGACTAGGACTAACTGGGATCCTGAGCACCCAGTGTCATCACCAGCAAGCTAATAGACTTTCTATTGTTTTAAACCAGTGTCTGAGCAGTCTTTCTCTTCCATGTCTTGTTGAGTGGATCAACACACATGAGCCAGAAATTTAAGAACTGCCTAAGATCCACTCCTCTCCCTCACATTTTATTAGCTAACAAGGTGGCAGTCTATCATAGTTCAAAATGCTATGCATCATCAAGTCAGGTGTTTTCACCGTGAGCCACACCACTGTTATATGGCTCTAAGGGGGAAAGTTAAAACCAAGTGGGGGACTGGAGAGATGGCTCAGCAGTGACAAGTGTGTGCTGCATTTGCAGAGAAGAGTCTGATGTCTCTGGCCTCTATGGGAACCTGCACATACCACCGGCCCCCAGGAAAACAAAGTGACAGGCTATTGACATTTAGGAGCACTCAAATTCCAGATAAGCTAACACAGAGGAATTCCACTGTACAACTGACCCAATCTGGCACCCCACACCCCAATGCTGATAAATCAGCCTAGACCCTCATTGCCTCCTGCTAGACGGGGGATGGAAGCTCTTCACTCCCTGCCCTCTGCCCAGCCTGCTTGTTGGCATCCAGGAGCTCAGACCTTACTCCCTCTCCCATCACCCCAGCCAGTGTTCACACCAGCTGTTGTATTTTCACTACTAACACCACTCATTTGTCAATTGCATCTCTTTTCCTCTTCCATTGACTTTAGCTGTTAGAATTTTCTAGCCAGAACAATCTCACTACACTTCTTGTAAAGATCAGGATTACTTTGCCTGATGAGGTTAAAATCATAACCAATAAACTCTACCCAAAAAGAGCCCTCCCTAACCCCAGAAAGACAAGCCTCCTATACACAGGGAGTCTTTCCTTCAATGTCTTCCTGTAGTCTACAAGCCCTATGTATACCTAAGTCCTTACACTTACTGCTTAGGAAATCACAGGTCAGAGAGGAGTGCTGAAGAACAGCAGTTGCTGCATATACTCGCTGGGTCCTAACCCCTCCATTCTGAGTTGTGTATCCAGAATCACTAGGCATTCATTATCAACAGCCATCCCTCAGCCAGGCAATCGGATTAACCAGGGAAGAGCACTGGCTGGCACTACCTGGTGGCCACCAGAGCGGAAGTACATCTTGGATTGGAAGTTTCTCTTTGGAAACCATTGCTTTCCAGGTGCAGCTCACTGCTGGAAATGTCAAAAGTGAGAGAAATCTGTCTTTTCAGTGGCTCAGCATAACTGCTTGCCAAAGGGACTGAGAAAGATGGAGGGAACTGGAATGTAGCCAGGTTATTTTGCCAGTGCTTAACATCAAGTCCAGATCTGTGGGATCAACACTATCCGATCACAATCACCTTTGAGACTGCCTTTTATCCAAAATAGATTACTTTTTCTGTCTCAACACTGGTCTCTGCCTTCTGGTCTCCATGCTCTTGTGTAATGGTTTCCCTTAAATGTGGACTGGCCTAGAAACTGGCTTCTAAACAGAGCACAACAAAGATGATATCATTTTCGTGGTGGGACTACATAGGTTGAAACTTCCATTCTGCTCGTGAGCTCCCATCCTTTCTCATGCAGTGTTCCTGTGATTGCAGCGACCTCTGTGGTAAAAAGCTGAAGGTGACCTTTACCTAATCATCTGCAGGTAGCCCAGTTATCTCCAAGGGACCAAAATTCTAACAAAATTAAGTGAGTTTGGAAGCAGATAGCAAGGCCCTGAGAACCGAGCCCTAGCCTAAATCCCAACTATAGACTTGCAGTATCAAAGAAATCCTGAGGCTAAAGGCCCAGGGAAAACATGATAGATAAGTGTCCCTTTAAACCAATACCCTATGGCAATTTGTTTACTTCCTAACTAACTATGTACTACTCAAAGTATGTCACTACCACATAGGTCAGAACCTCCTGAAGACCTGGGCAGCATTCCAGAGTCAGGATCAACTAACATTCCAGTAAAGTCTGTCTTCCAGCTCTGCAGCTTCCCAGCAAGGGGCTGGCTCTCTGCAGCTCACACAAGACATTTCTGTGTGAACTGAACGACCAAGTATCAGCCATGTTTCTTGTTAGATCTCTGTTTCTTGTGCTGGGTAGGCATGGACTGTTTCTAGCTCACAAGGTGCACTGTTCATAAGGGAAGCCATGAACAGGACACAGTGTATACCCGAAGTTGGGCTTGTGGGCTCAAGCACATATTTCTCATGTTCTTTAGAACATATTACAAAGGATTACATGGCGCAGAAGAAGCTGTCACTCTGGATATGCTCTAAATTTAGCTAACTCAGCTAAACAAACAGGACATGAGGTAGAATCCAAAAAAGCTCACTCAAAAGTCACAGAGTTTTGGCCAAGAAAGGCCCTGTTCAGTACTGCTTGTCTGCAGTACTGGAGATGGAACCAGAGCTTCATGATGCCATGTAAACACTCTCACACCTGCTGTGTAAACAGGCTAACACTGAGCTACATCTCCAGTCCCTCTTCAGTTGTGACTTATTCAGTAAGCAATAAAAATGAGTTTCGATCAGAGATAACTTGTTAGGTGTGATGGCTCAGCCCACTAGGGAGGCTAAAGCAGGATTATCACACTAAGGCCAGCCTGTGCTAGTCAGCTACAGGCTAACCTGTGCTACTGAGAGCCTATAAATAGATAGCACCAGCCAACTCATAACCTGTGGAAAGATCAGCCATTTTTCTTGTTTTGCATTCCCACGGCTCTATTCCCCTCCACACTATCTCTTTTTTAAAAGATTTTGAAGTGTGTGTGGGTGTGTGTAGGGGTGAGGTGTGGGGAGGGGTGTGTATGTCTCATATGTGTATGGTTCATGTAGATCAGAGGAGAGTGTGAGGTCTCCTGGAGTGGAGTTACAGGTGGTTGTGAGCTGCCTGGCATGGGTGTTAGGAACGGAACTCAGGCCCTCTGGCAGAGCAGCACGCTCTATCTTAAAATGCCATTTGACGGGTCTGTCCTGCCGTGCTGAGCTCAGGCTTGCTAGGAAGGCTTCCTGGTTGTAAACCTCTATGAGGGTTGGGATGACTGCCCAAACCTGCCCTTCTTTGGCTGCTGCCTCAGTCTCCAGTCACTATCACTAGGCATAAGGGCAAACCAGAAGGTCACTATCAGGACTGAAACTCTAGAATTCAACACTCTCACCCAGCCAAGCCAAGTTTTTGTCTTTTTTAATCTTCCGTAGGCAACACTGGGATTCCTGAATCAACCTCAAATAGGCCTGGCACCTATGAAGACAGCTTCAATACCAACCTGACACAAAAGATATGAAAATGGTTCCTCTTAGAAAATGATCCACCAACTTGCTTTGGGAAGAAGGCTCTTCCTTTTCTTGTTTTTTGACTTAAGGGAGGAACAGCTGGAGGTGAAGGAAGGCACTAGCCAATCCTTTGAAACCAAGTGACCTGGCATCAGTGGACCCAGGAAGATCCCACAGGAGTTCTGTGATTCCTCGACATCCCAACTGACAGCAAACACAGCATCTACATTCACCAGGGTCTCCTTCCAAGAAGTTCACCCAAAAACGCAGTCCTCATGAGGCCTCCCACCCCCACCCCACCAAGGAAAAGAATGTGGACAAGGAGGTGGTAGTGGTCAGGCCTTTGTCAGGATTGATAGTCAGAGCCATACTCAGTGAGTTAGTCCCTGGAAGGTGGGTTCAGTGCATGGGGGCAAGGCCATGGGCTGGTTCAGCAGCTTGTCTATCATGCCAACTTTAGCATCTTGCTTCTCAATGTCTTCATATGGAGTCCACGATAAGTCATGTTGCAGCTTGTAGGCACCGAGGAAGTCATGGGGACAGCCTGCTCCCCATTCCTAGAGGGCAAAGGAGCAAGTGCTGGTTAGGATGAGAAGTGAACAGCATTCTTTCCCTTCTCAAGTCATGGACTTCTTTCTGTGCTTTTCACCTCAGACTAATCAAAGCATCACTGGAAGTTATACTACACATCAGAAATAATGAGTATCACCAAGCAGTGGTGGCTCACACCTTTAATCCCAGAACTTGGGAGGCAGAATCAGGCAGATCTGTGAGTTCGAGGACAGCCTGGTCTATAGAGCAAGTTTGAGGACAGCCAGGGCTACACAGAGAGAGCCTGTCTTGAAAAAACAAGAAGGAAGGAAGGAAGGGAAGGAGGGAGGGAGGGAAGGAAGAAAGGAAGGAGGGAGGGAGGGAGGGAGGGAGGGAGGAAGGAAGGAAGGAAGGAAGGAAGGAAGGAAGGAAGGAAGACAATCATTCAAGCACTCACAACTTTCCATCATACCTGGGCTCACATCACCTCATTTTCCAGGAAACCCTTGGTCAAGCTGCAGGCTTACATTTTCAGACAAACATGCCCTGAATTTCTCAAAGGCTGCAGTTGGTTTTGAGTTAAAAAATGAATGTTCTTACCCCTGGAGAAATAATGGAAAAGTACTGCTGGCCACTTTCCCGCTGGTAAAGATAGTAAATGTTGCCAGGTTTTTTCACCATATTGCAAGCCACATGGTGCAAGTCAGCATCTCTTCTAGCATCTTCCAGTACCTGCCAGCCACACAGGTGTGACAAGAGATGAGTCAGAGGTGCCAGGCCTCACCCACATCACACTAAACAAAGCATACAAACTTCCAAGCTTGTAGCCTGGTTCTCCAGCAGCAACACTCACTACTGGGGTCCAAACGGTTTGGAAGATGGGGAGATTACACAAGCTGCTATGCTGGGAAAAGCTGTTAGAGCAATAAGATGTTTTGAATGTTGAGTGTGGCTGCTTGGGAGATTCTTAAGTTCTTCTTTTCCTGGGTCAAGTACATTTCTTTTATAAAAGAAACTCTACCTCCCTTCAAAAGCTTTATCTTAACTGACCTTTCTTTGGTTAAGAAGCAAATGCCACTCCTGCTTAACTTCTGTTATGGTTATTTGTCTCCTAAAGGATTCTAGGAGCTTGGTCACCAATATAGTGACATAAAAGGGAGGACCCAGTAGGAGGCCAAGTCTTCTAGACACTGCCCTCAGGAGGGAGTTCTGGGGACAGCTATGTGAAGACATGAGCCAGGATTTGATGTAGTGAAAGCCAGGGCCTGACACCTCAATCTCCAGCCCTGTTTGAAGATTCATCTGTTCTCCCACACACACCCTGCTACGACTAGATGTGACCCAGAGAGTTCTTCCCAGAGCTGAGCTACATCAGCACCATTCCCTTGAACCTCTAAACCTGTGCACAAAATAAACCTGCCCCAGATATTTCATCATAGCATCACAAAACAAACTAACAAAACCTCTTGGGCATATTACTTGCATTTAATCAAAATAGCTACATGTTCAGAATGTATTAAAAACAGAGAAGGCACCATGACTATAAGTTCAGCCAGTCCTCCCAAGCAAAGGAAAAGGAAAGCCTGCTTAACCTGCACTGGCCTTGAACATGCATCTTTCTCACCTTCCTAGCTTGTTCTTGCAAATGTTGGATTTGCTCTGCAATGACTGTCAGCTTGTTAGTAGCATTTGCTCGGATGAATTCATCAGCCTACAGAGGAGAGAAAACCAAACTGTAGGTAAAAAAGCAAGAGGCATCTTGCAATTAGAGGAGTTATACCAATGGCTCTGCTTCTACCAAAAGTTCTTACCACTCCATCACCATGTAAATTTTCACCTACCCTAAGGCCCAACTCAGAAGAAACCCACACTGTAATGACCCCACACCCAGAATTAAACATTCCATCTATCTCCACTGCCATTCCCACTCACCTCTAATCACACTGGGCATTGGTACTTCCACACCCTCATCTCCAGCCACCAACCATGAGCATGCCCTCCATCTAATGCATCATTTCCTTTGCTCTCTGCATGACTAAACCCTCCCATTTCTCAGTCCCCTCATTTGGTTTTGTTTTCCCATTATAGAGCCCTGGCTGTTATGGAACTCACTAATGAACCTTAAGCTTGCAACCTTCCTGCCTCCTCTTCCCAAGTATGAAGATTATTGGTGTGCACTACCACATCCAACCCATTTGTTTTCAATGTTAGAACATTTTTAAAGCAAAGAATGAATTTTATGCCAGGAGGTGGTGGCATAATTCCAGCACTCAGGAGTGAGAGGCAAGTGGATCTCTATGAGTTAGAAGCCAGCCTGGTCTAAATCCAGGGCTACACATTGAGACTCTGTCTCAAAACAAACAGCAAGAAAATAAAATCAAAAGATACTTGTGATGAACTCTGAACATCACCTCTGTTTGGCCACCTACATCATATCTAACTAAACTTCAACACACACATAATTTAAAAAGAAGGGCAGCAACAGATCATGGAGGATCCTATAGCCCTTGGGGGGGGATGCATTTTGTTCTTAGGACAAGAAAATCCATATAGCTAATGAAGAGAAAAGGCTGTCTCCATATGTAAGGCAGGTTCAGAATGGGAGCAACCTTATAATCAACCCCCTTTATCTGGTCCCAAAGGGTATTTAAAATTACTAAGCACTGATCCTGGACCCAACCACCCCAAGAACCTCTGCATTAATAACAGTATCTTCAGATACAATAACCTTACTTAGTCATTACAACTCAGGTATAGCAACTAAAGTTTTACAACTAATAAATGGCAATTGAGCCATCTCTCCAGTCCTGAAAGTGTTTTGTTTTGTTTTTCAGCCTCAAAGATGTAGATTATACTGGAGAATTTGAGGCAACAGAATAATATATCCTTTATATTTCACTAGATTATGGTATGAAAGACAAAAGCTGTGTTCTTTCTTTCCCTGCGTCCATGACAGTCACTCAGAAAAACGCAAGTGTTTGCCCAAAATTTTGTCCCTGGCTTCCTTCCCCTTCCCCTCAATCGTGATCTGACTTAATCTACAGTAGTTCTAATTTGTTCCCATCTCTATTAAAAAAAAAAGAAAGAAAGAAAGAAAGCCGGGAGAGGGTGTAAGAATTTAATAAAAAAGGCCTTCCTAAACATTTGAATTCTTCTTAGTTTTATGTGAGAGATCTGAGCACATTAATCATTAATTTTCTTGATCAAAACAATCTTTTGGACACGATCATTGCCAATAAGCTAGTTTATATAAGAGGGGACAATAGAAACTTTTAAAGCAGCCTCACTCTGATACTGAAAAGGAACCTAGGAGCTCTCCCACCTCAACCCTCTCATTTTACAGACTGTGACCTCCTGAGAGAAGCAATCTGTCCAAAGCTAATGTGCACAAATTTCTATTGCCTTTTCCATTATCTTGCATATCTTCTTTATTCTACCTGCTATAGTAACCAGTGTCTAAGCTCTGGACATAGGAATACTGTATCCATTGAAATTCACCAAGTGTGGCAGCCATCCCTGTAACAACAACCAGCCTTTGGGGCGCTGAAGAGGAAGCCAAGCCTGGGCTAACCAACAAGATGAAACTGTCTCCAGTTTTTGTTGTTGTTGTTTTAATCTAAAGTGGGAATTTTACCTGTGCCTTTTTGCATGTTGTTTTTGGTGGTGCTGAGGATCAAATTCAGCCTAGGCAAGTGTAACCACTAAGCTTCACCCCCAGCACCAATTGTTTAAAGGAAGGAGATCGCATATATTTAAATTCCACAAGCTCTTAGGTAACAGATAAAGATTTTACGGGAAGCAGCATAAAATAACTGACTGTTGAAGAATTTGGGATAGAAGCAGAGCTTGGTGATGATGCACGCCTTTACTCCCAGGGCTAGGGAGGCAGAGGCAGACTGAACTGAGTTGGTGACCAGAATAGTCTAATAGTGAGTTCCATGATAACCCTGTATCAAAAACAAAAAGCAACAACAAAGAACTGGGGATAGAGTGATCCTCTTCGTGTGTCGAAAGGAATGGTAAACCCACTGCCGAGCTCACAGCCTGTCCTAAAGTGCAGATGAAACTTAAGGTCGTAGCCCAACGACGCAGGGTATATTCCTCACCTTTTGCACCTGCTCGGCGAGCGCCACGAGGTCTAAAGGGTCCCCGACCCGGTTGGTGTGGTAGGGGCTCACCAGAGCCAGGCCGCCGGGGGTCGGGGTGAGCTCCACCAGGGCTCCTGTGACACACACCCGGGGACACCGGCGTAAGTTGTAGCCCTCAACCTCCCGCGAGGCACCAGAGACGAGCCACCCGGCTGCGACCTCTTCCCCAGGCCAAATCAGTCCCACCTACCTCCAGGACCCGCCGCCTCCTGCACCCCCAGACTTTCCGTGCCTCTTTCCAACCGGCCGGGAGCTGCCGGGCCCGCCATGACAGCACTTCAACCCCAAGGCCAGCGAAGCTGGGGGGGTAGGAGCTCGATCGGAGCGCAGGCGCACAACAGCTTGCGGGCGGAGCTTTCTCATTCGCTGGTCATTGAACGGCGTGCCTGAGCTTGGAGGCGGAGCCCCGCGAAGAGCGGGCGTTCGGATTGGTTGAAAGCAAGAGGCGGTGCAAGCTTCCTGGCCACGGACTTCAGGGCTTGAGGCGGGGCTCGTCTCTGGGCGTGGCTTCTGTGGGGCGGGACTCTGGATTGTGCCCAAGGCGAATTGTCCCGTTAAGTGAAGGAGCAAGGCCATGGCGATGAGGCTGCTGGCCGCTCTGCTAGCGGTCGCCGTAGCTGCCGCCTCGCGGGCTGCAGAGGAGTCTGAGCCGGGATGGGACGTGGCAGCCCCTGACTTACTTTACGCAGAGGGGACCGCCGCCTACGCGCGCGGGGACTGGCCTGGGGTCGTCCTGAACATGGAGCGGGCGCTGCGCTCGCGGGCCGCCCTGCGTGCCCTCCGCCTGCGCTGCCGCACACGCTGCGCGGCCGAGCTGCCGTGGGCTCCTGACCTCGATCTCGGCCCGGCCCCCAACCTAAGCCAGGACCTGGGCGCCGCCGCCCTCAACGACCTGCGCTTCTTCGGGGCCCTGTTGCGCCGCGCCGCTTGCCTGCGCCGCTGCCTCGGGCCGCCCTCTGCCCACTTGCTGAGCGAGGAGCTGGACCTGGAGTTCAACAAGAGGAGTCCCTACAACTACCTTCAAGTCGCCTACTTCAAGGTGCGACTGTCCCGGAGCCCGGCGGCCCGGGGCAACCTGGGGAACTCGGGGAGCAGAGCAGGGTCCAGTCCGCAGGGAGGAAAGGGGCCTCTTGGCTAGGGAGCTCTTGGCAGACTCGGGGCGCTTCATCCGGTTCTTATGGGCAAATGCTAACCCTAGAAGTCCAGCCAGTAGTGACAGTCCAAGCCAAGAAGAACATGACCTTTCCTTCTGGAAAGGCTTCCTAGAGGCAACCGAGGCGACCGCTTGGGCCTCCTAGCCCTACTTCATTGCAAGTATCCAAGTGAGAAGCCAGGCACTTCTGCAGCATCTTCCTTCCGGTTAGTTCTCCAATCATGCTTTTCCTGCTCCCGAATCCAAGAGGAGCGCCTTCAGGACGTGGGATTGCCACGTCGCCAGCAGGGGCTGCCTCGCTCCTCCCTATGGAGGACCCTCTGGCTAGTATGTCAGTTTTGGGGTTTGTTGTTTGTTTTGTTTTTAAAGAAAATGATTGTCTTTAGGGATGCCACGATTGTCTTTAGGGATGCCACAGGGCTTTAATGCCAAGTCAACTAACAGGCTTGGAGCACCAGGTGACTGGCCACATGTATTTCCAGGATTCAGAGTACTTGGCGTTTATTAACTGATTTGCCTTGAAACAGTAACATTTGAATAGATGCTGTTAATCCCGTGGGGCGGATGAAGAGGCTGCGCACGAAGACTGTATATCTACAATTGTTTGACAGCCCTTCAGTTCTACCTAAAAGAGACTTAGAGACTCTTGGGGACCTTAGATTTCTGCTTATTCCACTATTCCTTCTGGTTATTGGGATGAGAGCTGGGCTTACAAGCCCCAAATGATTGGGTTCTCACTTAGGTCATGTCACTAAAATTCATTGACATTAACATTTATTGAACAGTTCTACATTCCAGTTCTTGGGCAGGTGATCAAAATAATTGATTGTTCATTTTACCTTGTGTTACTACTAGGAGTCACCGTACTAAGAGCTAACTAAAATGCTTACGTAGATGGTTAGGGTTGTGGGAACATAACGGGGGAGTGATAGAATGCTTAGCTTCAGTTGAATTAGACCTGGCAGAGAAGTGACATTGAAGAAAGGTTTTTCCCCCACAAGGGAAATGTAAAACTACAGTATAGTATATTTTGGGTCATAGGGTAGTTCACTGCAGTGAGTCCTGTGTAGGCATGTATGTGGAGAACAGCAGAAGTGACTACAAAGTTTAGGGAGGTTGGATTCAGAAGAAACTCCTGTAAATTTCGGACAACCATCATCAGACTTAGCTTTCAGGATGCTCATTCTGGAAGCCAGATGGATAAAATAGGTGGAAGGAGAAAGTGTTGGCAGTGAAAACAGTGGAGAAAGGCCCATGGCTTAGTCCACCAGAGGAAGCCAGGTGCCAGTGCCTAGGAGTCAAAGGCTTGTAGGTGGGGTGGATAACAAAGGAAGACAGCAGCAGTCCTGAAAGACTGGGGAGAGTAAGCTAGGCACGGTGGCACAGTCCTCTGATCCCAGCCCTTGGATCTTACCACAGTGTAGTTGTTAACGCCCTATCCCCCAAATCATTGCACCTTTGGACTCTCCATTTCACTTATTTGTTTGTTTGTTTGTTACTTTCTTTCTTTCTTTGGAGACAAAGTTTCACCTATCATTCAAGTACTTGGGATCTGGTCAGAACTGAGAGTTTGAGACTGATCTGTATAGTGACAACCTGTCTGTAGACACACAAACACACAGAGAAACCAACCAAGCAAACAAAACCTCACAGAGTTTGGATGGGACCTCATTCTTTTACTTTGCCCATAGATAAACAAGCTAGAAAAAGCTGTGGCAGCAGCGCACACCTTCTTTGTGGGCAATCCTGAACACATGGAGATGCGGCAGAACCTCGACTATTACCAAACCATGTCTGGGGTAAAGGAGGCAGACTTCAAGGATCTGGAAGCCAAGCCCCATATGGTGAAAAGATACCCCCCCCAACACGCACACGCGCATGTGTGTGTGTGTGTGTGTGTGTGCGTGTGTGCGCGTGTGCACGCATGTATGTGTGTCAGAGCTGCTATGTAGTCCAGGCTGGTCCCAAGTCTTCCATAATTAACTCTTTCACCTAATTTAGTATCATGGTTTATGTGTGTTTTCAGCACTTTTTTGACCTAACATTTGAATAGTATTCTCATAATCAACTTATGTTCTCTATCATTTTAATAATTTATGCATCAGAACATTAGAGAGTCTGAAGATAACAATATATATGCATATTCATGTACATATATATGTAAAAAAAAACACTATCAGAATGGCATCGTACATACACAATACATGCTAAGCACTCTATCACTCCCCAACCCCAGAATGACTTTTAAAAGTAGACATGTGTTTGCTGGACATGATGGCATATACCTATAATCCTAGTATTGGGGAGATAAAGGAAATTAAATCAGGATTTCAAGGTTGCCTGCCTGTGCTGTGAAACATTCCTTCAAGGAGACTATGGGTGGGTTGTGATTTATTTTTAATCTGTGTGGGGTGGGGAGTAGAGGGAGTAAGGGGGAGAGGGAGAAAGAGAGAGAACTTATGTGGGTGCCTGAGAAGACCAGAAGAGGATATCATACCCCCTGGAGCTGGAGTCACAGGCAGTTGCAAGTCACCCTATGTGGGTGCTGGGAACTAAACTCAAGTCCTCTGGAAGTACATGTTCTTAATGACAGCCATCTCTGTCTAGCCCGTTACCTAAAAACGTTAAGCCCTATAGAAATGTGTAAGAATTACAGCAAACTCTGCCTTTTCCCTGCATTCAGTTACGTGTGTAAAATCAAAGGGTACTGGGAACCTGTCTACTAACAGCCCTTGTTATGTAGCAGCACCCAGGTTCCCCCTTTACATCCATAGTTTAGAAGTAAGGATTAGAACCTATGTGACAATGGCTTAGGACAAGTGAGGGGTTCCTCTGGAGCCTGTTTTGAGTACACCTTCTCTCCAGTAGCATGAATTTCGGCTAGGAGTGCGACTCTACTCAGAGGAGAAGCCACAGGAAGCTGTGCCCCACTTAGAGGCAGCCTTGCAAGAGTACTTTGTGGCTGATGAGGAATGCCGTGCCCTCTGCGAAGGGCCCTATGACTATGATGGCTACAACTACCTAGACTACAGTGCTGACCTCTTCCAGGCCATCACAGGTGCGTCCATTCAGAGCTTGGCTTCATCAAGCCTTCCAGGACTGTAAGGTCAAATTGATACACACCACACACACACACACACACACACACACACAATCATCCTCAATTTCTTTTTTTGTTTTTTTGTTTTGTTTTTTTGAGATAGGACATGCTGGCTTTGAACTCACAAGAGCTATGTGTCTCTGCCTCTGCCTCCCATGTGCTGGGATTAAAGGCATGTACCACCCCTGCCCGGCCATCCTCTTAAGTCTGGAACTCTGACTAAAAATTGCTTTCAGGGGTAAGGCGCTTGATGCGCAAGCAGAAAGACTCCAGTTCAGATCCCTAAGCACCCACATAAAAGCCAAGCACAGCACATACCCATGAAATCCCTTTGCTGGGGTTTGATGGTCAGACAGCCTCATCATAGGGATGAGCTTCAGGCTGAGAGACCCTGTCTTGAAAAATAACAATAATAAAGTGAGGAAGACACCTGGCATCACCTCTGGCCTCTACAGGCATGCATTCGCATATACCACATACATGCACATGTACACACACAGAGATTACTTCCCACTTCAATTCGTCCATCTTAGCCAAAATTTGAATCCTAAAAAAAAATGACTTTATTGTTCCTCATCTTTGATTCCTTTCAGACCATTACGTCCAGGTCCTCAGCTGTAAACAGAGCTGTGTCACCGAGCTGGCTTCCCACCCAAGTCGAGAAAAGCCCTTTGAAGACTTCCTCCCTTCACATTATAATTATCTACAATTTGCCTACTATAACAGTAAGGCCTGCTTTCCTCCTTCCCTCTGATGCCTCAACTGGGAAGGTTAGCCAGACAGACACGGTTTACAGCCACTCTCCTCCTTCACCGTGTCTGGCTTCTGTGTCTATGGGAGGCAACATGTATTTTGCCATAAGCCAATGGCCCAGGTAACCAGTTTCAATGGCCCAAAGGCTAAGAAGAGGATTGCAGGGCCTCTTTCTTTTGTCCCTCTTTGTGCATTTGTAATCTAATTTTGCATTTGAATTAAAATGAATAGCAAAAGTAAGGATGTACTACTCTTGAAACCAGCCCTCCTCCCAGGGTAAAGGGACTAAAAATATCCAGGAAAGGGGCTGTAGAGATGGCTCAGAGGTTAAGAGCACTAGTTGTTATTCCAGAGGTCCTGGGTTCAATTCCCAGCAACCACATGGTGGCTCACAACCATCCTTAATGAGATCTAGTGCTCTCTTCTGGTGTGCAGACAGAGCACTGTATACATAGTAAATAAATCTTTAAAAAAAAATATCCAGGAAAAAAAAAGAAGAACAGCAAATCAGCAGTTGTTTACTGGGTACCTACTGGGCCCCAACCGTTATAGCATATCCACAAGTACATGATATATGTTCATGAGTTGAGGAGATCTGCTTATAACCTATTATAATCTTCCTCTTCTTAAAAGTCATGTTGTGTAGCAAGTACTACTTTGCCCGGTCATCATGGCCTCAAGGCTTCTTTGCAACCAGATGTTAAGTGTATGTTGGTACCCACGATTACACCCTTTCCTCAAAGACATTTTCTTTTCTTCCTTTACAGTTGGAAACTATACACAGGCTATTGAATGCGCCAAGACCTACCTCCTCTTCTTCCCCAACGATGAGGTGATGAGCCAGAATCTGGCCTACTATACAGCCATGCTTGGAGAAGAAGAAGCCAGCTCCATCAGCCCCCGAGAGGTGAGAGACGAGTTCTGAGAGGAAAGCTTCTGGCTGAATCCAGTGAGAAAGCAGAAGAGTACTGCTGGTGTGGGGTGGGGCAGGTTCTGGACTCAGCGTGCCACTCAGGAGTTTGCAGAACATGCCAGGGCCTCAGAGCATCCTCTGGCTTTGGATGTGTGTTTTTCACATTGGCACACAGATTTCTCTGCCCCACTTGACAGCCAACCCAGATCCTGGATGCCATTGGCCCAAAATCAGTGCTGTTCCCTTCATAATGGGTTTCTGGTTCTGTTTCCCTCCTGAGTGCATTTCTCCTTGTCATTGCCTGTTCTCTGTTTTCAGTCAGCGTTTTTCACACCTCTAAATACGAAGAAAGCCTAGGTAGCACGTATTTCTGTGCTACCGTTCCTTCCACATAGCTGTTCCTTCCACATAGCTTTGGAATGGAGTCTCCTATTGTTAGCCCCACCCAGGTGATACTGGCTTTCTTGTAGTTATCCTTCTTGGCCACTAGATGGTGGTCATCTAGCTTTAAGAAGGCCCCTCCAGTCTTTGTCTTGCTTGGTTAATACTTTTTTTCTTTGCTATTAGTGAGCCTGGGAAGGAAAATACTCCACCTGGGAACGTTTACCTAGACCTCTCCTCCCGGGAAGGGAGTAGCTAGCACTAGTTTGAGCCCCAGCCCAGGCCTTCGTCTTTTGTAATCAGTGTGGCTGTCCTTTGAGTAGGCATTCTTCCTGCTGTAGCTATGAGATTTTGCAGATGAAATAGCTTGTGCCGTGGGTGTTACTAGTTAGTGGTGACTGGTATCTGCTGTCTGCTTGGTCCCTGTACTGACAAGCTTCCTGACACATGGCTGACACTAATAACAATATCAGCAGTAGAATCTGTTTCCTGTATCCTCATTGAATTGTTGGTGAGAGCTAAATGAGATACGTGCCTTGGTGTCTGGGCAGGAGGAAGCCAGTAATTTAGACTTCTTAAGATTCCTCTCCCTCTTGTGTGATTCCTGTAACTTACAGGGCAGACTCCTTTAACATGAACTGCCTCACCTTTATTACTGTCCGTTTCTCTTCCTTCTGCTGCTTGGATCCTAGCAAGGGACCTGGGGTAAGATGTGACCCCAGAAGGAACTCAGTTTCCCTGCCCTGGGTAAGCCCTCCCCCTGAGCACACATGGGATGTCAGAATACCAAGCTTAGCTGTTCTGCAGCTGCCCACCTTCAGGGAGGGATAGGGTGTGGCCACCCTGACGGGTGGCAGGTGGCCAAGTAGTGGCACTTTCAGTCCTCCTGCTCCATCTTTAGGAGGAAGAGAACTGTCTTACCCCATGGGCTCCCACTCAGGAAGCAAAGGCAGAGGACCACAAGCTCAGGGCTGGCCTGGGCTACATAGTGAAACCTGGTCTCAAAACAAAAATTGCAGGCAAGATGGCTCAGTGGGTAAAGCCACTTACTGCTGTGCCTGATGATCTGAGTGGGTTTGATCTCTGTGCAAGGAGGCAACTGGCAAGTTGCCCTCTGACCGCCACATCTATGCTGCAGCACATGAATGCACACACACACACAGAGAGAGAGAGAGAGAAAGATACATGTACACACACATACACATACAATAAAGAAATAAGTAGATTAAAAAATTGTGATAAAGGTGTTTGTCACACAAGCTTGTGGCCTGAGTTCAATCCACAGGACCCACACAAAGGTGTACAGAGACAACAGAATCCACAGAGTTGCCCCTCTGACCTCCAAACTTGCACAGTGGAAGTCATACACTCCAGGACACACAAAGTAAATAAATAAAATGTAACAGGAAATGTAAAAAAGAGGGCCGCAGGTACAGCTCCCTTGGTAGAGAGCTTGCTAGCATGCTTGAAGCCTGGGTTCAGTCCCCCAAACTGCAAAAGCAAAAATTGACGCCTGGTATTGCAAAGCATGTGTTCCATTCTGAGGATATCAGATCTTCTGTTTGAGAGAGCCGCTGGGACCTTCTTCCCTCCAGTGAAGCTGAGTTATGCTGCCCTTAGGGCCTTCTTGAGCACAAATGAGACCTTTGGCCCAGACTGGGCAGCATATGACTTGTGATGGGGAGGAAATACCTCAGTCACATAGGGAAATATAAAATGCCAGGGAGGGCCACACTAGGGCTAAAGGGTTGGGTTAAGTTCTAGGGGAGCTTTTGTTTCCTCAGAGTGCCCAGGATTACCGACAGCGAAGCCTGCTGGAAAAAGAACTGCTCTTCTTCGCTTACGACATTTTTGGAATTCCCTTTGTGGATCCGGTGAGCCAAAGCAGGAGCTAGAAAGGGGGTGGGAGGTCTACACCATACAACCCTGAGGAGAGACTGTCCAGGGCTGAGCCAGGCGTGGGATGTGTGGATCCTGAGGATGGGAGACAAAGTGGAAGATGAAAGGGAACCCTGGGCCACTGAAAGCAACAGGATCCAAGAGCCCACCTCATCGCAGGCAGTGAGGCAGTGGACTCCTGGAAACCCCATGTCACCCTACTTGTTATTCTGACCCAACCTTAGGACTCATGGACTCCGGAAGAGGTGATTCCCAAGAGACTCCAAGAGAAACAGAAGTGAGGGCCTTGTAGAAATGCCATGGTTGGATCAGTCTGACGAAGCGCCTGAGGCTTCCTGTGCCCAAGCAGATGGGAACTCCTGGCCAGGGGTGGGCAGGTCCAGTCTGGGAAGTTGGGGTGGGAACCAGGGCCAGTCCGGGCAACCTTCAGTGCTGCGATTCTCACAGGTCAGAACGCGAAACCGCGGTCCGCATCTCCCAGGAGATTGGCAACCTTATGAAGGAAATCGAAACCCTCGTGGAGGAGAAAACCAAAGAGTCATTGGATGTGAGCAGACTGACACGGGAAGGTGAGTCAGCAGGTGGTGGCATGCCTGCAGTGTGGTGGGCCAGGCAGGTCTCCCCATGTTCACCAGGTGGCCGTACCCACTAGGGCTTTGCTCAGCCCGTCATATACCAGCTTCCGCTTGTATATCAGGTGCTAGGACTTCCTCCACATCCAACACACCAAGGAACTGCCACCCAGACAGCCCAGAGAATGGGCCTTTGGCTAAGATTCCTGTATCACAGTTAGACTAACATAGTCACAGTAAGTATGGATGGCTTAAACCGTCCTGCCTCCCTCTCTGAACTCTCTTCTGACCACTGACATTGTTATCAAAAGGCAAAACCTTCCTGTCTTCTCTGCTCCGTTTGCCATGCTCCCACCCACTGTGATTGCTGCTCTCTGCTCTCCTCCTCTCCTGCCTTTTCCTTTTCCGTTGCCTTTGGCCCACCTAGGCCCAGTCAGCTCCTATCCGTTCTTATCCTTCCCCACACACAGATGCAGGCCTGTCTTCCAAACACCAGGACCATGCATGTGTCCTCGATACTAAAGCATCCTCCGTATGTGTATATCCTCCACTTGCACATCCTCCATGCCTCTCCATCAAATGGGATGGATTATTTCTGGTCCCCTGAGCCTGCCATTGGCCCACAGATTGTTGCCGATGCTTGTCCCCACTCCTGATGTACTTCTCACCATCTCTGCCCTGAAAGACACCTCAGGGAGACCTTACCTGCTCCTTTGAATCTGTAAGGGCACGGCGGTATGCATAGCACTGGTTATTGTCTGACTGGGGAATGGTGCCGTCCTCAGGTGTTAGGCTCTCTCTTACATTGCTCACAGGGTCTCAGCATGTCGATGGGGTTGAGCCACGTCTCTAGTGTGACTGTTTACTTGATGGAGGCCCAAGAGCCAGAAGCTGTTTGATGGCAGAGTGAGGCCTAGGATTTGGACCTCCTGTTCTGTTCAAGGAGGCCTTGGGCAGAGCCACTGCAGGACTTGTCAGTCTTGACCTTGCTTTGCAGGTGGCCCCTTGCTGTATGAAGGCATCAGCCTCACTATGAACTCCAAAGTCTTGAATGGCTCCCAGCGGGTGGTGATAGATGGTGTGATCTCTGATGAAGAGTGCCAGGAGCTGCAGAGACTGACCAATGTAAGGGTCGCCCTGCTTCCAAGTGTCTCCCTCCTAGCTGCGGTGGTCCCTGTTGCCCTTAGTTGTCCCCTCTCATCAGACACTTGACTGCCCTGACTAACTTTGCCTTGTCTTTTGGCCCATTAGGCAGCAGCAACTTCAGGAGATGGCTACCGAGGTCAGACCTCTCCACACACCCCAAATGAAAAGTTCTACGGTGTCACTGTCCTCAAAGCTCTCAAGGTAAACTCCATCTTAGCTCTCTACAGCATGGAGCAGGGAGAATCTGCCAGCCGGGGAAGGAGGAGGAGGACACTCCAGTTCAGGAGGAGTCGGGGGTGGAGATAGATAGGGAGAAGTGTCTCACTACTGACATTCCAGCTGCCAGGGAGTGAGGCTGGCCTATGCCAAGGAGATTTCCTTGTGAATCTTGGCTGTTAGACAAGGCGCAATAAAAATGAGGCAAGTGAGATGGAATGGGTCTCCAGACGTGTGGGTTGGCTGTGAATCGGAGCAGATCCCAGAGGGCGTGCTCCTGAACAGGGTAGGTGAAATATGAAGGAGAGATGGCTCCTTCAGCAGTGGGGTGGGAGATGCTCTCCGTATGTACCCTCGCACCTCAGCGTCCTGACAGTCTATAGAGGGGAGTCAGGCAGCTGACCACCAGTGTTCTTTGCAGCTTGGGCAGGAAGGGAAAGTCCCTCTGCAGAGTGCCCGCATGTACTACAATGTGACGGAGAAGGTTCGGCGTGTCATGGAGTCCTACTTCCGCCTGGACACACCCCTCTACTTCTCCTATTCCCACCTGGTGTGCCGCACTGCAATAGAAGGTGGGCCTCATCACCCCTGCAGCTTCTCAGGGGTAGGCTGTGCCCTGGCACTGCACCACTGCACTAGACACTGAGGTCATGGAGAAGGCTAGGGCTTGGTCCCTTCTTGCTGGCTGGGAAACCAGTGCAAGTATGTTGGCTGCAGCCCAGCATTTTCATTCTGGCAGTAGCGTGGAGGAAGAAAGAGGCAGTCCGCTAGCCAGGGGCCAGGAAACCTTCCAGGGAAGGTGATGGGAAGTTTGCAGGATGAACGTATTTTTGGAGTTCACAGGGTAGCAGGAAACCCTGCAAGCCAGAGAGACCAGTTCTACCTGAGGGAGCTAAGAACGTTGCCAACTCACAGAGAAGCACATTCTGGAGCGTGTGTCGTCTCCTTTCACTCGGCCCTGCACTGTGCTGCAAGCCCTCTCTTGGTAACTGTTAGACATACCGGGCTTGTGTGGGAGCTAGGGCATCTGAAGTCCGAGAGGTACAAGACCTTGTTCCTTCTCCCTCATATCACCTATGCTTTCCTGAGCAGGGGTAAGGCAGAGCCAGGCTGCAGGAATCACATGCGGCCCACAGCCAGCTCTGCCCTGCCGTAGCATTCAGAAGATGCGCTGACACCTTCTTGGAAGGTGGCAGGCCCTGGAAGGCTTCTCTCTCCCTCAGGGTGTTAAAAGCTCTAAGAAAATCTGGACACACCAAAGGAATGTGCCAGGCACTTGCCTGTGTGCCACAGAGCCTGGAGGTGGAGAAGTGCTGGCACAGGGAGGAGTCAGCAGGCACTGGAGGGCTTGGCAGAGCCATCATTTTAAAAAGATGAACTTTGCTGCCATATGTTGAGAGACTGGGGGCAGGGAGCTGGTCAGCAGTGACCATGGTGGGTGAGGATGAAGACTGAGAGTCTGGGAGTGGCAGAGAGGCAGAGAGAGGAGGTGCCATCGGAGAGGCGTAGAGGAAGATAGGCAGGCGCTGGTGACTGGCTGGGCCTGATGAGGCAGCATCTGCCATCCCCACAGGAAGTGTGCGGAGGTTTACACTGGAGAAAGGTGCGATCCGCTGGCATTAGACAGTCTGATTTCTCCCATGTCCTCTCCCTGTGTGGGTTTGCCACCTCCCCATCCCAGAGCCCACTTCTCCGGCTACACTGTGCTGCCTCTGTTTACCTGCCCTGCCCCTCCTGCAGGCCTGCTGGAAGACTTGAGTCAGTGGCCCCTGCGCCCACCAGCTTCCTCTGTTTACTGCGGCGGTCCCGCCTATTTCAGAAAGTCTCTAGCTGGGTGATGGCACCCAGCCCAGGATCTGCCTTGTTAGCTCCCTACAGTCCTATGGGCTGTACCCTGTTCACCCCGAAAACTTGTCCTGATCAATAAGCTCTGGCTTAACCAAAGACTCCTCATAGCCCAGTACATGACAGTTCCATAGACTCTCACATGTTTGGGGACGCCCCTCCATCCTGTCCCATGTGTCAACAAGAGAGCCTCTCACCGTGTCCTGTACATCCTACTCTAACATGGATCGTCTTGGCCTCAGAGTCACAGGCTGAGAGGAAGGACAGTAGCCACCCAGTCCACGTGGATAACTGCATCCTGAATGCTGAGACCCTCGTGTGCATCAAGGAGCCCCCTGCCTACACTTTCCGGGACTACAGGTAAATGCGGCACAAGTGGTGCCCCGGCTCTGCGCTTCCCCTTGGGAGTTCCTTTGTGCCCCGCACGCTGCCTCCCCACCCTTGCTGTGCACACACAGGCAGAGACAAGCGGTCTGTAGAGGCCAGTCCCTCACTCTAGTGCCCATATAGGAAGGCAGACAGTAGGGGACCCCCTCAGGAAGGGCGTGACTAGGAGGGCATGCATGGGTTTGGCATAGAACACACTAGCTAGTGTATATTGGAGTCTCTGAGGTGAGGCCGGGGACCCTGTGAGATGTTTATGGCTTCAGGAGAGCTTCTGGCCTCCAGCTGCTGGTTGAAAGCACACAGAGGAGGGTTCCAGGGAGCAGGGCATAAGCCATGTCCGGATTCCCTGCCTTCCCAGTGCCATCCTTTACCTCAATGGGGACTTTGATGGAGGAAACTTTTACTTCACTGAACTAGATGCCAAGACTGTGACGGTGAGTGTCCACTGTCCTCATCCCTGGGGACAGAAACCCTGTTCTCTAAAGCTGATGTCCCCAGAGGACAGCCCACAGAATGACCACCTGGCTTCCCCCAGCCCCATACCCTGCCCCCAGGCCAGGGGCTTTTGGCAGCTGTCCTCTGACCTTTCTCTGGGTTCTAATTACCCATTACTCTCCTGAGACCTTTTCCCATTTCCCCCTTTTCCTCCCTGTAGGCAGAGGTGCAGCCCCAGTGTGGAAGAGCTGTGGGATTCTCTTCCGGCACTGAGAACCCACATGGGGTGAAGGCTGTCACCAGGGGGCAGCGCTGTGCCATTGCCCTGTGGTTCACACTGGATCCTCGACACAGTGAGCGAGTAAGAGCTGTTGGGAGGGCCCTTGTCTATCTGCAAAAAGCCCTGGGTCCTTTCTCTGAGCCCTGCTGCTACTGGTTCGGTCATAAAGGAGTTCTGGGCTGGAGACTCCCCACCCCAGTGCACTTACTGCAGGCCTTGCTGCTCACCCTCCCTGGACCTGTCTTTTCAGGAAGAGGGGGAGTCCTTGCTTCACTCCTAGTATCCTTCTCCAGCTACTAGAGCTTAGGCCTGCTGGGAAGGGAGTGGTCCCAGAGGCCTTATGGCAGCATCGCCATTGTTTTTTCTGGAAGCTGCAGGGTGAGGGCCTTGCTGGGGACTTGCTGAGGAAACGGTTTGCTATTGCAGGACCGGGTGCAGGCGGATGACCTGGTGAAGATGCTGTTCAGCCCAGAAGAGGTGGACTTCCCCCAGAAGCAGCCCCAGCATGACCAACAGGGCTCCCCAAAACCTGGAGAAGAGTCTCTGTCAGACAGACAGTCACAGCACAAAGATGAGCTATGACAGTGGCTAGGTCACACCTGGGTGTCATTGGACCCAGAGAACTCTGCCCTGCAGTCAGGACTTTCCAGACTCTCAGGGCTGCAGAGTGAGGGGCACTTTTGTCCCCTAACCAGTCAAAGGATCCTGCCCACAGCCTTCCCCATGGTGCTACTGTTCTGAGAGTGGACGCAACAGGACACCACTCTTCTCTGGGCTTGGCTGAAGGCTCAGGACGCAGGCCCAGAACCATCCTGCAGCCTATATAGGCAGCTGCCTAACAGCAGCATATTTAAGTGTCTGTATAGACAACCAAAGAATAAATGACTCGTGTTTTTTCATTTAGTGGTTTGTTCCAAGAGAGGAAATGTTTCCATTCTACCTCAGAGGCCATGTTTGGTAGCAGTTACTCAGGGCAGTGTGTAGTGGCCTGTGCCATACAGGAAGGCCTGTCCTGGGACCCAGCTGGGTCACTTCCTGTGCAGCCTCAAACTAGATGCTTAACCCGGGCTATTACCATAGAAGGGGCATCTTGGTCCTCACTGCCCACCTTCTGCGAGAGCTGTGGGGCCCAGATACAGCACCCAATGTGGCTGTACTTCATAAACTTTGAAGCTGTGTCAGAAGCATCTAGATTGATGCTAATCCTCTCCTGGCAGAGAGCAGCAGTCAGCAGTGCTCTGGCACATTACCCTTGGGCAGCCACATGCTTCCTGTTCAGCTGGCCTCAGAGCCTGTACCTGAGAGCCTCATGTGCAGGGTGATGCCCTGAGAGACCAAAAACACAAACTGGAAATTCAGCTCCTCTGGCCACATAGCTGGCACCAAGCCCACCACCTTCACCATGCCTGAGATGCTGTAGGACAGAGTGTAGGAACCTGCACCTGAGTTGTCATTAGCCAGACAATATTTATTTAGTGAGTAGCAGCCTGGTGCTGGGAATATGAGAGGGAGCAAAGTAAGCCTGGTTCTCACAGAACTGTGTTTTATAGGGGATATATAATAAATGCATAAATATCGTAAGTGTGATTTGTATATCCTAAGCCTTCGATGACCCCGAGGCAGAAGAAACAGCAAGAAGCTTGATGAGAGGCAGGACATAAGACTCAGCAGGGAGGAGCCTTTGCTACTCTTTGGTACCTGTATCCGGTGGCTTATAACCACCTGTATCTCCAGCTCTAGGGAATCTGATGCCCTCTCCCGGCACCAGCACAAACACGGGGTACACACATACAAATAAAAACAAATCTAAAGCTAATGCAGGGCCAGAAGACCAGGAAGAGAAGGGTAGAGGTCAGACGCTAAAGGCCCCAGTAGGGTTTTGAGTTTGGCACATCAGGATGTGACAAACATATTAAAAGTTTCCTTGGGTAATAAATGCATGGAGAATAAGCTGTTGGAACAGGAATGGAGACAGCAGGACAGGGGCTGTTGAGTGATCAGAGAGAGAGGAGGAGGCCTGGGCCAGGGCCAAGCAGCAGAAGGAACGAAGACCATGCTGGCTAGCGTTGGCAGTGCCAACAGGAGGTGCTGAGGGCTTGTCATGTCATGAGGAATGAGCAGGATTTGGAAGTTAGGCCACTAGTTGAGGTGGGGAGGGGGCAGTGCACTGTTGGAGGAAAGTGAGGTGTGGCCAGCAGGAACCTGGGTTGGTGTGCTAAGGGTGAGTTTGGGGGGGACATAACTGGGGTGTGAAGCTGGGAGAGGTACACAGGGAAGTCAAAAGATAGCTCATCTAGAAGTAGTGTGGACAACAGCAAGAGAGATGTGGGCTGGCCCCCACTGAGGGCATTCCGAGGAGGAAGAGAGTAGTGTGGGGGAGCCAGTGAAGTCCTGAGTGAATGTGCATCGCTGGCTTGAGCATGGCCGTGTCAAAGAGCCCAATGCCGCAAACCCATGGGAATGGCAAGGCCCTCTCCCCTGTTCTGAGTACAGATGTGCAGATCAAGATAGTGATGACAAGTGGTGTCCAAAAGCTGGGCAAGATGAAAACTGAAATCCTGGTGTGATGGTGCTTGCCCGTAACTACAGAGACAGGAGGATCAGAGTTCAGGGACAGAATGGACTACTTAGTGAGTTGGGGCCACTACTTCCCAAGTGCTGGGATTAAAGATGTGTGCCACTGCCTGGCTGGCTTTTACAGTTCCAATGCATGCTAACTGCATACGGACAGCAGGCTGCCTGTTTTGAGCTCACAAAAGCTAAAGTGTTTCCATTGGCAACAGGACCAAGGTAAATGTGTGTAACTAGGCTAGGGAAGCTCATCCAGAAGCAGTGACTGATGGCAGGGTCCCAGCTAAGATCTGACCATGCATGTTTGGTCTGTGTTGGAGAAGCATCCAGAAGAGCAGTTCAGCAATATGAGGAAGCTTGCTTGGGTTGGAGACAGCCTGTGGGAGGGTCGCAGGCAAAAGGAACAACTCAGCAAACCCAGGGAAGATAGGAGTGTTGACACTTACTGGTCTCTGGTGCCTAGGGAAGCTGCAGAGCTGAGGTAGGAGGCACCAGAGATCTGTACCCAGTGCTGTTCCGGAGGAGTGAAGACACCATTAGACTGCCTGTGTAATGCAAGGTGTCCTTGCCCTAGTTAGACAGTGGACTACCTGAGACTCCCGATGCAGCCTCAAGTTGTTTATGGGCCTTAGGAAGGAGGAAACAATGTACCAACTGCAGAGGGTGGGAAGTGCAGAGGGTTGTGGGATTCCACTTTGGCTGCTCAACTATGCCTGAGCATCCAGAGCAGCTGAGGGTGGCACATGGTTGGCTGTCCTCCTTTCTTGCTGTGTGCCCTCAGGTGAGCCACTTCTGTGGCTGTTTAGGGAACTTAACCCAGTTCGGGGTGGCACCACTTCTGAGCCTCCAATGGCAGCTACAAGGAAAACAATAGATTGCAACCAACTGAACCAGACCCTCTTAATCAGCCATGGGAGAGGACAGTGGACCAGTCCCTTTTATTTCATTACAAGAGAGGAAAAACCAATGAACCTTCATACCAACCCATCAATGATCAACACATACCTACCAAGGCTGTCCTCAGCTGGGCTCAGCAGTGAAAAAGGTGGCAACCAGTTCCCAGCCTTAAGCAGTATGCCATGCCAGGATGAGGCAGCACCAGGGAAAGCCCATCCTAGGACCGTCATCTTGGGGACAGCTTTAGTCAGCCACTATTATGGCAAAATCATGGTCCTAATAACTTTGTGAACTAGACAGGCAAATGGTATTAGTGATGAGAGGCTGGGCTGGGAACCCTGAGCCTTCACGGTCCTCTCTGCATGCCTGAGAGTCACTGGGCTGCATGGCCACCAAGAATAATAGGTTCACTAGGGTGGAGAAGCTATACATGGCTAGGGAGCAGGACTTGAATTCCAGGTGGCTTTGGAACACTGGTACACAAAGGCTGTTGGGGAAGCAGAAGATATTTAGGTAGAGCAGACCCAAATTCTCAAATGACAAAGAGGAAAGCATCTGGAAGAGCTTCAGGGGAAGACACAAGAGTCCCGGAGGCTTAAGTCGGGTGGTGGCACACACCTTTAATCCCAGCACTTAGGAGGCAGAGGCAAGTAGATCTCTGAGTTCAAGGACAGCCTGGTTTACAGAGTGAGTTCCAAAACAGCCAGAACAAAACAGAATCCTGGAGGTTCTGAGCCCTTAAGGTGGGGGATTCCTAGAATGGAGACACAGACAGACAGGCATCCAGCAGCCCCTCAGGCTTCACATCTGCGACACTTTAGCTCTGGGAACAGTGACCCTGTCTACCACAGCTCTTACATATCTGAAGACAAAAGCTAGGGCTATGTGTACACCTGAAGCACCAAAACTCAGGTATCTGACCAATGCTCCCAAGGTCAGAATGAGCCCTGGGTTCTTCCTCGTGAGAAGTCTTTGCAAGAGGCAAAGGCCCAACTTTGAGAGAGGACCCTGTCTGCCCTTTTCAATAGCCTATGTATAGTAGCTACCAGTGCAGTCTCTCTGCCTCCCCTAAGCATCATCCCAGCTTGGCAAAACAATATTCCTTTAGGGACAAAGACATTGAGGCTACACAGTTGTCTCATTTGTAGGGAGCATCTTACCCACCCTTCTATCTGCACTGGATGCCTCCCTCCAAAACTCAGAAAGGTAAAGATATGGGGAAAGGCCACCCAGCATCACAGACATCCCAGTTACCTTCCTACCTGGAAGGCCTCCTTAAGGTTACCAGGGTCTCACTGCCCTCCTGGGATCTTTTGCTTGCATCTCCTGTCCCACTCTAGGCTCTGGTAACCACCCTCCACCTCCTTTTGACTCTATTGTTTTGTTATGCATGGCAGAAAAATCTGAATCGGAACATCTTCTCTGTTACCATTCTGTACCTCATTAGTATTTTGGAATCAGCAGGCTACCCAAGGAGCAGGTCCAGTGTACACAGGAAGTCAGAGGGACCCAGTGTGTGACACTGTGTATACCTAACAGCACTCACCCCTTGCCCAGCTTCCCCCAGGTCCTCCTATCTTGGAGCTGCAGTCCATACCAGGGCCCACGCCCTGATCGGGCACACAGGCTTGCCATTGTCTGACAGTGCCAGGCACCCACGTGAAGAATGCAAGGCAGCAGGCTGTGGGTTTGTCCCTGCAGCGGGGGCTGAGGCTGTGGGGGAGGAAACTGGCCGTGTTGCAGCTCTGGAAAGGCAGTGGGATGCATGGGATGCAGGGAGGTGGCTGGGAGGCTGGCTGGAGTGGGAGCAGGGGTGTGACATTTCTCCTGCACCCATGCCAAGCCTGTGGGGCTGAAACGAACGTGAGAGGATTACTAATGAGACCCAGGGGAGTTAAACATTCCCTGTTCCTGAGGGCTGAGTGAGAAGGGGCAGACAGGGGTCTAGGAGGGGACAGCCTGAACCCCAGGAATGTGCAGAGGCCACTGCCCCTGCCAGGCTGTTCTGGAGCTAGGGGCCCCTGGGCTGTCTCAGGTCCCAGCAGGAGCTGCTGAGCCAGCCAGCAAAGGGATTAACTGGCTGAGCAGTTCTTCCTCCTGGCCCGGGCCAGCATGGTGCAGGGCTCCCTAGCTCTCCACTGCATCTAAGGCTGGCCTGCAGCCACTGCTGGCCTAGTAACTGTGGGGTCCCTCTTTTGACTCCTCGGATCCCAAACAGACCCTACAGCACATGTCTGCTGGTTTAAGACCAAACACATGGCTTCCAGGTACCCAGGACTCTTCTCCCCAACATCTCAGCTCTCACCTAGTCTCTACCTGCCTCAGAGCCCCTACCAAAAACTAACTCTAGGGAATATAGCTCAGTGGTAGAGCGCTTGCCTAACATGTGCAAAGCCTGGTTTCCATATCCAGCACGCGCGCGCGCGCACACACACACACACACACACACACACGCGCGCGCACACACACACACACACACCTCTAGATTTTCCTGCTGTAACTAGAATCTTTTTCCTTTCCCCCTTATCCATCCTCAAGGAGTGGGCAAGAAACCCCATGTTCATATCAGGGATGAAAGCACAGCAGCTATCCACTGAGCTGGATCTTGCAATAGTGATTAGAAAAAGTCTCACTGGAATCACACTCCTGAAGGGGTTTCCCTGGTTGGAAAGACCTTGAGAGGGGAAGAGTCACTCCTCTGAGCCCCTCCCTTTCTTGCTCTTGAGGCCGGGAGGGCTAGGATACCCCACCTTGGGCACTAGGTCCCGCCCTCCATCCCGCTAGAAGCTGGGCAAGAGCTCTGCTGGGGACTGGCTGTGGGCGGGTTTTGGCCTTTTCCAGCCCCTGGGCCGCCCCCTGCATTCTGGAATCCAGCAGCCACTGCCTTTGCTGGTCTGACTCTGTGGCTGGCCAGCCAACCATCCCCTCTCCTACCCTCTTCCTGTGCCACTTAGCTCCCCTGCTTCAGCTGTCCTTCTCACCATGACTACAGCACTCCCCAAGACCCTGGCCCATCTCTGAGCCCTGGAACCCTCAGACTCCTCACTAGGCCATGGCCAACTCAGGCCTCCAGCTCCTGGGCTACTTCCTAGCCCTGGGTGGCTGGGTAGGCATCATCGCCAGCACCGCCCTGCCGCAGTGGAAGCAGTCCTCCTATGCAGGTGATGCCATCATCACTGCCGTGGGCCTCTACGAAGGGCTGTGGATGTCTTGCGCCTCTCAGAGCACCGGGCAGGTCCAATGCAAGCTCTATGATTCACTTCTGGCCCTGGACGGTAGGCTTCAGGCAGGAGCCTGGGAGGGGGCTGGGGAGGTCTAGCACATGCTTTCTCACAGCCTGCCCTCAGCACTGGGTGGCACACTCCAACCCCTGTGTGATTCCCTAACTGCCGTCCTGTGTACACTTGGAGAGTCTAGGCCGGCCAGGGCTCTGGGCTCTGGGGGAGGCATGAGCACAAGAGGCTGGCAGCCTGGGCTCCCTGTCCTAACCCCATAACCTCACCACTCACCTTTGCACTCTGATGTTCTCTTGTTTAACCAGGACACTAGTACATAGGACATGGGAGGGTGGGCCGAGATAAGGGTCTGGCTCCTTAAGTCTGTTAACATCATTTGCTTCTCTTCTCTCCATATTCTATGTTAACAGACCCGTGCACACACCCTACATAGACACAAAACATCAGAACAGAATACATACCATACACATACACACATTCACACACACACACACACACACACACACACACACACACCTGCTCCTGGGATGTGGCATTTCAACCATCAAACTGCTTATAGTCACTGTTACAGCTCTGACCTTGGGGGCCCTCCCACCTGCACTCCACCGGGGCTCTGCAGGTCCTTCGGGGACCTAAGGCTGTCTGCAGCCTAGAACTGACCAGCACACTCAGAGAAACAGGCGTACAGCTCCATGGATGATTGACAGGGCTGCTGCTGGGGACCAAGCTGGCCTTAGGTAGGCCTCACACACTCTCAGCCCTTCCTCCGGCAATCCTGGGCAGCACCCAGCCCTGTATCCTGCTGCTTGATGGTGCAACAGGTCTGAGACAAGGCAGCAGAAGAGCAAATTCAAACTATTCCATCCCTCGGCACCACAGAGAGGAGCCAGCAAGGGCTAGCGGGAAATCACCCCCACACCCTGTTCTCAAACACTCACTGTCTCTTTCACAAGCAGGCAAGTAGTCAGACCCCTTTGGGCTTCTACTCAAGCCCCTCCACACTGGGTTCCTCCTACCCAGATCCAACTCCTCCGTTTTGCCACCCCCTCCAAGTTCCCCTCTCCTGCTCAGTCCTTTCTCTGTGTTCCAGGTCATATCCAGTCAGCGAGGGCCCTGATGGTAGTGGCGGTGCTCCTGGGCTTTGTGGCCATGGTGCTCAGTGTCGTGGGCATGAAGTGTACTCGAGTCGGAGACAGTAACCCCATCGCCAAGGGCCGTGTGGCCATCTCAGGGGGTGCCCTCTTCCTCTTGGCCGGTGAGTGCCCTGCCTCCTCCCCATTCTCGCCCATGCAGCTAGCCCACCTCTGGGCCAGGCAGAGCTGAGCACCCCTACTTGGTCCTTAGGTCTATGTACTTTGACTGCTGTCTCATGGTATGCTACCCTGGTGACCCAGGAATTCTTCAACCCCAGCACACCTATCAATGCCAGGTGAGTGCCAGAGCTGGGCCTCCTTCTTATCTGCCCTCCCCTGGCCCCAGTTGTCACTTGGAAATGAGGAATAGGCCCCAGCTTGTTTCCCAGAAAGAAGAGTCACATAGGGTGTGACTAGGCCCTTGGGAGGGACTGGAGACCTGATGAGGACATCCTGGTGCAGCCAGGCCCCTGAGGAGCCCAGTGCCCTAGCTCTGGGTCTGAAGTCTAGCTCTATGTTCCTGCCAGGTGACTTAGGTCACTTGTGACTTAACCTTTTCAAGCCGGAACCAGCCTTTCTGTGGTTCTGAGGATCCAAAGGGTAATGAGGGAAGAGATTCAGGGCTCAGTACAGCTGGGCTGCTTTACTTCTGCTGGTGGCAAAGGTCAAGATGGCTTCCTAGAGGAGGCAGTAGAATGCGGGGGGGGGGGGGGGGGCGCACTGGTAATATGAGACTGGAGAAAATGGGTGGCTATGGTAAGAAGCCAGCAGCTATGAGGATTTGCTCCTCGCCCTGGGTGAGGCTGCAGCTGCCCTCTGCTGTGTAAGAGGGAGCTGTGAGGAGGTCTGCACCGCCGAGCAGCTGTTGCCTTTGCCTCCAGCAGAGGGCTTTGGGTGAGGGAGGTAGCAGCGGGAAGCAGGCCATATACTTGGGAGCTAATTTGGTCATAATTTGTAGGGTTAAAGGCTTAGGGGGTGGAGCGGCAGGGGAAGGGCCTGAGTGTACCTGGTTCTTCCCTTGCTCTCAGCCCAGCCAGGAGCAAAGAAAACGATAGTTCCCAGTCCAGTTATCCTGCCACCTCTGGGGCGGAGGGGGATGAAGGATGCTTAGGCCGTCTCTATGGGGAGGCTCCATGAAGAAAACAGAGGAGAATTCAGATAAGAGAATTATGTCCGGTTGAGCAGACAGCACAAAGACTTGCTGTGCAAGGTCTAACCCAAGGAGCCAAGCTAGGACTAGGACTTCAGGACTCCTGGGCTGCCTGGGTTGGGTCCTGAGAACAGTCAAGCCTCTGTCAGGCCTGGGGGGGGGGCAGATCAAAGGACCCTTCCTTCTGGTGGGGGGTGGGGTGATGAGGGGTGAAGGGGAACAACAAGGCAAGTCCCCCATCAGGAGGCTCCATATGAACTGGGTCCTGAAGGTAGAGAAGGAGCTGGGAAGGCGTTCTATGGGGAAGACCTGTACCAAGGCACAGAGGTGGGAAAGCCCTGGAAGAGCCAGGCTGGATGGCAGAGCTGGCCCAGAGGGCCAGGCAGAAGAGGAACAATCCCCAGAGGGCAGTGAAGAGCTGCCCTGGCCGGAAGCTGGTCTGTAGACCAGACCATGACGGGAGAAGGAGACAGCAGACTGTTCCATTGCATCCAGACAGATCTCTGTATTCTTCCCTCCACCAGCCAGATGAGGAAATGAGCCTGAGCTGCCCATCCAGACTTGAAGACTTGAGCTTCGTCCCCTGACATGCTAGTGGGGAGGGAGGCAGGGCGAGCACTCACTCTAGGTTGTTTGGAAAGAAGGAAGAAGCCTGTAAATTCCTTGTGTGTTATCTTCTTTCTCCCAGGCGCTGATTCAGGGGAAGGACCCCCAAGTGGGTAGGGGCCAGGCAGGGCTGGGTTTTGCAACCTGATATAGTCCTCCCTACCTCTTACAGGTATGAATTTGGCCCAGCTCTGTTCGTCGGCTGGGCCTCTGCTGGCCTGGCCATGCTGGGGGGCTCCTTTCTTTGCTGCACATGCCCAGAGCCTGAGAGAGCCAACAGCATCCCGCAGCCCTACCGCTCTGGACCCTCAACTGCTGCCCGAGAGTACGTCTGAGTCTGCCTGCCCTGCCAAGCCCATTTGTCCAGAAACCCTCTTGCCCAGAACTCCAGGCAGCTGACATGATACCCTGGGCAAGGGTAGGTAGGGTACAGATTCCTTGAACTCAGTCTGGAGCTCCAAACATCTGGTCCTCAACAGACTCTGAATCCCAGACTCAAGATACTCAGAGATCAGAAGCAAGACCCAGACGACACATATCCCCCAGTAAGACCCAGGTCTGCTCTGTCTACACCAGAATGAGTACACAGGGCCTTAGACACTTAGTTACCAGCTCCCTCAGCAGCCCACTTATTCAGTGAAGGGGCCACCTGCCTTCTATGTGCTGGACCCTGAGGATCTCACAGCAACAGAAGGATCTCAGCGCATACAAAGCACTTTGGGCCAGCAGCTACTCACAGCAACCATACAGAGGAAATTCTCAAGGCTAAGGACTGTCCCCTACATCACACACAAGGACATGGAGCTTCAGAGAGACCTGGAAGTGTGACTCTCTTGTCTGTGAGGGCAGGCCTCAGGCTCTAGCAGTTAATTGCCCAACATTGTTTGGGTGCCTGTACAGGTCACAAGGTCAGACTGTCTCAGTCATCCCCAGGAATGGGCCCCAGGCAGGGCTGCCATAAGAATCTGGTGCCGTGCCTGGGCCTGACTGCACAGCCCCTGTCTCCTTTACCTTTGCTCATCCCACTAACCAGCCTTTTCTCTTTTGACTTGCAGACCTGTTGTTAAATTGCCCGCCTCCATCAAGGGCCCCCTGGGTGTGTAAAGTCCAGGTTCCCAGCCAGGCCCTCCCCACTACCACATCTAGACTGTGTGTTTGATATTTTTTGGAAAGAAAAGTGAACATTCAGCCCCAAGTGTGACCTCATCCTCTGTTCCCACGCGCCTAGGGTGGGGTCTGGACTAGAGAGGTCAGAGCCAACTCCTAGGGCTATGGAGGTGGGTTCCAGGACACAGGCAGAACAAGCAGGGAGCACTTAGGGTTCCTGCTCTGTATCTCTGCCTGCCCTGCCTTGGAGTTTGGTACCAGGACTTGCATGAGGGGAAGCCACATCTACTCCTACAGGGCACCTAACGCCTGGCCTAGTAAGGGTACAGGACCTCAGGGTGAGGGAGACCCTGGCATGGAGACCATCCCATAGGTAAAATGTTCTAGGCCCTCCTTGGAAGCCCTCTTCAGGAAAAGGACAGTCTCTGTATGGCCCAACTTGGGTCACAGCCAAGTGAGGGGACAATGTAGGAGCTCCCTCAGTGAAGAAGGGGATGGAGAGGGACATCACATCAGGACTGTGCTGTGCCAGCTCCAAAGCTCAGCTCAGCTCTCACCTTAATCCTACAATGATAGTCAGAGCTTCTTTGCCCTGAAGTGCAGCCAGGGGACAGGGCTTTGGGTCCTGAGGTCTGGGTATGACCTTCTAGAAGAGGTAAAGTCCTCGGAGGAACTAAGGGAAACGAAAGATCTGCAAAGGTCCAGCAGTGCCCTTTACCCTCAATGGCCCCATCCAGAGTGTGCTGGCCCCTGCCTTTGCTCTCAGGGTTCTGCCACTCAGCCTCTCCCTGAACTCCAGGTCTGTCCCTTCCTGGGAAGAGGCATCCACCACTGTCCTTCTCGTTTCCCACATGCCTTCCTAGCTAGCCAGCTAGCGCCGACTTCTTCCACTTCTAGTCAACGACCATATCGCCCCAGAGCCCTGCTCAGCTTCTTGTTTAAGACTGACTGTGCAGTCTTGAGGTGCAAAGACCAAAGCACTACATCTGACAGTGGAGTGGGAGGAGGGGAGCCGGTGCCCGAGAGCGGCTGTGGTCAGACAATGACATTCCTGCTAAATTGCTAATCAGTTAATCTTCTGATCCAAGGCAACTGTCAGCCCCCTTGGATACCTCTGATCCTAAACAGTTTTCCCTAGTGAGGGACCCCTTGAGCTGTGAGGTCCACAGGGGCGTCCTCTCTGGGTGCCTGAAACCATCAGGTGGTTCTTGGCCTTCGGTGCACATTGGAGTCACTTAGAAGTGGATGCCCAGCCTGCACCCAGACACAAAGACTTGGTTGATGTGGTGGACCTCAGCATCATAATCCACACAGTTCTTTTGCAGTGTGCAGTTCACAGTAGGGTTACCTCCTTGAGGCCTACACTCTGACCATCTGAGTGGTCTGTAGAGGGCGGAAGGAGCCTAGCAGAAGAAGGTGGGGGAGAGACAAGACTAGAAAGGAAATCTCATTCACCTCCTGCCTTTCCGGAGTCCAGACCCTTGCAGGAGACGCCCACATCCTTCCCATCAATGTCCCTTTGTGCTTAATGATTTTGACTTTGAATCCTGTCACATGCAGACTGACAAACACAGAGTTTGAAACTTATGAGCCAAGTGCAACAGAGATGTCCCCTCCCCAGATGCAGTGTTTAACAGCCCTTGGCATTTGGTTGTGACATTGGCAGGAAGCTTTGTGTCCCCTCTTAAGAGACTAAGGGCTAAGGGGCTCAAAACTTGTGGGGGAATGTGGAGGCAGAATGAACCAGCAACATTCGGGTGGTTGTCAGGGGCAGGGCTGTGAGGGGGGAGGAGAGAGCTCCATGCAAGGACAGGACCTGGAAGGGGGGTGGCATAATCTGTCCCTCCATTAAAGGGAGCACATTCTACCAAGCTGGGGACTGGAAGGGCAGAGGGTCACACACCCTAATGAATTACGAAACCAATTTATATACCAATTAAAACCATGAGGTACTGAGGGTGGGAAGGAAGTGTGTGGGAGAAACTGAAGGAGTTTAAAGCTAAAAGTTTAGGGAATGAAATCTCCCAGGCATCTCCTGAAGTGACCCCATTCAAATGTGGACGCTAAGGCTTACTGTTCTGACCTCAAGGCTGAGGGATCCCGCAGAGACTGGGGAAGATGAGCTCAGATACAAAAGGGGCGGTTCTAAAGCTGTTGCCATTGCGTGTTAGTACACAGAATCCCAGAAGTGAAATTAGCAAGTTGTACATTTAAGAACCATACCCATGCATCTTGGTTCCTGAAGTCCCAGGTCCAGGGAGAACAGATCGGGAAGCTATAGGCTGAGAAGCTTGAAAAACAAGAATATGACAGATGGCTAAGAAACAATTTCAAGACATTATTTTTGTGCTACACAATACTGTCCCTTTGTGTAATAATGATGCTGAGTGTAAACTTTATTTCTTTTCTTTTTTTTTTTTTTTTTTTTTTTTTTGATCCTTATCTGGTAGAGGTGAAATTGAAACAATGGCTGGATTTGCTTTAATGTTTCTTAGAACAAGTTCATTCATGGGCAAGGAAAGCTATGGCATCGGGAAGTGTCATCCCCTGATCCCCTGACAGGGTCCACTCTGCCCCTCTCTTTGAATGTTTGCTAATGAAACCAAATAAATAAAAAGTTTGAAAAGACCTCCAGTGTTTCCTGGTTGCATCTGTCATCATCCTCGACTTGAACAAGGAATAAAGCCACTTGATACAAGAGTCTCTCAGCTCCTCGGGCTCCTTCGTTGTATCATCTGGCTGGCTGTAAGCCATTCACCATCTCAGTCCCCACACAGGCTTTCCCATGGCATTTTGACAGGACCTCCATGTTGATGACAGCATGTTGAAGTCAAGAAATTCTGAAGCAGCCTGGCTGAGGCGGCACATGTCTTTAATCCCAGCACTCAGGAGGCAGAAGCAGGCAAATGTCTCTGAGTTCAAGACCAGCCTGGTCTACAAGAGTGAGTTCCAGGACAGGTTCCAAAGTCACAGAGAAACTCTGTCTCGAAAAACCTAAATAAATAAAAAGAAAAGAGCTGTGGGTTTGAGTTTTTTGGTTGTTTTGTTTTTTGTTTGTCTGTTTTTTTTTTTTTTTTTTTTTTTTGAGACAGGGTTTTTCTGTATTGCTCTGGAGCCTGTCCTCACTCTGTAGGCCAGGCTGGCCTTAAATTCACAGGGATCCACCTACCTCTGCCTCCTGAGTGCTGGGACTAAAAGTATGTGCCACCACTGCCCGGCAAGGTTCTTCCTTCTTAAGATGGGAATTCCCTGCATCCTTTGCTCTTTAGGATAGTGAATCCTGTTTAACTTTGTTTGGAAAATTTGTCATTCTGAGATAGGATTGCACTATGTTGCCCTCCCTAGCCTAGAACCTACACTGTAGACCAGATTGGCCTCAGACTCACCTCCTCTGCCCCAAGTGCCCAGAAAAAAAAAAAAAAAAAGTTATTTATGCGTATGTGTTTGTATGGATGTATGCTGCCAGTGAGTGCAGGTATCCATAGAGTCTGAAAGAGGGTGGGGTGCTAGAACCCCTGGAACTGGAGTTACAGATGGTTATAAGTCAGGTGAAGTGGATGCTAGGAACTGAACTTGGGTCCTCTGGAAGCAGCAGCCAGCACAGACAGGGTCCAAAAATTTGTGATTACCCTGGATACAGCTCCTGAGTGTTGGGATTTCAGGCATTGCTGCTATTCCTGCTTCCTGTAGTGCTAAGGTTTAGGGCCAAGCCTTGGGCTTTGTTCATGCTAGATGAGCATTCTACCAAGTGAGCTGCATCCCACCTTCTCCACAAGAATTTTTAGCACTGTTTTTTGTATTTTTGTTTTTGGTTTTCTATATCTGTGAAGAATGGCTTTGGGATTTTGATGGGGGTTGTAATGAATCTGCTGATTACTCTCGATAGGATAGCCATTTTCTTTTAATGTTTCCAATCTACGAGCACAGGGAAACCTAGTGTCTTCATTTTGTCTCTTGTGTTTTAAAGTTTCTATTGGACAAGTCTTCAAGTTCTTTGGTTAGGTTTCTTCAGTTGTTTCTTTAAGCTATGGTGAGCAGAACTGTTTTCCTGGTTTCTTTTCCCGCATGCTTATATTTATTTGTATACAGGAAAGCTACTGCTTATTGTTGGTTGATTTTGTATCCTGCCACTTAGATGAACTGTTGATCAGTTCTGAGAGTTTTCTGGTGGAGTCATTAGGGTCTCTTTGTTTCAGCCCAAATGATTACTTCCGTGAAGCAACCTCCCTACCTCAGTGTGAAATGTTAGCTCAGACTGAGGTCTTCTGCAATCTTTCAGTGAGCTAACTTTATCTTTAACTATGTTTAGTCAGCCTTTAAACGTGCCTATTGATTTTTCCTTGGACATAGTATTTTTCTGATCATAGATAGCCAGCTGGTTCATTTCTCTGCAGGTCCTTGTCACACGCTGAGTTACTGAGGGTAACTCAATGTGCTTCAGGATGGTCCACACAGTGCAGCTCATACAGCTGCCACTTTTCTAGCTCTCTTCCTACTAGGAATTTGTTGCACAGCAGCTTTACCTTCTGACATTTGGTATCTGGATTCCATGGCTCCTTTTCTGATGTTTTTCCTGCTAGGCCTAGCTCATGTCTTGTTTCTTAGTTCATGTGGTGACCTTTGTATGTATCTTAAACTGGTGCTGTATTTGATGTGTGGAAAAACATTCATAGCAACAATGTAAACCCAGCACAATGGTGTTTTCCTTCAGTAGCTTGCTTTAGATGTCTCAAGGCACAAGCAATCCAGGAACAGCTTTATTTCAAGATCGGCTCTTTAGATCCTCAGGCCCTCACTTTGTGAGTGTCAGTTTAAATGCCTAATATGAACTAACTGTTCATGGAGGTCCCTAACTCAAAGTATAAGGTAGTTTTAAGGCTTGCCCCACTTGATGAGGCTGTCTGAATTTTCCCCTCCTCGAGGTCAATATTCAGGGCTCTCAGTGGCTTCTGAGAGAAGAACCAGCATGTCTAGGGTGAGAGCAACCCTGAGCATCAGGGTCAATTCCCTTTTTCACCATG